CGACACAATCAAGGTCCGCATGCAGCTGTCGCGGCGCGCGCGTGCGCCTGGAGCTCCGAGCCGAGGCTTCATTCGCACCGGCGCCGAGATCGTCAAGAAGGAGACCCCTCTCGGCCTGTACAAGGGTCTGGGCGCAGTCCTGACAGGCATCGTTCCCAAGATGGCCATCCGCTTCACCTCATTCGAGAGCTACAAGCAGTGGCTGGCCGACAAGGAGACCGGCGTCGTCTCCGGGTCCAACATCTTCCTCGCCGGTCTCGCCGCCGGTGTCACCGAGGCCGTCGCCGTCGTCACCCCCATGGAGGTCATCAAGATCCGTCTGCAGGCCCAGCACCACTCCATGGCCGACCCTCTGGACGTCCCCAAGTACCGCAACGCCGCCCACGCCCTCTACACCGTCGTCAAGGAGGAAGGCTTCGGCGCCCTGTACCGCGGTGTGAGTTTGACCGCCCTGCGCCAGGGCTCCAACCAGGCCGTCAACTTCACAGCATACACCTACTTCAAGGAGTGGTTGTACAACTTCCAGCCTCAGTACGAGGGCGGCAACCTCCCCAGCTACCAGACCACCCTGATTGGACTTGTGAGCGGTGCCATGGGTCCCCTGAGCAATGCGCCCATCGACACCATCAAGACGAGACTGCAAAAGACGCCTGCCGAGCCCGGGTCCAGCGCATGGTCCAGAATATCCAGAATCTCTGCCGAGATGTTCAAGTAAGTTGGCGGCCTCGATTCTATCCTTGCGCGCGCCGAAATTCGAAAAGTACTAACATCCTCGTTCCAGACAAGAAGGATTCCACGCTTTCTACAAGGGCATCACCCCACGTATCATGCGTGTGGCCCCTGGCCAGGCCGTCACATTCACTGTCTACGAGTACCTGAGAGCCAAGTTAGAAAAGAGCAGTTTCTCATCATTTAACGGAGGCAAGTACGAGGAGTAATCGGGTAACGAACGAACCTCCAATTTCCTTTGTGTGTCTTCCTTTTGTTCATCCTTTGCTTCCCTCCCTCCACTCTTGGCCCGAGAGTGGGAGGCAGGGAGGGAAGGCAGATATGAGGAATCGGGTACGAGAAGGAAGACAGGGTCTAATCATGTTCTCGTTGTTTGCTGTTGATAAAAATCTCATGTGGCATGTTTGGTTGGTGTTTCTAATACTTTTGTTTCTGTAGCCGCACTGAAAAAGCAGAAGTTAGAGGCGGAGGCGGCACTCTGATTTAAGGGACGGGCGGGCTCCACTTACACATCTACACCCCGACATTCTTCTTTCCCACCATCTGCATCTATTTTTCTAGCAGACGAAGCGGAAGAAGGGTCAGGATGTATGGGGAAACTTGGGTTAGACAATTGATTTTCTACTTCAGTTAGATGAAGAGTTTCAGCACAATGGCCGTCAGCAAGAGGAGGCCAGCCGAGGGAAGCAGGGTCAATATTTCTATGCATGCATCTTGGGGATACAGAATATAGGTTTCTAGCAATTGGACATATGCGCTCATCTCATCCCGCTTGACTCATATCTCGTGCCTCATCTTGAACAGTTGAATGGCTGCTTTTGGGCTTCACATTTACCGTCCAGGTCGCTTGGGGCGGCTGAACGCCTGTCTGGTTGCCACCTTGGGATGTAAGTCCTCCAAGACGCTCGTCTCTGTGATCTCACTTGGTTCCTCAACCTCGAATTTCTTTTCCAGTGTCAATCCCGCCTCCTTGCTAGCAATCTCCAAGACAGCTCGCTTCATTAGCGGGTACAGCATTCGGAATTTGATCGACTTATTGCCAGCTGTAGCAGGGCAGGTGTAGAAGAACAGCACAGACGTCTGCTCAGCGCCATTGTGGGTGTGCTTGAACCGGAAAAAGGTAAACCTTGGCTCCGTGGCAGAAATAGCCTGGGTCAGCTCAGTGATGGTGCTGGGTGTTGGAGACTCGGGGACAAGTTCCACAACTTCTGTGTCGGGGTTGATTTTCTTTATATTGCGCCCGATTAGTCCTGCCCTCATTTCACGCAAGGAGAAGTCAGAAGAAAACGTACCAGCATAGTCACCACACGGCCCCCTTCCGTACCGACTTCCTTCATAGCGGCGATGGCATCCTCTGCCACGGGCATGTTCAGGTTCTTGCTAAGATGAATCTCCCTTGTACCAGTGCCAGCACCTGCAGCTTGCTCCGCTCGCTTGACCTCGGAAAGTGTTCGTTCCTCTTCCGTGAGTGGCGCTTCCAGCTTTGCGTGCGCCTCCAGCTTCTGAAAACCGCTCGCCGAAAGCTCCTCTGGGTTCGTGGTGAAGATGGTATCGCGGAAGTGCTCAGTTCCCAGTTCACGCACAAATGTCAACCGTGTCGACGCGAACAGCATCTTCTGCCTCACAGGGGCAGAGTCGGGGATATAGGTGGCCGCAACGAAGTAGGGGGCGGTGTCATATCGACGAAGAATGATGTAGAGCGCAACGTTGGGCTTCAAATGAGGCTCTAGGGCGGTAAGCTTCTCTTCAAAAGAATGACCCTGCTGTGGGATGGTCGTCACAGGCACAAGTGCCTCCTTTTCGATGGTCGAGAGCAGCCCAAAGGTTGAGGAATCGGAAAGCAAGGAGCTGAACTGGGCCTGGAGCTCCTTGGAAGCTTGGGACTAGTTAGCTGAGGGGAAGGCACAATCGAGGTGTGTTTCATAAGACATACCCAGAATTCCGGACTGCATGGTGGAAAATTCTGTAGCTCTACAGAGCTACTCGAATTCCGATGTATGAGTGCGAAGTAGGAGGGGGTAGGATGGCGGAGGGGTATCAGCTGTTGAAATACCAGCCTGTTGCTAAGGAGATGATAGTTCGCGGCACCGACCGACAGCTGATGCGGAACCCCACCAAAGCCCCGCGTCATGGCCTCTGGCGGAGATCCGCCTTCCCTGTCTGCTTACCCTAGGGGCAAGAATGCTGTTGGGCCATCTTGAATCTGCCATGGAACGAAACACGTTTTACCAGTTCGTTAATTTCAATTAGGTAATTATCAAATCTACTTCTTCTCCTCTTCTACTCTCTTGATTCGAATAACTCTTGCCCCTAAATGTAGAGCATTGGGCAACCTGGTTGGAATATGAAACCACTGAAACAGGAGCTTGCCTCGAAATCCAGTCAAGATCCACCGCATGTTCCCTTGTACACCGCCCTAAAAAACATATGAATATTGAACCTTGAACACAGCAGCGACATGATAGAGAATGTGTTTGAACACAAACATCCATATAATTCTTGGAGCCGACAGAGCAACGCGATCATCTAGCATATCTGCTGACTAGATTCAAGCAACAGTAGCAAACAGAAGGGCCAGCCCACTCAGAACCGAAAGCAAGTGTTGCTGGAGTGGATGAGCCTGTGATTTTGGAATGATAACGGGTATAGGAGGGTCGCCGTTGCCCTCGTCGCTCTTTAATACCGTAGTATTGGATCCAACAGGTCGGAATGATCTTCCCGGTATCTGAGATGAAGTGTTAGGATTAGGTTTGTCTAAGTTGCCCTCTGCTGTGCTGCTCGGTGGATCTGCAATTAAGATCGCTGAAGGCCATGCAATAGCAACAGGACTGGGAGTTGAGCTCATGAGATTGGACTTGGACGAGGAAGTAGGAACATTGTGCGAATATATGGAGAAAATTGTAGGGATACCTGAACCAATAATGTTAGTAATGTGAGATGTATAGAGTGATTGATCACGATTAGAAATACCGGTAGAGCTTTCGGTTGAGCTAGGTGCTGAGCCAGTGTGGGAAACACTGATTGGTGAAGAAGAAGACTCGCTCAATTCCGGGTCGAAGGCTAAAGCGTCCTTGGCCATGTAAATGGTAGATATTTCTTGACCTTTCTTGGGGCAGACACTTCCACATATCCCGAGCTCTGGATCTCCCATACATGGGTTGTCACATGCCTCGGAAGGAAGCGGACTGAAAGACCCTATATCGTTCCCGCAACGGCACGAACTAGATATTTATTAGATCCGATCCATTAAATTTCTTAGAGGGAGCAACGTACTGGGCAAAAAGGGCAGCGATACGCTGACCATGGCATGCTTTTTGGCATCTTCCTGGGTTAAGCACACCATCTAGGAACACAATTGGATCACAGAAGCCGTCGAGATCGACAGAAGCGCATCCGTGAAACTCGAAAGCGTGCGCGGCAGGTATATCGGGCAGAGTGCCATATGATTGTTGGGCGAGAGCAATTGTCGCCTGGAGAAGGACCAGAAAAAAGTAGCACCACATGTTGAAGTGCAGCCAGAGTTGAAGACAAAATCCCGAGCGTTATCAATGGTTCAACAACAGCTGTGAAGCAAGTCTTGAAGGCCAACTTTCTGGAGAATTGGCCAGCTTAGTAGGGGTTTGGACCTGGAAGCAAGGCAGATATGACCAGGAGAAAGGCAAAGAGCAAAGCTAAGATCCAGATAAGGGTACATCATGGGGGAAACAATAAAGAAATTGAGATGCTCCTTCTTGATAATCAATAGATATGATGTTGCCATTATTGTCCTATATGCTTGAGATGTTCCTTCCCAGAGGAACAACTAGCTCGTTAACCGAGCATCAGTATCGGTGTCCATAGCGTTCCTATTTATGTAGCTTGAAAGCATAGAAGAAAATGAAGGGGCCAGTTCCAAAGACTGTAACTTTTGCATCGAAGAGCTTAATAAAGAGACCTGGAAGAAGAAAAAAGTTCACAACGCATCTCGAATTACTTCTTTGGAGAGAGTTATGGGCTTGGCGCTCTGAGCATCAACGACCGAGTGGGTCGCATCGAGGTGTGGGTCGACATGGTACGTACCTCCAGGAAATGCAGGTTCCGGATATGGACTAGCCGAATGTGATTCTCTGCCTAAGGCTGCACTATTTTGGCTGTGAGAGAAGAAATTTGGGAGTTGGTGACCCCACTTTAATCAGGGCTCGAAAGCCCCAATCCGACAACCACCCTTTCAACTGCCCGAAACTTATTGTGTGTGCATCGCAGTGAACATCATCCAACCACCAAGTTGTGCATCAGCAGTCAAGATGAGCGCCCTCAACAAGATCGCCCCCAACAGCCCTTCGCGGCAGAACCCTTCCGAGCTTGAGCAGAACATTGCTCAGGCTCTCTACGACCTCGAGACCAACACTGCCGATCTCAAGGTCGCCCTCCGACCTCTGCAGTTCGTTTCTGCTCGCGAGGTGAGAACCGCACCATGAAAAAATTTAGCCGACAGTCCTTTCGAGATCCTGTTCCTACACAAAGCTATACCATACAATGGCACGCGAGGAGACGTTTCCGCCTTCAGCACGCAGATACTCTAATTGATTCATAATGTGAATTGAATGGGGTACTACACTCGTCGCGAATTGAGGAACGGACTTCCCTTGCCGGAGTACAATTGACTTATGTGGAGCAGGACGGGAAGCGGTCCAAGGCTTTGTCCTGGAGCTCGCATGCTGACTTTGGGTCTCATTAGATCGAAGTTGGCCACGGCAAGAAGGCTATTGTCATCTTTGTCCCCGTCCCTTCCCTGGCCGGTTTCCACCGTGTCCAGCAGCGGTAAGAATATCTCAACGCCCAGTGGCGCCCCCAGGGTCCGATCTTGCCTAACATCCATATCCTAGCCTCACCCGTGAGCTCGAGAAGAAGTTCTCCGACCGCCACGTCCTCATCCTCGCCTCGCGCCGCATCCTGCCCCGCCCCAGACGCTCTGCCCGCAGCCGCAACACCCAGAAGCAGAAGCGCCCCCGCTCTCGCACTCTCACTGCTGTCCACGACGCCATCCTCGGCGATCTCACCTACCCCGTTGAGATCGTCGGCAAGCGCGTCCGCACCAAGGAGGACGGCAGCAAGCTCCTCAAGGTCATCCTCGACGAGAAGGAGCGTGGTGGTGTTGACTACCGCCTGGACACCTACGCCGAGGTCTACCGCCGCCTGACCGGCCGCAACGTCAACTTCGAGTTCCCCCAGAGCCAGGCTGCCGACTTCTAAGCATGTCGTCTTTTTTTACGGAGGGTTCCATTTCAGGGTGATTTAGCATAAAAGGTGTTCTAAAAAACGGGCTTGGCGTCTCTTGTGAGAAGGTAGCTTGATAATAGTACAGGCTGCCGCATGGCATGGCATAAATCACCCTAAGCGTTCTCAAACAAACTACGAATGGTGTATATGTCTAAATTCGTGATATGCTTCGTCAGTCGTGACTAATCTGTCCCACCCCAAGGACACACCAGTATGCTAGCTCCCTCTTTTCCCGTGCGTCCTTGTCCCTGCCTGCTGCTCCTGTGATATCATGCTGTGCCTCCGCCTCCCACTCGATACGAATAAACATGGGTATCTCCAAAATGTCCTCGTCCTCCTTGAGCGGACTCTTGTCTACCGCTTCCCCAGGCTTGGCAGTGAGATCGAGGTTTTCCACACGCAAAGACGGTGGAATGACCTCGAGTACAACACTGACCCAGTTCCGGCCTCTCTCGTAGATCTTACCGGCCTCGGCCTGCCCATTGCTGTCGTCCCGCTTCTTCAAGTCGCCGTCGTCTCGAAGCGCATCGTCCCACATGTCCGTGTTCGCATCTACCTCGAACTCGGGACAAAGCAGCGTTACCCTGCTCGAGAACCGCCCTGGTGTGCTGTTGGGCGTTGCAAGGGTGACCTTGATACTCTCAAAGAGAGGATTCGTAAATGTCACGATGTACTGACACGGCTGGAGGGGCCTGAGAGGCTTCTCTATTTGAACGCTTGGGCGCAGGCCCACAGGAATCCCGCTCGCAGTTGGTTTCAAGGGCCTGATGGAAATGGAGGGGATGTAGTTCTTGGCAACTAAGCGGATCTTGAACCGGGTGGAAGCCACCTTGTTCTCAGGCTTGGATATGATGTGCCGGCAGACCGCGCACCGCTTGGATCGTTTCGTACGGAGCGTGCACTGCGTGGGCCGGAGCTCATCTTGAAACCTCGCGGGCTCCAGCTGTGCCAGCGTCTGTTCCCTGGAGACCGTTTCATCCCACCCCCCGCGGAACAGCTTTTTCACTTCCGCGGACTCGTCAAGCTGGGCAATTCTGAGACCGTCGTCGGTGGAAAGTGCCTCCCGCATTGTGTCTGGGGGTCCGCGTTGCCGGCCCGGCTGGCCACGACCAGCTGTGTAGAGGGTCATGATGCGAGACAATGCCGCTGGTGATGAAAATCCGGCACCATCTCCCAGAGAAAGGTTGCCAAGAACACCGGTGCTGTCGGATAGTTGAGCTTGAAAGAAGGATTTGAGGTTTGCGAACTGGAGTTCGGTGTCGACCAGCTCATCGGCAACTGGGGGTTCGTCGGGGTTCTCTTTCCGTCTCTCTTTGAGGTCCTTGGCGGTGATTTTTGGCTCTCCGCCATTCTTCACTTTGGCCAATTGGGCAGGAATTCCGCTGGGGCGATCAAACTCAATACCGATCTCGCTCGAGGACCAATTGCAGTACTGGCAGAACAGGGCGTAGCTCACATGAGCCGTGGGATTGTTATCCGCGCCAAGTAGAGTAGGGTCGGGTTCGTTCGGTATTTCGCCAGCCTGGACAGGGCTGGTGCAGACAGGGCACTGGAAACAGCTTCGCGTGCATCTAGCAATGAAGCATCAGCATGACTCGGTTTTGGGTAGCTCCTCAACTTAGCCTACCTGTTGCCTTCGCTCCGTAGGTTACTGCTCGGCACTTCGAAAAGACAATTCGGGCAAAAATACGTGACAATCTCTTCGTTGACGCATTTGGGACACCGAATCTGCTGGCACTCTTCGCAGTAGAGGAGGTATTCTAGAGGATATAGGGAGTAATTTGAACGCGGGGCGCGGGGGTCGAAGGTGTGTTCGTCGTCGTTTTCGATCGCGTCTTGAGCTATCTGGTCACCATGATCTAAATCCGTGTGATCTGAGGAGCAAGGGCATTGTATGTAGGTGTAGGGTGCTGTGAAAGCCATGATTTTGTATCCTTGCCATGCTGTCGCATCTGGGGAAAATGCTCTGTAGCTATCCCAAAACTTCCTAGGAAGCATTGGCCCCGGCCTTCACCGAGAACAAAGGTGAGCTCACCGAATGACTCAGCAAGAGGCACACCTTAATTTTGCCCCTGGACATTGTTCCGTACTGAGGTTGCCACAATACTCTACTAGGCAATTTGTTGGTCGGGAGCCAACTATTCTTGGTCTAGCCATGATCTCTAGCACTTCCAATTGTGGCCCTGACTTCATTTCCCATCGACGTTCTGGATTTTGCTGACAGCTGGCTGACTGCTGCGCTTTGCCATCCTCACGAGTCTCGACTGCTTCAACCAGCACAACGTGATTCTGGACTGAAACAACGCACCCACAATCGTTGTCTAGGGCAGATGGAATCAGCTGAGTCTTGTTTCCCAGTACCGGCATCATGGGCTGGGTCTTTCAATTTCTCACCGATACCATGGCGCCGTTGAAAGATGGCGTCGCGCATTGGTAGCTGGTGAGACAATGTTTCGCACGTCAAGCTTTCTCTTGGATTAGTGACAAACGTTGATCTGAGCACTATTCCCGAGCCAGTCTCAGAACTAGGTTGGTTCGGTGGAAAGCAGTTCCGCACTGACCTCACCACTGCCCACGCTTGAGGATTCATGGCACACAGAAGGGAGGTGAAGAACGAAAGAAGAGCCGTGTAGTTCGGCGGTCAGATCAGCTTCGCGGCCGGCAAGGCCCTTAGCTGCATCCAATGCCGTGACACGTCAGAGAGCGGTGTTGACATTTAAGCCATGATCCAGCATTGCACGCCGACGTATATGCATGTTTCATTGATGTGGTGATAGCCTCCTTTCCAAATCGTGATTACACTACGAGAGTCATCTTTCCATGATGCAACATGATGTTTGCGCACCGAGTCGGTGAGGGAGCAATTTGCGTCAAGACGAGTGGTTCGTGCCACATAATGGGGAGTCTCACATCCTTCAGTCCACTCGCACCAATTCCCTGATCTAATGAAAGAGTTTTTCGTTCCATTCCGAGAGGCAGGCCAACAGCAAGGAGTACCGCCATGCACGCTTTAGAGGGAACAAGTTCCAACAGGGAGATCTTTCGATAGATTGCCCTTGAGGTTATACGGACCAAAGACAATGCCTCTCAGTTTCCCTTTGCAGAGAAATAAACAAAGGATTGCATCATGACCGGAATGGGCGTTCATTCGGACGAAACACAGCTGCCGGAACGTAGCACAAACGGGGCGGCGCTCACAAAGCGGAGACTGGCAATGGTGTAAAATTGCCAAGCTGGTCTTGTCCGTTTGCAGGCTGGCTGGCGGAGTCAAAAAACCAGCCAATCCGTATCTCACCACGTTGGAACAGATCGGGGTTGAGGAATTGCCGTGGTTGGGACAAGGGGCCTTTGTTTGCTGGGCCGCAACGAGATTCTTTCAGCAGCTCCTGGACATGTTTGCGGCGATGCCAATAAAGTGGCGTTGCATAGGCGAATTGCATCCGTCGAAAACCAGCCTGCCCTCCAATCAGGTGGCCAGTTGCTGGAAATGTCAGTGATCTTCACGGCCTCCCCTGTTCGCGATTCAGGGTGCTCATGGGATTGCCAAAGCAATCGCATGCGTGGGGAGAGGAGCCAGAGAGAGAGAGGGATCCCCGCCGCCGCCGCGATCCATGTGTGGGCTATGATATGATCCTCATTTCTCGACCCTGTTCCGTGACTTCATGGCGAATACCATTGCGCTGATCCCCCAATGCAAGTCGGTTGCAGACTCGCGGGGCATCATGCGTTCCAGATTCTGGATCCCGCTGATTTTTTCCTGCACCACCTCGGTGAGGCAAGCCCGCATCCTGCCCGAGCCAGCCCAGCCAGGAGCATCTCAGCCAGCCTCTTGGCCAGCACACCCTGGCCAGGTCTAGGTGTCTCTCTGGACAATCGACAGGGGTTGTGACGCAAGCGCCTACACAATGCTACGCTAAGACACCTCTTTGAAGCTATCTCAGGACTTGCATGGGACAAATCCCGACTACTCTAGACCTGTCTCGCCAAGATGCTCAGCTTGCCCGCCCGTGCCATTTGTCATTTCTACTCTTAGGCACCAAACCTCCTTAACTACATTACCACCCTTCTCCTTTGTGGCATCTCGACTTTTTTTGCTCGCTGGTCTTTGTCCTGTGTGTCTTTTCGTTCAATTGCATCCTGTTCTCCTTCTCTGCACTTTTGTAATTGGATCTGTTTGGGCGTGCACGACCTGGAATCCGATGAAGCACTGCGCGTCTTGGCCCCAGTAGGCCGCCTGCAGCCACACCCTTGGGCTCGTCCCTTTAAGAACCCGATTCGACCATATAATACGAATCGGTGCGTCACGGCTCGCGCTCATCGCCGAAAGCAAAAGGGCTTGCACATATATATCCTGTGTAATCGTCCACATCGGAATCCGGGTGGGAATTTGTTCCCGTTTCGGCGCAATAAGATTGCACTGTCTCACGACTCTCTCGACTCTTCTAAGGTCTTGCGGCCCCCCTTATTAGAGCCAAGTCAGGACCACTTGAGAACCGAAAGTCACACCGAACATTCACCATGGGGGATTCTAGCTCCATTCCTACCACGAGGGGCCTGGGTGCCTTCGTAGAGGGTCTTTGTTCTGTAGTCAAAGGTCCGGTCAAGCGATGGGACGGTGCTGCGAGGACTTGCTACAATTGGGACGAGTTACGAAGGGTACGTATGAAGAATGTTCCGATTGATGAATCTCTGCCATGCTGTTCTATATCGTGCAACTTGTATCTCTAACATCTCCTAGGATCCGGAACTATGGTACCGCAACGGCAATTGTCTCGTCCACCTATACGGCAAAGGACAGTCGAAGCGAGGCCCTTCATTCAAAATTCCTTTCAAAGATCTTGTCAACAAGAAGTGCTACCCACTTATCGAACGATTTCTCGCTCCCCCGGGAGTGGATGTGACAAATTTGGGACAACTCGAGAGATGGAGCCGGCTCAACCCAAACCAAATGATCGAACTCTACATCCCAGCCCCTGTAATGGCTGACAAGAGTCAGGCATTCGCGTATCATGTTGCGACCCGAAACTTTTTTGCTTGGGTGTTCCAGAAATCCATGGTTGGAGAGCACTTGGGGACTGCGCTTGTCGGACTCTTGCATAGTATGCATGAGTTTCGAGCAGAGGGAAGCTCTAATGTCGAGGAAATGATTAGCTACCTTGACGAGGAGGGCTATCTGGGCTTCGCTAATCAGACAAACCACGCGCTAGCGATCCTGCATCTCGCGGAAACCTTCGAAATTACTGACCTCTATCTCAAGGCGTTCGCGCATTGCGCTGGCATGAGCGATCGCCTGTACACAAGTGAGGAATACGAGGTATGGTTTTTCTTGTGAAATTTCCGAGCAAACTTAACAGTTATACTGACATGACATAGGTGATCACGATGGAAACCAAGAAGCTGATCCGAAAAGCGCGTGCGGATATGGATTCAAAGCTTTACACTGCTACGGAGCAGCTTCAAACCCTTCTAGATGAAGAGTTGTCAGATGCACATATGGGGATGCCTACCGGCACAAGAGCACATATGGAGCGGTTCAGAAGCTTTCTACTCTCATTTTATGCCACCCGCCTCGGATACTACCCTCCGAAGAGTTTTGATGCCCAGCTTCTGCAGTCTATGCGGAAGGATTTCGAGTGCCTGGTGAATCTTCTAGCCGACGAAACCTACACTGAATCAGATGTCATACCTTCTGATGCTCTCGGCGGAATTTGCACCCTGCAACTCTTACAGTCATTCGACAATACGCATGGTTTCGAGACTTTGAAGCACCCTCTGCCACTCCTACCTGACTTCAAGCAGAACGTGTCAAATCGCTTTTCATGGCTGACCCGGTCCGATAAGCTACGCCCAAATCAGCGACTTCTTGCCCACACTGCCCTCATCAAGGCTTCAAATTGGACCGAAAGCATCTTTCATAGTGACATTGTCAAGGCCTACCGCCGATTTGAAGAGGAGCTCGTCATGCAGTCGAAGAAGGGCGATAAGCATGAGAAGGTGACGCTGGTAGAAGCCCGCAAGGTTCGCTGGATTCTGGTCTATGCCGTCTACCAGGTCCTGCGAAGCGTGACAGACGTCCCTCCTGAGCTGCGAGATGTCACAAGCGCGCCATATCCTACACTTGTTTCCCTTCAAGACCTGCCGCCCTGGCAAGAGATGAAGCCTATCGACCGTATTCTACGCAGACAGACCGACTTTGTCCTCGAAACCTCTTCAAATGGGCAATGGCTTAGCCCCGCAACCGCCTTCGAGCCTCGTCTGTCTCGCGACTCGGTGAGGATAGAGATCAAACCCGATATTGATTACCTGGCTCTCTCACACCAAGGGGAGTTTGGTAGCCAATATTCGCCTCATAGCTCAGTCATCATGGTGCCACCGCGCTCAAGTTCGCTCTCGCGTGCTCTGAGTCGAAGTTCAACCATTCGTCGTTCCATGAGGCGATTCAGGACGAACTCGAACCCTGCGACCCCACCCTCAGGGGCTTCGTCTCCCAGACCTTGCTTCCATGAAATTGTCATCGAAGGATATGGCAATGGAACGAACCGTATGGATGCCAAACCTGCCAGGCAGACATATGACACGCAAAGGTGGTCCCCCAGAAGCGAGGGGGGAGCAGACGAGTCGAACTCCCAGCATGATAGCTATGGGTTCGCAACGCCCCAGACTACCGATAGTGATGACACACTTGATGATTCGATCAAGACACCCAGCCCAATCATTCCGCTCGCGGAAATGCACCCGCCCACTCCCAAGCCACTTCGGGTAGGACGACGTGATGTTGTTTCCATGTTTATAAGCAGATCCCTGTCCGCTCGTTCTACAAGGCAGTCCGCCAGGTCGGACAGAAGACCCATGAGCAGCTTCTTTTCATCCGGGGGAGGCAATGACCTGCCCCAAGACTACTCAGATGCCTACCAAGAGCTCGTCGCAGAACAGCGTCGAAGCTTTTTCGGCGGTGATTGTACCCCCGCACACAAGGGCCACCCAGCCATAGATGAGGAGCCTCGCATTGTGGACCGCGACTACTGGGAGACAATGGAGGCCTATCTAGAGGAGGGTGGTGACCTCTCGGACTCGCCCCGTCCCGCGAGCGCCTATGCCCGACCTGCCTGGGAGCAGTACGCCAACCTGGGAGGTCTTACGGAGATCAAGTAAGATCTACGAACCCTATTTCCTTGCATGCCTGCATCTTGCATTGTTTCTGCCTTTGTGGCATTCAGCATTCATTTTCGCTCCGCGCCAGCATTCTTTGAAATTATTCGCTCCTTTGTATTTGATATGATACCCTGATTTTCTGAGCACGCAACTTGATGATGCTCTTTAAGAAAAGCGCTCGTTTTACCAAAGTCAGCAACACAGCACACGTCTTGGTCCTTTTGTCGCGTCGACCGCGATCGTTTTTATGACAATTCAAAAGTGTAATGCCCCCTTCAACTGAATATTAATACCAACCTCTCTGTATGAGACCATAGCCGTTCCCTTATAACAACAAAAGTTTAATGTCATGTGTATGCGGGGGAACTCGAAATTGATAGTACTGTTGCTCTCCTAGGCACCATATATTGATCTTGTAATGTCTTTGATCCCAGACTTGGAATAGGCAGCTTACCCCTTTTCGAGACCTATTTGTCAGGTATAAATTAATGATAATTATTTTTATATTTGGGACAATTGTGCAGACAAGCTGTTTGAAATCTCTTGCAGAGCGCCTTCGTACTAGTATGAAGGCTGGTTCATTAACCCCCCAGCGTTTCTCCGCCATTTGTCCTACTTCCTCCCAAAGTTCACATTGATTGTTTGCAAACCAGGCTCAACACCCAGCAATACCAGAGGGTGGGCGGGTCTTCTTCCTCTCACACTCACAGCTCTCCCATAGAAACCAGAGCCGTGCCGCATATCCTCAGAGCGGCTCGCTAGCCTTCACATTGAATCATAATTCGGTCCATTACTCATCCTTGTCATGCTCAGCGGTACCGGCAATTCCGTCAACAATATCAGAACCCATCACGTACGTCATGTAAGCTGACAAGAAAATCCAGGGAGCACTATAACGCAGGTTAGAATCGGCAAATCAGTCTTTTGCAGTTTAGAAGAAGCCCAAGGCCAAGATTCAGCGAGTTCTCTTTGAGACTCCCGCTCAGCTTGAAGGTCCCACAGAAGGATATGTTATAGCTTACTTGGGCATAACCCAGAGAAGAACGAGATCCCTAGTCGAGTTGTGGCCAATGTTGTCAAAGCCACTGTAGTACTCGTTGGCCCCTACCACGATCCCTGTTAGCCAATACAAACCACCAGAAAGAGCCCGCCGAAGCGTTCAAAGAAGGGGAAAACAGCCCATACAATAAAGAACCGACTTGCTCAGCGTCATGACGGCGGCGCTGAAGCCGGTGACGACGGTCAACGCGCCATGGCGGCCCTTGACGGCGCGGGTGCCGGCCTCGCCGCGGGCGAAGACGTTCCAGAGGTAGACGAGGTACATGGAGGTCTCGACGGCGTTGAGGAAGCCCTGGGCGGAGGTGAAGCCGTTGTTGGCGTTGAAGGCCTTCCAGCCGTAGACGTGGTCGACGGTGCCGTACAGCTTGTAGGGGGGCCAGAGGGGCCAGTGCATCCAGCCGCCCTCCATGGTGTGGGGGCGGCCGAGGACGTAGACGGTGTCCCAGAGGACGAGGGGCAGCGAGAGGGCCAGCCAGCTGAGGGTGAGGGTCGTCGGGGCGTGGCTCCAGGCGGCGTTGCCCTGGCTGGACCTGGTTTGGGCGGGCATGGCTAAGACGGTTGCGGAGTAGTAGTGGGATGTTCAGATATGCCGGGGGGGAAGGGAAGGGGAGAGTATTTATGGGAGGACGGTCTCGGCGGTCTCAGATGAACGGTTTTACGTGGCAGTGTGTTCCCTTATTAACTGCTGGTGGGCAGGGCCTTGGCACGGCATGGCGGACGAGGTGGCTGCAGGTCCAGAAGCTGGGGCGGCATTTGTTCGTCGGTACGTAACATGGTCAATGAGAGATCACATCCAATTTGCATGGGCAGGGGTGAGTGGATGTGGGATCAGGTTAAGTGCAAGCAAGCACTGCTACGGGCAGGCGAGTTCGCAAGTGTGGGGAAGCTGTTTGGCACATCGGGGCCAGAATGCAACGGTATGTGGACGGACGTGGAGAAGGCCAAGCCCGAAAACGAGCTGGCAGGTCGATCAGGCACTGCACTACGAGGCTGCTCGTGTGATGCGTGAAGGAGAACCAAAATCGCAATCCGGATACGCGTAAAATAAAAGCGGAACCGAGGCGGCCGACAGACAATCAGCCGCTCAGTGGTGAGAACTCAGATGGGACTCATCTCATGGAGCAGAAGCTGGACGGAGCTGGAGGGGCGGTGAGACACGATGTGATTGGTGATCTCGTCCTAAAGTAGAAGTTGCCGCTGACTGGCCTATTCACTCATAATGTTGGATCTAGAAATGTAGTAATATGCCAGAGCACAAAGAGTTTGATGTGGTGCTGCTACTGCTGTGATGTGCTGCTACCCCAGTCCACCTACCCTAGGCCAATCGATTTCTCTCAAACTCATCATCCAACAAATAATAACAAATAGTCTAGAGATTCAAAAAAGTCTTATACATGAAGCCTCTATCGATGTATATCATCAGCTCGTGAATGTCTCACCGCCCTCATCCAGATACTTCTGCTCCTCCGCCGTCATCTCCCTCCCCAGCGGCTTGTTCCTGTGGGGATACCGTCCAAACTGCCGCACAATGTCATAGTGCTTCTTCTCTAGACCAAGGTTCAGCTTCACCATGCCTCTCGCACCCTCTGGGTCCCTTTGCAATACCTTCGCAGCCTGAGCCTTATGCCCGCACCCCCCCTCCCCAACACCCTCACCCTCAATTAGAGCCTCCACGTCATCCACCATGCTCTGGTACGCGGCCATCGCCCTCTCGTGCGTGGCCATGTCCTCCGAGTGCATCAGGGGCAGGTAGAACCACATGCGCCGGGCGCAGAACCAGCGGACCTCCGGCGTCCGATCCACAATCCCGCGGTCGATCGCCGCCGTCGCCACGCCCAGCGCGATCGGGTCGAAGACCGAGTAGACGAGCTTGGACGACGCGCCCCGGTAGCAGTTCCGCGGCACCTGGTCGAGGAGGAGGACCAGGCTCAGCCAGTCCATCGGGGTGGCTGGCGCCAGAGCTTCAACGAGGTCTTTGCCTGACGTGATGCCCGATGTCCGGATGGCCTCCAGAGCCGGGGCGTAGCGTTCTCTTCAGAACCCGAAATAGTCGGTTGATTAACAGACTGAAGATAGGGCTTGAAACGTTGGGGGGTGACTCACACGCAGATGTCATCCAGTGCCTTGCCGCCCATGAACCAGGGCATCAGATCCTTCTGGGCCGGTAGAGCGTACGCATCCTGGCTCTCAAAGTGCCCAAACCAGAACGCTCGGAGTTCAGCCAATAGGGCGGGGGTCACGGCCTCCTTGACTGAGGCCATGGCGGCGGGAGGAGCACTTGAATGCCGGCGGCTCTGGATCACTGGCAGGTGGCCCAGGAGCTGGAGGCTTGCTGAGACGAGTCTGGCCCGAGGTCTCCCCTTGAGCGGAGAGATGGTCTCTGGTCGGGCGGTATTTGAGAATAGTAATATCCTGGCACGATCTAGTCGTCTGGATCAATCATGTTAGCGAGGTCGATCCGGACTCTGAGAGTGGGCTGGCTGATCGGAGAGAGCTCACTTATTGACCAGCGCTGTTCTACCAAACCCGATGCAACTTTGTATGCGCACATTTGTACTCAAGATTGTTCTGGCCATTGGCGCGGGCAGAGGCCCAACGAGAGTGTATGAAATCATCGTTGTCTGGAGGCTGGTGGAGTAGGTTAGTTTGGTTTCGGAAACGGGTCATGTTAGTGCTGCACATCGTGGGTTCGTCGACTTGGCAACCTCGATCAAGCATGCAACCAGACCAGTAAGATCCTTGAAGCCGGTTGTCGTAATCAATCAAACCCGCCAACGTGAATATAGCCATTGGATATTATGTGCAATCATGTATATATAGATATGCATATATATACGTGTGTATTGTGTTGTATGTACGGTATATGTGAAACCCCCCCCCCTTGGTAGGGGTACCTATGTGCCTGGAAGAGAAATGTCCGCCTGTCCCGTCATGCTTGTCATGACATGTTACCTTCCTTTCCGTGAAAAACCCAAACTTTGCCTCCTCATTTCTGTGAGAGCGAAAAAATCAATGACCCCAAAAAGTTATATACATGAGGTTGGGAACCAAGAAATACCCAACAATGCCAAAAGCAATTTATATACACAGAACGAGAACGTTCAAATCCCTCGAGGAGGGTCAACTAACAAGGGAAAACCCTCTACTGCTTTCCACCAATGTAGAAGGTCAGCGACTCGTAGTTGCCAGACGAGACGAGCCCGGCGGCATCCTCGGAGCCGGTGGGGTTGACATCGTCGTAGGGGAAGGCATAGCCCCTGCCGTCAACTTCCTCCTCGTGGATGATGCGACTGTAGTGGCTGGTTGGGCTCACAGTGTAGTAGCTGGTATCGGGCAAGTCAGGGGTGACGTTTCCACCGTCGAGAAGGAGGGTGCTGCGGACAAAAGCGGCACAGAGACGAGGCACGACAGCAACGTGGACGGGGTTGTCCTCAGCCTGGATACCAAAAGGACCAGAGTTGCAGCCCCAGATGTCGAGGTGGTCAGGCTTGGGGTAGGCGCGGTTGTCACCATCGCAAGTAAGCTTGTTGTCAACGACCTTGCAAGCGACATCACCAACCGCCTGGGTCTTGATAGAGAGAGTCTCGGTGCTGTACTTGGCCCAGACCTTGTCAACGTACTCAGTCCAGTAGTCTTCCCAGCCCTCGCCAGCAACGTCACCGTAGTCCTCGGGGGAGAGAACACGGAGAGGCTTGCCGTCGGTGCCAGCAATGCACATGGCACCCCAGGGAAGACCGTCGGTTTCGCCCTGGGCGAGGAGCTTTTCGCAGACAGTGGTAACAGCATTGCCGGGAAGACCGATGACCTCCTGGGTGTTGTTGTCCTTGGTCCTCAAGGTCATGGACAGGATGAGGCCGACAAAGTCGACATAGGAGATGTTGGCCCAGATAACACCATCAGTGGTCAGGGTTAGTTCGACGAAGCCCCAGTTGATGTTGCGGCTGGGATCCTCGAGGTTGGTGTTGGAAGGCTGGACGAGACCGTCACCAGTGGCGGTCTTGACCATGAAGAATTCGAGCTCACCCTGGGCGAAGTAGACACGACCGGAAGCCATGGCGATGGGGAGAGTGATCTCAAAGGTCTGGCCCTTGGCTGGCATGGGGATAGCGATGCTCTCAGCAATCGCAACAGGGACTTCAGAGCCTCCGGCGCTGGGGTAGATGAGGTTGCCGGCAGCGCCGAGGAAGACGACCTTGCCATCGGAGTCGAGACCAGAAATGTAGCAGTTGACTGCGTCGCCATCGAGGTTGTTGACTAGCTTCAAGGGGATAGACTGCTGGACGGCCTGGGTGCTGACTGTGTTGGAGTTGATGCTGAAGACCCTGGAGTTTCCCGTGCGGGAGTTGGTAGCGGTGCCGTTGAGGGTGTTCTTCTCCTCGACGACGACCTTGGAGCTTTCCTTGACGGTGGTATACTTGTTCTCGACCGACTTCTGAATGGGTTGGACGTGTGTGAAGCCCCGGGGAGCGGCGAGAGCTGTGCCCAGGAGGGCAGTGAGAATGGTGAATGCCTTCATGATGATCAAATCATGTAATAGAACGAAACAACTATCAACCCAACGAAAGTATATAAGTGGCACAAGTAAAGAATGTATTGCCTACTTAGAAATGAAAGACTGGCTTCTGAATGAGTGGCCTAGATGGGGTTGAGGACCAATACCGAAACGCACATTGTATGACGCCCGACGGCAGACGACTACTTATACCATCTTTGCCATGTTGGAGGTCTGCCTACGGCTAGCATCACCCTGGAAAACGCATGTTACATGCCGGAGAATATCTCAAGAGCGCGGGCAGGGAGTGTAGAGCAAAACCCTGGCACCCCCTTCGTGCATCCCAGAGCCGCCTTCCTATTCGACATGTTGGGAGGGGCATGGAAACAAAAAAGCTTAGCAGAGGCCCGAAAGGGGGGTCTCTCTGGGCTCAGGTCCATCTCATGATTCTGAAGCAAGTGACCCCTCCCCCCATAATATGTGGCAAGGTGGAAGGGGTATGTGCCTGGGCTGCCAATGCAGACAGCGTTGGAAAAGCGGCTGGGTCGTGGATCCAGTCCTGAGTAGGAAACTCAGATCTTTGGGTGAGAACTTTGGTGGGCAGAGGCAGCCGGGTGGAAGAACGGACGGAACTCGGGTGACATGGGTCGCGAGGATATGGTAAGTTGGTTCTATCATGCAACAGACCAGCAGAAACACAGAATGTTAGGACGAGGAGCTTGACCCTCAACATGTGATAGCCCAATGATAACCCGTGCGTAGGTAGAGAGAAGGGAAGGATCCGGCAAACGTGGTGGAGATCAAGGCAGGCTAGGAAACAGGAGAAGGGCCGAGAGAGCAGGGCGAGGCTGCACAGAATGCGGAAAGCCGGGGTGAAGGGATTCGCAACAAGAGCGTCGACCTGCCTGATCTTGATCCGGTGATGGCCCAGTGCAGTATTGTGCGGAGGCCATCGGACCAGGCCAGGGACGAGGACGAGGAAGAGGAATTGCAACCAGGATCCAGGTGTCTGGGACGGCCGAGAGAGGCAAGAGAGATGGGTCAGGGGCGGTGGGGGCTCTTGCCTTACTCCTGGGCTGGCGGCGGGTAGCGACTGCCCTGACTAAGAATATCTTATTTAGTGCTCTTACAGCTGGCCTGGTAGGGCTTTAGGGCGCTTCCGTAGCACCGCGCGGCCCTGAAGAGTTCCTCTTTTGGACGTTCTGCTCGACTGGTTGGTGCACAAAGCGTCTGAAGCTGACAGGGGAAGGCTCTCAGCCGGTTTCTGGTTTGAGGCATGTTTGAGGTTGACTACACTTGCGCAAAGTGCTTCCACTTGTCGGCCGCTTCCCTTCTGGCTCTCCTGCTAGCTTTGCTTTCTATTAAAATGATGTTGCCCGCGCTCTTTGATTAGTAGGGACCTACTCAAAGCTGCAAAGTGTGTGTAGTGCCAGATGGGCCATCATATGCCATCCTATCATCCACCTTGGCCACTCCGCCGTACACCATGCGATGACTTGCAGCGCGCGCGCCGATATCATGAAACATGGAAGTGGCTGTAGCTCTAGAAGGTGCCAACGAGCGTCGATCTTCATTCACCCTGGCCCTTGTTCGTGGTTGGGATCTGTCCCAGACCCTGGTCCCCAGGCACCGATTACCACAATCTGGCAGGGGTTGAATACATTCTCTCCGCAATGAGCTACGCGCTGTGGTGTGCTGTGCAGATGCGTCACACTGGCAGTTAGTTGTCGGAGAATATCATGCAGAACAGGTTGGGTCGATCGCAAGCTCTCACTCGTCGATGCTTAAGATGAGCGCATCTGGTAGTTTCAATGCGCCCGAGTGCTCTGCTCTTCTTTGCACCACGGCCCGCCACGCAATCTTACTTGCTTGAATGCATTGTCGGAGCAAAAAGCAAGACTCATGTAAATGACGGCCAGCCCACTTCCATCTCTGCTGCCACCGACCAGCTGCCGCAATGGGCACCAGCTTGACAGGAACAGGAAGGTGGTGTAATGTCGCACCACTGACACACCGCGACACACTCTCTACTTGGGCCAACATATTATTCAGGCACATCGTCTATTCTAATCTGCGCGCGGGTTGGCCATTCCACTGGTAAGTGGTCTGCATGAATTCGGAAACCTTCCTCCCTTCTGGGACCCTGTTCTCGCTACGCTTCTACCCCGTCCCGCGCCAGCTGGCCAATGCGTTCTTTGCCTCGTTTGTTTCCATTGTGCGACGCAGCTGAGGTCGTTGCGTTGCGTGGTATTAAAGGGGATCCGATTTCTCAACCAGATTCCCATGCCGTCGTTGATCGACACCGTGGAGTATAGCTGACGCTCTTGGTGTTGGTGCCCCGAGATGGCACCGATAGCCCTGCCTGGTAGGAACGGAGATGATGGCATGGGCTGTGGGTTAGGACAGCTATCTCGGTCCGTCTTGATGTATGAGACAATGCGATCGGCGTCCTTGGAAAGCAACCATGGGGGAGGGAATGGCCGTTGGTGTGCCGCGGAGTGGCAGCATAGAAGATCGGGTCATCTGAACAACTTCGGAAGTGTTACAGAATTCGCGAAACCTCTGTGCGCTTCTCGTAAATTCACAGCTGCTACGAGCAAGTGCCAAGACTACTTTGTTCTTGAGAGCACGTATTAGTGTTTCAAGAAGAAACCTGCTCAGTCGTGCTTGCTTGCTCCCTGGTTCCAGTTACTCTGAATACAGGCTTATCGAAGACCACCCGCGAGCTTGCCGTCTTACATGAGAGCTCTATCGCTGTGGTCTGTTCAGTATCCTCTTTTCTCCGCGGCCGCTTCGTTCCAGTGCTTGACTCTCTACTCTGTAAGCGGCGTTATGAATCGGTTAGTGCCATGTCTGGCATCTCTCAGCGGATAATCCTCCCTCGCTGCCGTCGAAACTCGCCACATCCCTGCCATCGATCCATCCTTCATCGTCAGGTCGGCTTCGTCACACACCCCTGACCCTTGTTGAGTAGGGTGTTAGTGGGGTGAGGTATTATGCTTTCCAAAATAAGGTATTTTGGGAACAAGGGGAATGGTAAGACTGAGACGTGCTTGTATCTTCCTTAACCCACCAGAGTTCAGATGAAGATGCTGCTCATGCACACCTAATATGATTGATTCTCTCCACATCGACGGATGGCACGCACCAAGGGGACTTAGGACGGAGATTTTAACTGATCACTTTCACCTGCGATCTGCCGAATGACAAACTCTGCCTTCGTTCGAGTAGCCGCCACGCACCCCCTTGGATACTAACAATAGGCTACTGGGGAAGCTCCTCACGTAGATTAGGTACTCTTATGGGCCCATATGCATCTGGTAATCCGTATTACTGTTTCAGCGAAAGGCGGCTATCCTGGGAGCCTACGTCCCAGCTTCCAACTTCATGAAGTGATCAACCCGCCAAGGTTTACAGCCCGAGCTAAAGGCCGCCGACAAGGAACGGCCGCCTAGGGAAAAAGATGCATACCATTTGTTCTCACCTGCTCACTTTGGGAAGACGGGTTTCCGCTGATTAGTACGGACGGCTTCGACGGAGCAGCAGAAGGAGCCGAGCAGAACAGATACCGCAATATCGGGGAGTGAGATGCGCTCGGCATTGCCGCCACAACGCGCGGGAGCCATTCTCGGCTAGAGAGGCTCATATTCTAGGCCTTTATGGAGTAGAGATCGTTCGATTAATTATTCACGTAGACAGTTGAGTTGTAGCATCTTTGAGAGAGTAGTGTGCAAGTATGGCTATTGTCTGATCTTGCTTTTCTGCTGTAAGTAAACACTCAATGTGCTGCTGAACTACCATATGCATCCCGGGATCTACAATTCCATGGCGAGATTATGCCTCTGTCTCTAATTTGGTGACTGAATGGACCGGAAATACTTGTACAGCCTCAAGCCGTGATTTTCAACTATTGACGCGAAGTATAAGCCCTAGACCGCCGCACGCAACTCATTACCCTAATAATGTTTTGAAACTTCCCCAAATAGACTTTCTATGTTGTTGTCACGGTCCTCTTGGCTCCTTTCCCCCTTGATCCGCGTTGAAATTGCTCATAGCTCTGGTGTCCCAACGAGATCGTAGCACACCGCAAATATTTACTGCTAATTTAAGATGAGGGCAATCATTTATCTACCTATTCATCAGTGTTTTTATTTCCATCAGAGTCACAAGTTTTCAAGCTGTGGCAGAACAACGATGTAGCTCAATAGATCGAAGGCGAGAAGATGCCCAGGGGCAGTATCCGAGGAACAGAGGGGCTACATCAGCCTTGGTGGTCGAATCGTGGACAGTAAGCAACTGTCTTAGCCGTTCGAATAGAATTTATGAAAAGAATACTGACGAGGTGAAGTTTGGAATAGCCAGCGGAATGGATCTTTGATTCTGCTCTTTAGATAGCGCGACAAGCCACCGGAGCCAAGCGTACAACGAAGAACCCCCCCCAATCCTCATCCACGACCGCGACGCTGGCGTCCCCGCGATATAGAAGGATTTCGACAAAAAGAGTCCGATCGAGATGAATCGCGGCGCCGAGTACGAAGAGAATTTCAATATATGAAGCTTTAACAGCATGGTTGACATGCTGTACTTTGACTATCCCGACTCCGAGGGGACCGAAGCGCAATAATGGCGCGAGCTGTATCGTCACTACACCACCGAAGAACCAACGCTAGACATATAGCGCTTCATGCGCACATTCCCGAAATCCAAAGGCAGGCGGTTTGGTCTATGGGGATATGATATCACCTCAAAGCTGACCATAGATCCGCACGCTACGTCCTGGGTCAGGACAAGCGGATAGAAGAAGGCAAGCTCGTCGAAGAGCCGTTGAGGCTTGAGAGCCTGGGACTCGTCAGCCCAGTGATAGATCCAACGGTCGAAATCACCCAAGGCCTGGTTTACGCACATACAAATAGACACCCGGATGGTCAACACCACGGAGTACTCGGACCTCATGACCTCACACCTCAACATGACTGAGTGGTTGGACATATCAAAATGCTCCAGAAAGGGAAATCCGTTGTTCCTAAAATTGACGATTGATATAATGCTTGCCTAGGTCTGCACAAGTGGAGAATATCAAAATATATTGCTGATGTCCTATCTAGGGATTTGGTAAAAAGACAAAAATTAATAACAATGATATTACATTGTGAAATATAGTTCGAACATCGTCGTATAGATGGTCTATTCAAGTTGCTTATTTTAAACTTGAATGATGTAGGTGATGTAAAGTGAAGCAAAATCACCGATCATCAGCCCACCAACGTGTTTCGACGGCTTCTATCAAAGCGTGAATCTTTCCGCCCGACTATAGATTCAAGCGCTTGCTGTAGTGCCTTGCTATCATACCTACCGCCTCGCCCCGATTCATCCTTGGGCCCGTACGCTCTAGTGCAGTCGATTCCTAACTGGGCGAAGAGCTGTCTGTCCACCTTTGGCGCCGTGGGCCCCTCGATGTATATGACATGGGAAACGTACCGGCAGTACTCATCCTCGGACGGTTTTGGGAGACCCCTGGAGTTGGAACAGGCGTGGGCGATGGCGGCGACAAAGTCCAAACCGCTCATCGGCTCGTCTGCCGGTCCCGTTTCGCGGTCGACGGAGCCATTGAGGATGAGAATCTTACGGATCAGGGGGCTGGCGATGGCATCACCTACGCCTTTTAACACCAGACTAGGGACAAGCGATGTAAATAGTGACCCGATGCAGTAAATGACGGTGTTGGCGCTCTGCAGTGCGTCCAGCACGCGGGGATTGGCAGGAATGCGAATCTCCTGGCCGTAGGGGTTGATGTACCATACCCTGTCGATTCTCGAGGGCAGGTCTTCTTCATCGTCCTTGGAGAATACGATTGCCGGGCGTCTTAATGACGGGAGAGAACCAGGGAGGTTCGCATCCTCAACCTTGTCATGCTCCTCCGTCTCTGGCACGGGCGTCTGGACCCCAGGCGTGATGAGTCCCGAGCCGGGGACTGCGCGTGTGGGCACGCTTGGGTGTGAGATGTCATTCTGGCCCGTGATGATGGTGCCATCCTTGAGTCCGGCGGCGATGTGATGGGCGAAATTGGTGTTGAGCGCCGGCAGCACGGATATGCGCTCCGGCACGGCGCATATGGAACTAAGTAGGTAAATGGCAGCCTCAAAACTTCCCGTGAACAGTCTTGCGCCCGTCAGGAAGATATTCCCGATACTGGCCCCAGAGTAGTCGAAGCGACTGCTTGGCCGCATGCGCTTGACGGCTTCGAGATTGAAGCTGTTGAGGATGGAGCGGATGAGCTCGCGTTTGGGAGAGGAGATGTGGTCCCATAGCGGGTGAGTTGCCTCGAGGATTTCAAACCATTCTGCACGAGCGCTCGAATGGACCCGAGGGAACCTGTGATTGAAGAAGTTCTTGATGGCAATGTTTTCAGGGTTGTCGTTGTTGGGGATCAGACGAACAAGCCGCGATCTCACATCGCCAATTCCTGTGCCGGTGATGATGATTAGCTGGGCCAGAGCGACCAATGCTGCCTAAAGGCGCTGTGGACATACCTGGACCGCCAAAGACACGGATGATCTCGCTACTGCTGCCGCCATTGTCTGAGATGGGGATGACATAGCTCAGTGTACACTGGTTGGCGTCACGGACATGTTCAAAGACATCGACGAGATTGTTGGCTGCGCTTCCACCAGAGAATACGACCAGGCCGCCCTGGAGCTGAGAATTGACACCGGGCACACTCCCAGGGAACGATAAAGGTGAGTTTGCATGCGATGATGATGATTTGGGGCGTGCTGGGGTCGACGCCAAGGGCACCTGCAGGACGGTGGGTTGCTCGTCGGGCTGAGACATTGCCCAACGATGCAGGGAGGTGGTGGTGAGAGGTGGTGAAATGAAGCTGTTAATGCTGCTTGGAGGTATTATGTCTATTCTATTTCTTCGATATTTTGCGAGATACCCGTCCAATCCCTCTCATGAGTCTTACTTGTCCTCTTCCTTGCGATCACTGCGACCGTTTCGGAGGGCGACATGTGATGTCGCCCCGGTTTAGGCATAGTTCGGAATGATTGCACTTATCGGGTCTCGTATCCGAAAGACCTTTAAATTATGCAGGTACGAGATCAATTCTCACGCATTGTGCCAACCTTGAACAACCTTATTTATCGCTCTCCTCTGCTCTATCGAAATGAGGTTCTGGCGCCCGGGATTGTTCATACCCGTGGCGCAACGGCTATGGCAGCATGATTTCTGATCGGGGTAATCCACTTCATCTGTGGATCTGTCCTCAGCGATGCAATTTGGATATCGTCAATTCTTGAGTCATAAGGAATCATCATGAATAATTAAGATGCCCTTTTCACAACAGCACTACGCAGAACCACCCTTCAAAAGGCCCAAACCAGAACACTCGGTTCATGCAATCTCGATAACAACCTTGGCCTGGTGCTGGGCCGACCACTGATACTCGTACGCCTCCTTCAGCTCCTCCAGCTTGAATTTCTTGGGATCAATCACCGGGCGGAGCTTATCGGGGTTGGCCGACACCGCAGCCGCAAGCTCCTCGAGCTGCACTCTGCTCCCCACCAGGATCCCGCGGATCGTGACGAGCTTGTTCAGGGCCTCCAGGAACCCAGGCTCCTGCTCACCCTTGACGCCGCCGACGAACCCGATGATTGTGATGACGCCGTCAATCTTGCTCGCGATGAGGCTCTGGGCGATGGACTTGGGGCCGGCCACCTCAATGACGTGGTCCACTCCGCGGCCGCCGGTGATCTCCTTGGCCTTCTCGCCCCAGTTGGGAGTCTCCCTGTAGTTGATGATGTGGTCGGCCCCCAGCTTCTCCAGCAGCTTGCCCTTCTCGGCCGAGCTGGTCGTCGCGATGACCTTGGCGCCGGCGGCCTTGGCCAGCTGGACACCAAAGATGCTCACACCGCCGGTGCCTTGAGTGAGGACCCACTGGCCCGGGAGGAGCTTCTTGTCGGAGAGGCCGTACAGGGCGTTCCAGGCGGTCACACCCGCACAGGGCAGGGTGGAAGCCTCGCTGAAGCTGAGGTTCGAGGGCATGGCGACGAGGCCGGTCTGGTCAAAGGCGCCGTAGGTTCTCAGAACACCGTCGATGGCACCGCCGAGGCCGGTACCAGCGCTCTGCAGGTCGAGAGAACCTCCTATATGGCCCTGGTTGAAGAGGGTAATGACGTTGTCGCCGGCCTTGAAGCGGTCCACGTGCTTTCCTACGGCGACGACGGTTCCAGCACCGTCAGAACCGGGAATGATACCCTTCTCCATCTTGAAGGGATACAGGCCCTTGGGGATAATGAGATCACGGTACTGAGAGCGAGTTTCATGTCAGTATTTTCCGTCTTTAGTATTAGAAGAGTGGAAGTTGGCGCTGGCCTACGTTCAGAGAGGCGGCGTGGACTGTGAACACAGGTTAGCAACTCGCTCAACTAGTGAGGGGGTGGTGAACTAGGCACACGTACACTTGACGAGAACCTGGCTGTCTCCGAGCTCAGGAATGGGCTCCTCGCTGAACTTGAGGGCATCGAAGCCCGTGAAGTCAGAGACTGACCACTGCTTGACCGTCTTGGGGATCTCTTGAGCCATGATTGTGAATGTTTGATAACGATTTTTTTCTAAGATGCTTGCCGGAAACGCTCCTCAGCAAGGTGAAACGGCCGGTTAATAAACAATTAGGCCAAGGTTATCCGGGGCTTGAACGATGATTTGTCAGTTGACCCGGTGGGAGTGACGGGGGCCCCGATTATACGGCCGGAATCACGGAGTCGTTTGACGTAATTCATGGCCCATATTTACAAGGTGAGACGTGGGTGAGAGTGGAGATGGCTCGAGGACGGCAAGGACGGACGGGACGGATGAATTGCTTGATGGATGGATGGATGGAAGAGACTGGAGAAAGTCGCCGGAGATTCGGGCTGGGCACATCATCTCGCCGTCCCTGGCTCCGGTGGCATAACTGGATGGATGATGCTTACGAGGGCCGTGGCGACAACAACAATGTCTAGGACGGCCATCACACCCACGCGGCTATACTAGTTCCACGTGGTGATGCCGCTGTTCAACTACCGAGACATCAAGCGCCAACCCAAATTCAACACCCGAATTGCTGACACACGGGGAGGCGGCGCCCACACTATCGCCATCTAGATCAATGGCTGAGGGATGCCTTTCTCAACCCACCCCTCGGTAGCCTTAGACACAAGCTTTTCTTGCCGCAACTAAGGCCCCTTGACTATGTGATTGGTCCTGACAAGTCCCTGCGTTTACACAGGCACACTTGGGCGTATGCGCAAGACACGATGGTCTACATCGCCTGTTCGGGAGAGTGGCCCGGAACGATGAGTGCACCGCACCGTCGCTCGATGGCGCAACTGATGGCCCGACGGGCTCATTCGATGTGCCTGGACCCATCGCCAATATATTCAAGGGAACGGCATTTGGGAGAATCAAGACGGGAGGGCGTGCATGGGTCGGAGTTGGCGGAGGTGGAGGTGGACTTGTCTCGTTTGTCCTCGGTGACGGACATGGCAAGTGGGCTCAATCATTTCGCTGATAGAGGTGTCGATGATGAGAGTCATCTGGAATGTCGAGGTCAAGTTTGTCTATCCAACATATCTTTTAGGGGCGAGATGCTGCCAGGACTGCCTGGATGATATCTCTCCTCTACCAGGTCCAGATTTCTCTCAAATGAGTCGTCCAACTGTCATGTGGCAGCAGCCTAGCCCTTTGAAGAATCACTGAGAACTGATGGCATTTAATAGAATTCATGCCCTCTTGGAGAAAGGCGTTTTGAGCTTGAATATCGTGCATGTTATTTCTCGCCTGGAATATAATGGCTTTGGTGTCCTGAATCATGAGATATAGCTCACCAGGTCCCCTCACCAGCGATGACAGTGAGGATATCTGACCAAAGAGACTGAATTTGGGGGCGGGGTTCAGGTCAGGTAAGCTCCCGGGGGGAAGGGGCCTTTTGTTGATGTAACTCCTCTTCTCTAACCCAGACTTATTTTTACTCAAAGAAGAACCAACAGCCAGCCAAGGAGTCACTCCACTTCTATCTTCCGCGCCATTTAAACCCAGTAGCACACACGCGATCAAACAAAGACACCCAGGAGAGAGGAACAGTTATGGCTGATACCCTCAAGGAAAAGTGTTTCGCTGAGACGTTTGTTGCCCCGCAGTGGCTGCCTGGAGGGAATTTGTTCTGGTACTGTCGACAGGTAGATACGGGCAAATTCAAGTTTATCCTTGTTGATATTCTTGCTAAATTTGCCAGACCTGCCTTTGATCATCACCAACTAGCTTGTGCCCTTGAGGGAATTGCAGAAACTAAGATTAACCCAGAGAAACTACCATTCTCATGGGTCGAACTACAAGACTCTCTCGTCCGCTTCCGCTTCAAGAAGCAGATTTGGCAATATGAACCTGGACAAGGCTTGAAAGAGTGGCCAGGGGAGTTTACTCAGGGAAACACAATACTGATGCGGAGCCAAGAGCCCTCCGGCTCTACCTGGTCCGCACCGCACGCCACAGCTAGCTTTGTCAACACTACGAGGGCCAGGATGAGTCTGTTCACCGTGGACCGGAATGGGAAGTCGGAATACTTCATGCCCATTCCAAGTGGCAAGACGGTGTTCCAAAAAACAAAAGTCAAAGCTGTCTGGAGAATTGAGGATGAACACACAGGCCAGCTAAGAGGCATCTATTGTGTGCCAAGCCCGGGAAATAACGTTGTGTATGTGGGCGAGGTTGATGTAGACGAGTATTTGGGCCAGGAGCGCGAACTTCCCCGTGGCTGGGAGCTGCGGAGGAATGAGAATGGGCGTTTTTTCTATATTGATCATAACACTAGGACTACCCATTGGGACTGTCCTACAGTCACTGGCGCTGCGGATGCTCAGTCAGAGATGGCGACGAGGTGGGAGAGGATGGCGAGGCTGAAGAACAGCAAGTCACTCTCGTTCAAGAAGAACTGAGTGGCGACGGCCGAACCAGAATATATGTTCGGGGCAGCAATATGTGGCTAAAGGACGAAGAAGGTACCGAGTCCCTGCTTGCCGAGTCATCCGATCCCAAGGACTCTCGCTATGACAAATCCATGCTTTACATTTCCCCGAACAATGATTTCGCCGTTGCCTGGCAGTACACATCTGGTAGTACCACTGATGAATACTGGGTTGAGTATGATCCGGACCGTCGACCTCACCCAAGGCTGATCAAAGAATCTAAACGGTTTCCAAAGGATAGACTTCGAGTTGATCGCCCTCGTCTTTTCAATCTTGCTTCAAAATGTGAAGTTCCGACAGAGAATGCTCTGTTCTCAAATCATTATCAACTACATCATCTGGGCTGGAGTCGGGATGGATCAGAGTACCGATTCTTATTTGATGGGCGCGGCCACCAGGTCTTAAAAGTTCTTGGCATACATAGATCTGGGTCAATCCGAGTGTTGTATGAAGAAAAGAGCAGAACGTTCATTGATATCACATCAAAGCTATACTATACTCAGTTATCTGGTTCTGATAATATGATATGGGCTAGTGAGAGAGATGGCCATAATCATTTATATCTGATCGACTTACAACAAGGCAAGATACATAGCCAGATCACAAAGGGCGATTGGAACGTGGCTATGGTGGAACGCGTTGATGAGGAGACTCAGACAATTTGGCTTTCGGCATATGGGTTCCATCCAGATGAAGACCCGTACCACTTACACCTAGTCCGTGTTAACTTTGATGGTACTGGATGTCGGGCCCTAACAGATGGAGATGGAACCCATGTTTGGAGCTGGCCATTTGATACATGTAGCCACCGGTTCTTTGTTGACTCTTGGTCACGGGTCGACCTCCCACCGCAGACTGTGGTACGATGTTCAGAGACGGGCATTATTCAATTGAATGTTGAGGGTATCTCTGCTGAAGAGCTTAAGCAGCAAGGTTGGGTCCCGCCTGAAAGGTTCCATTGCCCTGGCCGAGATGGGAAAACCTTGATTTACGGCATTATTACCAAGCCCCTCAACTTCGACGAAACTCGTGATTATCCTGTAATCGAATCGATATATGCAGGCCCGTTCGATTTCTTTACACCAAAAAGCTTTGGACAAGTTGCCCATAATTATAACTGGGCAACCGAAGGCTATGTCTCAGTTCAGCTTGATGGTATGGGTACCAATTGGCGCTCCAAGCAGTTTCATGATGTTTGCTACAAGAATCTGAATGACGGAGGTTTCCCTGATCGTATCATCTGGATAAAAGAGGCCGCAAAGACCCGACCTTGGATGAACCTGGATCGAATGGCTATTATTGGCTCATCTGCTGGGGGGCACAATGCTGCATCCGCGTTGCTTCATTTTGGCCACTTCTATAAGGTTGCTGTTTCTGACTCAGGTGCACATGATAATAGTCTTGTCGCTCTTTGGTGGGCTGAACAGTGGTTGGGCTATCCAGTTGATGACGCATTATTTGCCGAACAGTCAAACGTGAGTCATGCTGGGAAGCTTCCAGCTGATGCAAAGCTAATGCTTGTGGTTGGAGGAATGGATAAGGCCCTTCATCCTGCATCAACCATGAGATTCGTTCAGCAACTGAATAAGGCGGGGAAGATGTATGAACTTGTCTTTGTTCCAGAAGGGGGGCATAATTGTAGTTCGTGTGGGTATGGGCTGATGCGAGTTAACGCCTTTTTGAAGGGTAACTTACAATCAACTAGGTAGCCAATTCTATTAGGTGTTTGACCTGAATTTGCAGAATGCTGGAGATATCTCCTGTAGTTAGGTCAAGCAACAGCTACCGATTGATGCTTCGTGTGCGCGGCTTGCTCGCAAGGGGATGTGTCTTACCTTACCTGCAACTGCAAAGGGGCTATTAAGGATGCGGAAATACTGGGGAAATTACCATGTTTTATAGGAGTCTTCACGACTACAGACAGAGGTATTATGTTGGCTTTCTATTACTCTATGGACTTATGCCTATATCACCAGGATAACATTGAGGGGTAGAATGTCTAATAGTATTCCCATGAGAATTGGCGACATAACTTCAGTGAGTTTTGCACCCGGCAACATATCATGACAAAGAAGTACACTTGAGAATGTGGCAATGGAAGTCGACTGGGACGGATATGCTGAAATCGGCATGATCCAGCTGACTCTTCGTGGTCTCAACAACGCAGCTGGGAGGACCGAATAGCGAGAGAAGTCATGATGAAATTTGGCAATCCGTATGATCTTCTTTTCGGTCAGATCAACTCAATGCCCACTCTTACTGGATTCGATGTAACCTCGATTGATGGCGTCGGTCCGACAGAGGCCTGTCTCATCACAGAGCATTTCTGCCCTAGCTCTACTCTCCAAGCATCCTTTTTCCGGGGAAATAATGAAAGAGAGTCTTAAGTGCGGTTTCTACTTCTATATACAGTCTCTTTGTGTTTGATCTTCTGCTTAGATAACTGGAAGAGCTCGGTGGTTATCCTCTTTCGAGGCATCGGTGGTTGACGTTCCGCGGCTACAATGAGAGGATGCTTCCAAATAAGGACTGAAGCTTGCATGTGTATGGTCATGAAGCCTGTCCGGATCGGCCCGTCTAAAAATATAACAGAGCAGCAAGAGGCGGAGTTAACTCCGCCTTGACTGTTCTCTCCCCTGTGAGATGATGCTGCTCTGCATTTATCCAGCCCAATACGCCGAGAGTTAACCGCCGCGATGTCGCCGAGGCCCCTCTTCCCCATACAAAGCACAACCTTTTCAGGCACACAACCTTAAACTAACCTGGTGATGCTTCTAAGCATCGTCCTATAGAGCCTCTTGAGCCGTTTTGCGATGTTGCATCGCCATGGCGGTGATTTGGCATTGGTTTGGCTCGGGCCGACCTGAGGCACCCTCATGGCATTCACCGACGCTCGTGATTCTCACAGTATCCTCTAGAGACAGTAAACTCTTCCGTCTATATGGCTAAACATACTGAAAACTCAAGTATATTAAGGACTGGATTCTCCCTTGATTCTCTGGCCTCAACCATTCCACAGGCAGTCTCACATTCTCCTGACACAACCAACCCATCAAAACCACCTTATCGAATCGATCAGCACAGCCATGCTTCATAAAGTGCTCCCAATCGCATTCCTTGCTGGCCAGGCACTTGGCCATGGCTACTTGACCAAACCAATGAGTCGAACGGGCCTCAACGCTCTGGTAGCCCACCCCATCTAGCCCTAACCCCTTCTTTCCACGACTAACGAAACAATCCTCTCTTCTAGGCCGGCCCAGACACTTGCCCCGAGTGTGCCATCCTGGAGCCAGTGACCGCCTGGCCAGACCTGGATGCCGCCGCAGTATCCCGCTCCGGCCCCTGCGGCTACAACGCCCGTGTAAGTGTCGACTACAACCAGCCCGGCGCCAACTGGGGCAAATCCACCGTCGCGACATACTCCCCCGGCCAGGTCATCGACGTCCAGTGGTGCGTCGACCACAACGGCGACCACGGAGGCATGTTCTCCTACCGCATCTGCCAGGACCAGGCCATTGTCGACAAGTTCCTTGACCCGAGCTACCTGCCCACCCTCGAGGAGAAGCAGGCCGCTGAGGACTGCTTCGAGGACGGCGTGCTGCCATGCACAGACGTCCAGGGGCAGGCATGTCCGTACAGCGAGGACTGCAGCTCGGGCCAGGCGTGCTGGCGGAACGACTGGTTCACATGCCAGAAGTTTGAGGGAGGGCGGTGCCAGGGGGTGGACGGCGCGCCTCTCAACTCGTGCTACACGTCCATCGCCGGCGGGTTCACGGTCAGCTCCAAGATCAAGATCCCAGACTACGTTTCCAACCACACCCTGCTGTCTTTCAAGTGGAACTCGTGGCAGACTCCGCAGGTCTACCTGACGTGTGCAGACATTGCCATTCAGGCCTAGGTGGGCAAGAGGTTAAAATCAGGGGGGGCTGGAGATCTCTCAAGTTGTATTTAGGCTCGGGTGGAAAGCATTCAGTTTTCTCTCTTCTTTCACAACTTATTTTCTCTTGGGGGCCTGTCAATTTTCTTGTCCACAAGAACGTCTGACATATGGATAACTTTGATAGCTATGAATCCAAGTTCATATCCTAATGCATCTGACTATCATGAAATATTCCAAGTCGAGCATTCACTCAAGATATCCATGAAATCTGAGGACTGATATCCATCCAGCTCTAGACACTACCGTACAAACATATTTCCCCAATGCCTACCATTCGATATAAAAGAATGCTACAGCAACAGCCAGCAGAACAGCAGTAACGAAGACATAAACAAACTCAATGTCCCAAGACTCACAAGCCTCAGGCTCCTCCTTGACGTGCGCATCGCAAAACGAACAGCCCTCCTTAGGCCTTGCCCAGCAATTAAAGTGGCGGCAAAGATGCCGAGGATCTAAATGGCCTAGACAGCGTCTCTGGTGCCTCGCCTTCTCTCTCTGGCATCCCTCCTCCTGGCAGACATGGCGGGCGCAGTAGAGATTCGCCGGGGCGCAGCCGCGGGTGCAGCCGCCAACCACGCACTCCTGCACAATGTCCTGGGGGTACTCCTGGACGCACTCCGGGATGCGTTCCTGGACGTATGCCGGGAGGACAACCGGCGGGTCCGGGTAGAGCTTCTCGCGCTCGACCACGTCTCTGTGATCGTCGCAAAACTCATTTCTCGGGTCTGCTTCTTTCGAGCAGTCGTGCCACTTGCAGATGATGATATCTAAGATGGGAGTTAGAAGTTAGAGTAGTCTTTTATTAAAAGAAAAGTGCAGTCTTTCTAGGTTTCTCTTACGGAAACGACAATACCATGTCTTTGAAATACACAAACCTGTTGGCGCCTTGGTATTACAATCTGAAATACCACATGACCCATCTAGGAATCGTTAGAAAGTTGCAAGGATTATGAACAGAAGACTCACGTTTTGCACAGTAAAACTCATGCTTAGAAAGCTTTCCTTCAGGGCATCTCGGGAAATAGCAGCAGGTGTCTAAGGGTTCATATCAGAATATAAACCCGGGTCGGTGGAGGGGAAGGCCAACCTACGATCCGGGCAGTACGGAGATCTTATCTTGGTAGAGTGGTTTTCGTACCGAACTTTGACTTGGCGCCCTTTGCACCCGGGGTACTGGCATTCATGCGGATGGCGGTTCCGCGAAGTTCGGGACATTTCTGCCCTGCGAGAATACAGAAACGCAACGTTGACACGGCGGTAGTTTGGAACAGGCTTCGAGAGAATGGATTGATATCTCGACAGGAGGGTTTTGCGGAGGGTGTTCGGCTGCTTGAATATCCCAAACTTGAGAAATTGGACAAGACTACTCGGCCAGAAACCTACCCATTCTTATAGAGCCATGCTTGCTTCCTATGACCGTAGGCAGAGTCTACCAAGCATAGATACAGAAGCTCTTACAAATTGCCTCCCTCGTACACACTATTCGAGCCCGTCCTGGTTTGCATGTTCTGCTTCCTCGTCCGGATATACAGACTGGTTCGTACGACTCACGTCCAAACCAATGCCGGGGCAAATCCAGAACCTCGGCCCCTTCCGCCTTCCACGAGCTGCATTGGCTTATTTCCAGTCAAACAATAAACGATTTGAGGATTTCCAATCATCCGTTTGCTTCTGTCCCTTGGAAATGACGAACTGGTAGTTACAACGTTTCATCGACTGATGTTTGAAGAGCCCAAACCTGTATAGCCATGTTTGTTTTGATCCGACGACCATCATCCCCTCAAATCTGTGGCTTGCCATGGCTGATGGTGGTAGGAATGTTGCAACTGCTGTTTTCAACGAAAGGTCAAGTAGGCAGTTGAGGAAGACGTGCTTTAAAAGTAAACAGCCCCAGGCTGTAAAGTTCCACAGTATTCTCTCCATCCACGTAGCAGCGCACAACATCGAAGAAGACATGTTCAAGGTCGCCACGCGGTTAGCCAGCCACATATGACATCAAGTCATCCGATCATAAACGCGGAAGTCATGTGTGTGCCACAGATACCGCCCGAAGTTCGTGAAGGAGGCTGTGCCTACCTTTCCGTTGGTTGCACACAGAGGCACCTTCTGCCAGTCTAGGAAACGAACCATTTATTAAGCATATGTGCTATATCACGGTGAATAAGGTGCCGTCTAGTCATGGAACAAGAATAAACTTTCTTTTCGCCAAATTTCAAAGAATCGATGTGCGTTTGGTCGTCACCTCTCCGTTTGCCTTTTGGCGTGGGGGAAGGGCCTAAATACGGCTATAAAACCTCGAACTGGTGACTTTTCTCGTCGATCAACCAGAGATGCCTCGCTGTGAAGTTTGGTTTTCTCGTATTATCAACCAAGCTCCATCCATTCCTCAACAAAACTCGGATTCACTGTTTGTGGTAGCATCCGTTTCGTGGGCAGGACAAAACGAACCTCCCTCATTAGATACACATAGCTCAAGGCTCGATACAAACTGTTTGTCTCCGTGTAGTGAAGAATCAGAAGTAAGAAGGAAGAGTTCTGAACATGGAACACTGGGTGTCTTATCAAGTATGTATTATGGCATTAACTATCGTGATTTACAGCTTCACCTTCGGTCTCATCAAGCTTTGATTTCATGCTCCCTGAAGCTTGCCACTCAAAGGCAGATTACGCGAACTGCTGCCAACCCAAACAGTCTTTTCGTGCTCCGTCACAACCCAGTTTTGAGACACAACATCCCAGTTGCTAAGATCACGTCGGGTAATATCGGCTCGGAAGATGACACTCTGCCCAGGAGCAATACGCTCAATTCGGTCGAATCCGCGGAGAACACGGACAGGCTCGTTCTCGCCACCATGGGAGATGTACAGTTGAGGAATCTCGTCTGCCGTCGCCTTACCCGTGTTTGTGATTGTGGCTTGGACTTGGTATATGACATCCCAGAGCTGACGGTTGCCACCTGGTTCGCCTGAGGAGGGCAGGCGGGGCTGTGGAGAGCCATCCAATGCGCCGGGAGGAAGGAAGTCTTCGGCGGGCGAGCCATAGCTGGTATCGTTCGAGGCTTCCTTAGCATCGGTAGAGGTGAGCCAAGGGTAAATGAACTGTTCAAACCGACGGATACCACCTGGGAAAAGATAGTCCTTCAGATCCTTGCTGTAGTTGCCCCAAGAAGGAGCAGCGATAGTCTTGCCTTCAGTTGGCTTGTAGGGTTGTGGGTTTCGAGGCAGGATCACTAGGTCGGAGTATTCGAAGGTCGACCACGATAGACCGAAACCAAACTCGTAAATAGGAGCTCCCTCATCCTCTTTGTTGGGAGCAGCCTTGTCGAAGTGGCGGTAGTCGACAAACACGCCCTCAGAAAAGTCTTGCTGGGGCGCGCCATCACCATTATTGGGCTCGTAAAGGACATCTGTGCCATAACTCTCCCGGGTTGGTCCCCACGAGAATGGAGAGCGTCCAGGGGACTGCTTTCCGTACAGGATGTCGGCAATAGAGTTGCCTGACTCCTGTCCAGGACCACCGGCCCAGATGATGGCAGTGATGTTGGGATGATCATACCATTCCTTAACAAGAACGGGACCAACTGTGTGCAACACAACAATGGTGTTTGGGTTCACCGAAGAGACATTCTTGATGAGTTCATCTCCATTCTTCCACAGGGTGAGATTCTTTCGGTCTCCTACGTTTCCATCAACATCAATGAATCCCTCACCAGCTGCAGCATTGGCAAAAACGATGACAGTGGCGTTTGGCTGCGTGATGAGAGCCTTGGTCTTTGCCCACTCATAGTTGCTCAGGACACTTTCATATCTACTTCCATCCTCGATGGCCTGGCGCTGAAGTGCTGTATCGGGGGTGATGAGGTATGGGAACTCAGCAGTTCCCGAACCCCAGCCCTGGGCGAATGTTCCATCCGCACAGCCTCGGTTATCGCACCCATTAGGACCCTTGGGGTTCGGGCCCGCGTCTTCACCGATGACGGCAACAAACTTGGGCTTAATCAAAGGTAGAGACCCCGTGTTCTTGAGAAGCACAGTGCCCTTGGCTGCGGATTCCCGGATATGGCTGGCATGATTGCCACGGACATCAACATGCGAGTTGACCTGCTCCCAGTTCTCGTTCACAGCGGCATCAGCATAGCCGAATGTATCGCGAGTCCAAGAGCTGAAGTTGATCTCTGGTTGGCCCTCAATTGTTCGGCCTACCTTGAAGTAAGCTGACATGATTCTCATGACCATGTCGTCCAAGCGGTATGCAGGAACCGTTCCGTTGAGAACTGCCAGTGTCAGGTTACCACCCCAGTAGCTTGCGCCGGTATTGAAAGCCGTGTCTCCAGGCATGGTCATGTCCAGTCCAGCAACAGCCGATGACACTCCCGAATGTTGTGCTCCCCAGTCAGCCATGACGAAACCCTGGAATCCAAGTTCGCCCTTGAGCAGGCCGTTCAAGGTCTTGGAATTGGCACAGCCATACGAGTTGTTGATTTGCTGGTACGAGCACATGACCGAGCCAGCACCAGACTTGATAGCATCGACGAAAGGCCAGTTGTAAAACTCGTGCATCGTCTTGTCGTCAATGTTTGAGGAAAGGGTCTCACTGATGTTGTATCCGCGACCTTGAGACTCCCCAACCTGTCGGAAATGCTCCTGCTCGTTGGCAATATAATGCTTGGCAGTCGCAATGACTCCAGCTCTCTGGATGCCTTCAATTGTGTTCCCAAATGCCTTTCCGAGCAGATAAGGGTCAGCGGAGAAACCTTCCCAGTTTCGGCCACCGGTAGGAGTTCGACCAATAGGCCCAGCGGCAGGTCCAAGAAGAGCATCGATACCCTTATCATGGGCCTCAGAGCCCATCTTGTAGCCACGATCCTGCCAGAGAGGGCGGCTCCATGTAGCACCGGCAGTAATTCCAATGGGGAAGGCACTGATGTAGTCTGCGAATCGGATGCCCAAAGGACCGTCCTGCATGCAGAGACCGCGGAAGCCTAGGCGAGGGACAGCTCCAACGTTTCCAACGCACTTGTCACCCATCCAACTAAATCAATTGTCAGACCTGAAGCCAGCAATTCACTTTACAGACACTGGATGACAACTCACCCGACACCAGTGGTCAGATTAACCTTCTCCAGCAGAGTCAACTGGGAGACAAAGTCTTTGGCCTTGGCATAGGCCTGCTCCCAGCCAGGTGCTGCTGGATCCATCCATGGCGAAGGATAGTGGGGTTCGGAGTAGGCCAATTCATCGCGAGTTTGGAAGTCAACCTGAGAAGTGGTTTCAGAGTTAGCGTTGATGCTCTGGGAGAGAACGGCGATGGCGATAAGCAATGATGGCTTGAGCATTTTGACTTTTGCCGTCGATTGCCTCGCAGCACCACGAACCAATGTCAATTGCTAGTAATAATGCGATGCACATCAATGATGAAAGGAGGCGCTGAGAAGTTTAGAAAGATATGAGAGGGAAGGATAAGCCTGTCTGGATTGCCATCGTAATTGCCAGTTCAGGGAAACCCTTGTGAATCATGGGAAATGAGTGACATGAACCCCAGCTCCAACGGCATTTCATAGAGTTGACGCAACAAAATCTGAATAAAAAAACCAAGAAGGGAAGGAAGGAGCGGGGAGGCACGGGATTGGAGAGACAAGAGAGGGAAAGAGAGAGGGAGAGGACCAAAGGGAAAGGGAGAGGGAGAAGAGGTACAATTGCCCCAGCAGTAAGACAGCAGACTCGACTTACAGATTTGGCATCCAGACCAGCTGCCAGAAGGGCAACGGCAGTCAATTGGGCGACCTTCATGGTAGATGGTGTTGTTCCAGAAGGCTAGAGTCTGGTTGGAGGAGCACCTGGATAACGCGAGGTCAAGCAGCTGGATCGACGGCGGACATGAAGCGATATAAATAAATAAACAGTCCCGGCAGCACAGTACACACACGTACAGCATGTGTAAGTGAGCGAAAGCGGCGATCATCATCAAGCCCATCTCCACCCCGCATCCTGCGAGTGCCCTATAACAGGCCCAGTCCCCCAGCACCCACCCATCATCTCCCGCAACAAAGTTCCTGCAGGCAGAAATGTCGTGTCGCGATGCGGATGGCCACAATAATGAGCCCACGAGAACTCGCCAGCCGTGAGTGACATGCATCCTCGCCTGCTGGCCAAGACATCCATCCATGGACGTCCTTCTGTTTTCGTTGCTCGCCCAGCAACGCCCTGCTCACTCGCTTACAGAGTCTAGATGCCTGTAAGCAGCTCTCGGTCTGCGCTGTAGTGTCCATCGGTTCGGGGCAATTACAGGCCCGGCCTAGTGGCAGCTCCCACTACCCATTGGCCGTCATCTCACTCGCATCCTTCAACGGCCGGCACAGCATCTCGAGTGGCGATCCAAGGGACCTGCTCCGACGCCCAAGCTTCGGGATTCCAAGCTACGGGCAGCACACACACCATACCTAGGTACATCATAGCTCATATCCCGAAATGAACTGCCACCCAAGAAACCAGGGCCACCCCGGAACCCCACAGAAGTGGCTCTTAGCTCGCCTTCTGGACTAGGCCCCGCCCTCCGGCTGGCTCCTGGTGGGTGTGCTCGACTCCCTGCGGGGAGCTGGGCTTGCCGCTAACCACCACGACAGGCAACAGCCCACAGAAGGCTTTCTCCCCCTCACGAGCCACTTCACGCCTGGAAAAGGGCCGATGATCGATCATGAGCTCTCCCATGCACGTCTTGGCCAATGGATCGGCCCAATGCTCCCGATGCTCGTCATAGCACCCAGACCCTCCATTTCGCCAGCCGACATGCGAGTTTCCTGCCGTGGCACACCCAATTACGTAGATTGAGTGGTGAATTGGTGTCACCAGATGAACCTGGCTCGCATCGATAATCCGTATGTCATGGAACTAAAGCATGCTTGAGCCGCACTGAGAGCTGTCTCGCCGGTTCCTAAGGGCCCAGTGGATTACGCCAATGGATTGCCTCTACCGAGCTCCTTCGAACAGGCAGGTCAGACGAAGCAAAGAAACAGATGGAAATAAACAAAAATAAGGAAGGTGGCCACTGACTTCCCGCATCACCTCGTGCCAAAGAAAAAAAAAAGCAATCATTACACTGTCAATATCCTTGTCTAGCCTGTATTTCCCAGGAGACGGCTAGCTCCCCCGCATCGCTCCCTCAACTCCCCTCTCCACTCGCCCCCAAACCCCAGCTCAATCCTCTTATCCACGCTTCTGCTCGGACGCTTCTCCAGCGCTTTCGGGCCTTTTCACCTTCCAGCTCACCCGGTGTAGGCGTCTTGCATCGGTTGCTGCGCAGACCGACCTTGGATGCAACGTTGCCGCATGAAATCAGGAGTCATGACATTTCTTTTTTCCAAGGATCGGGGCCCATACCAATGGTTCCTGCTCTTCCACGAGGCCTCTTGTTTGGTTAGCTCTCTCTTAAGCTTACTGGCAAGTCGCTGCTAGCTTCATCGAATTCCCTGTTGCTCCACTTGGCCTGGGTTGAGAAGCATGCTGGTCTCGATCACGGGGAAGCAAACAGGATACCACGGACAATTCCTTGATTTCATCTTCATTCACCCAAAAGGGTTGCCAAGAATGAAGATGGCAAGTTACATAATATACCTAAGCTAAAATATGTAAACAGACGAAGGGGGCAAAAAAAAGGAGCCACTGCGTAAACTAGCCAAGCGATTCTTTCGAAATCACAAGCCTTTAGATGCTCGTCCCACCTGAAGAACACTTAAGACAGCCCGTCGCGGGAAAGGCTCATCTCAAGCGCCCGTTGGACCTAGAATTGGCACCGAGCGTGGTGGCACATCTTGTGATCACTAGTAGATGCCCGGGATGATCCTCCATCGAACAATCTTCTTGTACTTGTCCCAATCCTCACCGTACTTGCGATGGCACTTCACGTCATCTCGTCCCTCACGGTGAATGAGGAGAACGGCGAAGTAGATGAGATAGAAATACGTCAAGGGCATGGCCCAGCCCTTGGCATCCCCTTGCACCACCTCGCGGCCATCTTTCAGAATAACGGCTCCCTCAGCACCAGTCCCAGCGGCCAGAATCTGATATCCCGCCAGGCAAGTGGGCAAGGAGAATGACCATGACTGTAACCAGTCTCCCAAGTAATTGACATGTCGGGAGACGCCCCACCAACCTGAGATCAGTAGCCGGCTGCCAGATTTTGTCTTCATGAACTTCAGGTGTGCTACCTTGGGGTCGTTCATGTCGGTACGGAATCGATTTTTCTCATTGTTAGACAATCTGAAAATTCCGTAGCCGGCTCCAATAATGAGAAACATGGCCGTGAGGTGCAGGGGACCAAGATGAACAGGGTGAACCGAAAGATACCTCGTCTGGAGAGAAAAGACGAACACTTCGAAAGTGAAATCTGCAAACGCGAGCATCATTCCGAAACCATCACCAATGATGTCAATCGTAGTGAGAATCGCAGGTTCATTCCACCAGGAGTCAAACACATAAAAGATTTGGAACGCGGTGACGAGGATGATGCTATCCGACACATATCCGAAATTTCTGTATTGGGCTGCACACCATGCGCAGTCCATAACGATCCAGCCCAGCAAACCGGGGCGAAGCTCGAGCCATTGCTTCAAGTCAATCTCACCAATGAACGGGAGAGTGATGCGAGGGTTGAGTTCTCGGCCGATGAACCAGTCGTAAAGAAGATTCCCAGACTGGCCGCCAGGTGCCAGTTCTCGGTTCTCTTTGTTTCCGGGCTTCACACTGAAACTGCGAATGTACACGAAGGTTGCTAGACTGTAGGCATAGATCAAGCTAGCGGTGATGAGTTGGATGTAGTTCTCGCTGATGAACGTCCAGACCACAAAGTCGGCTCCTTGGGCAATTGTTCCGGCCGCAAGAGCAAGAGCAATAGCAATGTGTGAGTTGAGTGCTGGCAAAAGTTAGTCCCCTACTTTAACAAGTTCCTCCACAATAAAAGAGACTTACTGTTGAGCCTATAATCCAAGCGGCCACCGGACTGGAGAACCGTGCCCTTCACCTGATACGCAGGTAATATCCTATACAGGATCGCATTGACAAGCAGATACCCAGTGTATGCAAACAGCGACTGCCAATTGAACAGTCCGCGCACGCCTTCGGCAGGCCAGCCAACCTCACGTTTGAGCTGGTTCAGATCCAGAGTCCTGGGGCTCAAAAGAGACGGGGCGGGACAGCCTGAAATGTCGTTACAGACGAATGCAAATGCGTATACAAGGATCGGGAGGAGAAACGAGATGGCAAAGGCTCCAGGCCTTTAGATCGTTAGCAGACGTTCATATACCTAAGGTCGTATAAAAATATCCTTGGCTATACATACGGTCCAAGGAACTCATATCCATGCTCCCGGATGGGAGTCCGTTTGCTGGATGCCGCACTCATGTTATATCAGCGATTTGAGGCGCTTGATGAAGCCATGCATGCTATGCTTGAAGAGACCAAGGCCAGGTGGCGGCAAGCTCCCCTTTTTGAATCCTACTTAAGTACTGGTCGGTACTACCTTAGACTAAAATATTTTGGCAGGTCAAGATGTCTCGGAGTCCCAGGGATCCGAAAGGCCTGTATCGTCCGATAGCTATTACCGGATATCACAGCTTCCGTAGAGCTAGCATCGTACTCGTACCGGAGCTAGTGCGCTAATCGTATTGCACAGCGATCGATGAGAACTTTAGCTGCCCCACGAATTCAAATAGGTAATCTACTAATCATCAGTGGGGGATTAAGCTCAGCCATGGAGACATGGCTGGTGACGACACGGAGAATTTCCATCGGTCAGCCAGCGGATAAACAGTTTCGCCGGCTACCAAACCTCGGCGCCATTTCCATCTCGCCCCACTCGACACCGCCATCCAATCATGAGCCGCGTGGTCCTGACGAGCCTTCCCTAGGCCGGTTCCCTAGGCCGGTCTCTGCTGGCAGCGCGGGATTACGTACGTGCCTCTAGGCAGTTTTTTTAGCACCTACCGTATCGCGCTGAGCCGCTACCAGTTACTGCGACGCAAGATGACAAGTGTTACTCCCTATCAAGAGCTATCGATCCTCCAGACTCCACACAACAGGCGCTCGTCTTTCTTTGACATTCAGCAATCACGACTTCAATCGGGCCTGATATATCTTCCATGCCATTGTCAATCTACTCGATACTCTACATAGCCTGATCTATTTCGGTTGATGCGACTAAGACTCCACCACTCTCCTTAGCGCCTGCAGGCGCATTCGTCAACTCCCGCCGGTAGCTATATTCCCGATCGGCCTTCCTGTGCAAGACCAAGATTCCGCTACGCAGCATTCCTATACCATGCGTCTCTCTCAGTCAGTCCTTCTAGCCTCTCTGGCAACTCTCGCCATGGCAGCAAAAGACACAGAGCCATCCCCATCTACTCCTGCTCCGGCTTGCACAGCGACCTCGACGACAGGCTCCTATTTCGATCTGCGCCCCGATATAGCATGGCCTGAAGACTCCGGCAAGGCTCATAGCAAGGCTCAACACAAGGACTATTATGCGAGGGGGTGGGATTACGGAAAGAACTTCACCTTGAACATCTGCAACTCCGTAGTTTCGCCAGTCAGCGATGTTGTTGGCGTTTCCAAGACCCAATGGGCTAATGTTAGCGCATACTACACATCCCAAGGCAATATCTACTCGATAGGGTGCGTGTGAACTGCATATCATGGACCCCAGTTGCAAACTGACCACAATCTAGCTCTCAATCTTTGGATGTGCAGTCCCGCGGCCGCAAGCTTGTTTTACAGTACACGGATGGTTCGCCATGCGGCAAATCCAAATCCAAATCCAAATCCTCCCCACGAAGCGTGGACTCCGTATACGACAACGAAGACACATTGACAAAGCAGCACGCGCACGAAGTCGAATCATACGCCAAGGCTGATGATCCCAAAGATCGGAAGAAATCCACCACCATCTCGTTCCTCTGCGACAGGGACGTTGGGAATACCAACCTGGCTGTCTCCTTTGTAGGAACCGATCCGGACGAATGCGCTTACTTCTTCGAGGCTCGCTCGCATCACGCGTGTGCATCGTCCGAGCCGCACAAGCCTGGAAGTGTTGGCCCTGGAAGTATCTTCGGTATTATCTTTGTCATTGCCGTCCTCGTCTACTTCCTGGGTGGTGTCTTTTACAACCGCACCGTGTCTCACGCCCGCGGATGGCGGCAACTCCCCAATTATAGCCTCTGGTCTGGAATGTGGAGCTTCATCTCCGTGCGTGAATACTCTCCGCTCAAATCAGGCTTGCCTTAAAAAGCACCCTCCCCTTTGAGAGCTGGTACTGACGTGCCATGTAGGACATGTTTGTCATTGCTACGGCGTCGTGTGCTCGCTTCCTCCCTGGTCGGAGGGGCTACAGCTACCTAAGCGCTAATGATCACCCACGAAACCGGAATTCCGATGCTGAGAATCGGTTGATTGACCAGCTTGACGAAGAATGGGATGATTAGATTTCTACCCTGTACTTTTTTTTTCCTTTGTTATGCAGATATACAGAGACCCGGTCTCAGGCAGACCACGTTTAGTCCTGAATCAGTATATGGCTCTATTTTTTTCTATGGTGGTTTTTTTGTTTACGCTGCTTATGGATATGTATGGGACTGTGGAATACGGCGTTCGGTGGAAGAAGGACTGAGCTACTCTGCAGCAGGCCAACGCTGCTACTGAAGAATTAACAGCTGGGAACAAACAATATTATGGACCTCATTTCGTTCACTCATTTCTCTCTTCCTTGTCCGCATGACCCAGTCAGTACTCACATCCAGGTATATTATCAATTCCGCTCTCGCAATTTGCCTAAAAAGTTACAGGTCGAGTCGAGACATGCAGCCATCGGCTTCGGAGGCTGGGCATGGACACCCCTCGCTTCGACCGAACATGAGACGTCGAATGGTGCTACGGCGGGCCACAGCTCTCTGCTGCCTACAGCCGTACCCGTTTTCAGCGACAAAATCTTGAGGTACAAAAAAGTTGTCCTGGTATTTGGGGCAAGGGGGGGGGTGTTGTTATTCAGCTACCCTCGGGCGGCCAGCCATGGGAGAATCGGTTGGGCACAAAAAGAAGATGTACTTCTGACGGGCCATGTCGAAATTACATCACTGGTCATTTTTTGCTTTTGAGTGTTGGACAAAGGGCTCCTCGGCCAGCGAATCGCGCACACATGCTTGCAGCACCTGCATAAGTCCGGCGGCTCGAGCACGAATACTCTCCGAGCCGAGAGCCTTACGCGACTGAGGCAACTTGCTAATTAGCTGGGTACGTACAGCACGAGCTGATTTTTCTACTATGCCAGAAACAGTGGCGAAGTTCGACACATCCCTCGCCCCTGGCCTTTAATCTCAGTCCCGCGGCCCTAGCTTCCAATGAGATACACATTCCCAGGGACTAGTCTTGTGTCTTGAAGATCTAGTACTCTCTCCCCGCGGGAGGGGAGGGGCACCCGGGTAGCTAGCCTTGACCGTTCTTTACGCGTGAGGGTGGGGTGTGGAATCAACAGTCTTGCTCAGTCGATTTGCATGGTAGTCTGACTGCAGATATCAACAGATTGCCGACTCGTTGTGGTTAAGCATATCATCTCTCACTTCCCCCACCGCCACGAGTTGCAGAATATTGAGAGAAAAGACCCCACAAGCACAATGTCTCGCCTCACCATAAGCCGAACATACATGGTAGTATCCGGACTATTCCTATGTGGTCGGCGGAGGTGGGTGACGATCAAAGGCCCTGTGCGGCTCAGCAAATGGGATTCGGCCCTCCCAAGCTGCATATAGTTTCCTCGTTGACAAAAGATGTCGTCTCAAACCTCAGGCTTGCTCCCCCGCTCGAGTTCCTTGCTCGGTGTAAGACCTTCATGCAGCAAAGTTGATATTCGGAAACAGCAGCAAGCCACAAATATACCCCCTCTCCTCTTGCCAACGAGGATGATTGGACTAGCATGTGGTCCCGCGAGGCAGGCATCATGAACACGCAATGGCCTTTAATAGCGAGGCAAGTAGCGGGTACTTGCTACCCCATCGTTGTTACTAGAGTGCCTAGGGTATCCAGACCGCGGAGTTCCCATTGCGAGAATAAATAAAGATCCCAGAAGAACGTACTGTCTGTTTTGTTCAATGTACATGCTACCTTGTCGACTGGGATGGAGCGTTCCAAGTACCTGTTTCGTTCTACAGGTTTCTATAGCACCCAGACAGCCATTACGTTCGGCCACGTCTGCCTACCTGCACCTTGGCTATCTGCAGGATCTGGACCAGCTCTGCCGTCGATAGCAGCCCAGATCTGCCACAACCCTGACCTTGCAGGCAAGGTCAACAATCAATGTCAACGGGCCTAAACCTAGTACATTCGACTCATGTTGCACAGGTTTGTATCCAGGCTATTCCGAATTCGAATTTTCCCACAGGAACACTCTTCTATGGCGGGCGTCAGGAGACAGGACCTAAGCCTCTTACAACACTTTAGTTGAATGTATGTCAAAGGTATCGAATGTGATAGTTACAGGACGAATCAAGGTCTCAGCCATCTATGCAGGCGTTTCCCTCCAAGGTTAAGTGTGAGGGGATCGAGGCCCCTCGAAGTAGGCGTAGAAACTAGACGCTTCCTTATTCGACGGTTTCTCGATGCAGGCTGCCATCCCCTTGTTGTATATCTCGGGTCTCGATAGGAAGACTGCAGCAGCTTCCGTCATAGCCAGGCAACGAGGGAGAAGTCTCTGGAGAGGCTTGGTCCTCGTCCAGCCCAGTCGAGGCGACAGCAGCGAAGATCTGAATATAAAAGCAGGAGAACTCCTTCAATATTTGCCATCTCTACTCTCACCTTCACTCACAATTTCTCTACTCTCGCCTTCACTCACAGCTTCTCTACTCTCACCTTTACTCATAACTTCTCTACTCCCACCTTCACTCACGACTGCTCTGTTCTTTTCTTCTCCTTCTCTACAACGTATCTCCCGCTGTTCTAGTCGCCTACTTAGCACTATCACATTCACTACAGCTCGTGGACTTTACCACTCTTCCACTTACAAGCCTTCAACAATTTGGTAAGTAACTAAGACCTGCCAGCTCCTATCTTTGCTTGTCTTTCGGTTTCAATTGCTTCTCTCATCTTTTTCTATCACATTACCTGTCCTTTCTCTGCAGCAGTCCTCATCCCTCTTCCCCGTTGCTCTCTCTACCCAAATCGCCAGATGATTACCACCCTTCTTTATGTATCAGTATGTGCACATGCGCTTTTGATAAAATCATCGACGATTTCATACCTCAATTCGTCTACTCCCCGATATATCTATCCATTTTCTCAAATTTACCCCTTCCTTGTAGATTGATATGTTCCCCTGCACCTCAATAAGTTACCTAAACTTCCATCTATTCCCTTAGGACATCCACCTGATAGATTGCTTATTTATCTATGCCCTACATCTTTGTTTGTTGGCTTATACATTCATTCCAATATTGATGAATCCCCTACCTCTGCGTTCACCTCACAAGGATCTGACACACAACAGGTTGATCAATAATCATGGCGAACGATATGTTGATCAATGGCGATGATGACTCGCTTCTTCATGTTCCTACTAGCATGATTTGGGTCTGCGGTCGATGGACCCTGATATTTCATACCGACATGGAGTCCCATGATCCTGCGGAAGTTCGGTCTAGCTTCCTCAATGTGTTGCATTTGCTTGATTTTACCATATTCTACCCGAACTGCCACAACTTTCCATTCTTCACACTGGAACAGGATGGGACTTTCCAGCCACTCGTTGCGGTATGTGCTCTTCCCCTCTTGATACATTGTCCGCCGTCAATGATCATTGCTAATACGTGCATCTTTGATTTATTGAAGGACTTCCAATACGTTGCGCCTAACCACCTCTTGGTTATAGTTCCAGGACGCCAGCATGACTGGCTTATCGAAATTCCAGAATCTCCTCTACGCCCCGTCACCTCCTTATCCCTGTCTATGTTCAACGCCTCGGTTCCCGATGACAACAACACATCCGTGGGCTTGAGCAACGTACTTGATCCTCTACTCCTTGAGGGTACTCATGGTCAGCATGCTCTGCCTGAGGCTGACGTCTCTGATGCCTCCTTGGTTTGCTTCAAGACCTGGGGAGCGGTTCAAGACGCTCTGGGAGACGATGATTCTATGATAGAGCATGACAAGCTTGGTCTAGACTCTTATTGGCCAACTGATAGTCTCATGGGTCAGCAATCCATCGAACTCCCTGAGTGTCCACCCTCGACACCAGTTCGACTCGGTTCTCCCGAGACCGTTTATTCAGAATCACCTCCCAGCGATGTTTCTCTGGAGCAATGTATAGAAAAGCTCAGACAGGCACGTACGTGGCCTTCTATCGGCTCATGGGGCCGCGGTGGTCGCCGCCTCAGGCCCAGCTGTGTGTCCAAGAAGTGCATCATGCCCCGCCCGCCAGCCAGGGGCCGTTTCGAAGTCTCCCGGGAGGATCGATTCCTGGTCCCCTTTGACAGGGACCTTCGTGATGAGTTGCTCATCCGTGGCCGTGCAATGGGCTTCTCCTACTCCGAGATCAAGGAGAGCGCTTGTATGCCCGACGCCCTGACGACACTGCGTGGCCGGTATAACTTTCTCCTGCGCAAGATGGCACAAGAGGAGCTGAAGAAGAAGAAGAAGAGAGAGAATAAGAAGGATTTTGATGGCAAGAACAAAGAGTGATGAACTCTCTAGTTCATTCTCAATCTCGAAGCCGGGAACCTCTTTCATCAGAAGATGAGAGGCCATTCCTGGTATGACGTCTCTTTTTATCTTTTGGCTGCCTAGTACTGTTTCAACTTTTGAAAAGAAGAAAAGAAAAAAAGCCCACCAAAAACCAAAACCAAAATCGAAAAGAGAGAGAGAGGGGGAGAGAGAGAAGTAATGATAAAAGTTGATGCTTTTGGGTTTCCTCATATCTCGGAGTTCCTGCCTCGGATCGGCACGGTTCAGGCTTTTAGGCCTTCATGATCGTCCAGTTCGGAGTTATTTTGGCTTAACCTCTATAAACTATTATAGATATTTTTTCAGGGAGATTCTTTTGCTTTTAGGCATGATAGACAGTCCTGACTTCAATGACAAAATCAGCATTATTATGATTTCCACGATCCCTCTTGCGGGATCCCGATCGCTTTGAGAACAACATGTAGCCCCTTCGCATCCTTGACGAGTGCCTCCCATTCCACCTCGTTCTTCACGAGCGCCGTCCCAGCCAGAACTGTGCCGTTCAGCGCTACGGATCCCAAATCTTGGCCGTCGGGCCCCACGATCCTAGCACCCTCAGCGAGTCTCGGGGCGATGGCCATGGTGTTCTTCGTCATGGCCATGTTGTAGCTGATCAAAGTCTCGCCTTGAGAAGGAGCATCTTGGGATGTTGCTGCTGCACCGTCACCCGTGTGGACAGCCACAGCGCGGCATGCTCGTCGGTACAGTCGTAGATATGTCTGGTGGAGCTCCTCGCCGGACATGCCCAGCCTTATCGCCTCTGAGAATACTGAAAAGGGGGGCTTCAATGCATCCAGGCGATCGACCATGACATCCCAAGCTGATGACTGCCCGTCAAGACCGTCTCTCATACGGGCGATGGGCAGCAGCTGAATGTGACGGTGAGGCTGGCTCGCGCCGGAGTGGTCGCCGCAGTTGAAGAAGGCGTAGAGGCCCTGCTCCGACTGCCCCCCGCCAGAAGTGGCCTCCTCGCCCGCGACGGCATCATAAGCTTCGATGCATGCGAGGGTGGACTCCAGGTCGTCCGGCTCGAGGACGTGGGTCTGGTGCTTGAAAGGCGTGGTGGCGAGGATGAAGTGCTCCGGGACGACGGCGAACTTGTTGAGGACGAGGAAGTGCGCAGGACCGAGGTCCGCCACCTTGAGAGCCGCCGGGGGGTTCTCAAAGGGGTCAAAGGGCTTCTGCGGTGTGGTGGGATCACGAGTTGGGCCTTTGGGTTTGTTTGCCAGTGCGGGGGAGAAGCGCAACTGGAACTACCTCGCATATATCTGTCAGCTGACGAAATTTACCAAATTCCACAATGATATAGCTGTCAAATATTTTGTAGCATTGAGGATGGGCAAGGGCGCTGAGCCTTACGGGGATGGAGTCGACGTTGAGCAAAGCGACTTGAGTCGGGAAGAAGTGCAAATCACCAGACGAGCGAGCCTTGCTGAAGGCTGCTCTTACCAGCTCCGGCAGCTCTGCAGGCGCCTTGATTCTTGTCATGGCGTTTCTACCCAAGAAATTGGGTGTAATCAGACAGAGGAATTTCTAGGTGCTAGTGCAGGTAGTTGGTCGCTCAATGTCTTATAGGCAGAGTAGATGATGCTTTCTCCACATGCATCTTCCACTTCGCCGTGATACAACCCTTCGTGCATATCCTCTACTGTCAGTTTTTGAGAATTTTCCTTCGGGTTAATGTTCATTCCCCAATTGGTTTTTGGTCCAAGCTAGAGCAGTTGAGCGAAGATTTCTCTTTATTAAAATTACTCGTTGTATATATATTTCCCTCTAATTTAATACCCTTCTTTCCAGCTCTATATCCCAGGAAGACCAATCAATCCTCGCACAGCGGGTACAACCCGAGGAACAATGTAAACAATATACCACCCAATAACGGCTGTGAGAAGTCCCGTAAACTATTTTGGTATATCTGGTTAGCGACTTCTCCTGTAAATAATATATTCGAGCGAGGGGGCCGCTTACCTTCTCAAACCAGGTGTGGAAGTAAATAGCGGTCATTAACAGCATCCAGACATTGAGCCCAACAACGGACATGGCAAACTTGCCTCCGATGCCAAACCCGAGCTGGCCAGATCCCTTGTTGTCACCCGCCGCAATCTCTGCTTCAACACCGGCACCTTTGACTGCCCCGTCTGGCATGACCACAGTCCTCTCATCCGGTGCCCAGTTCTTCCACCGCAAAAGCGACCATCCAACCTCCTCCAGCAGGAACACGGAGCTCAGCACCAGCATGAAGACGTGACCTGAGATGTCATGGCCGCCCCTCCATTTGCCGCCAGCAGCCCTACATGCGACAGCGGTTACCACCTCCGCAACGCCTGAATCCCCAAGAGCCACGTCGAGCTCCGCAACATCGCACTTGCCCCCCGTCCACCGGAAACCACGGTCGATGATGGGCGCTCCAAAAAACCACTGGGTAACAAAAAACCAGCAGAGCGTCACTGCGCCCCAGCGAGCGGCCCCGCGTATCCTGCGGGTCGGCGAGGAGGTAGACGGGTGGGTGAGCAGGAAGGCGGCAAAGGCCACCGTCGTCCAGGCCCAGCCTCGCTTCACGAAGATAACGTTGAACAGGTTCGACTTGCGGGCAAAGTAGCTCGGGGAGACTGCTGGGTCTTGACTGTGCGACTGGGATATCGGGTCGTAGGGAGCGTCACGGGTTGTGGGAGACAGGACGGAGAACAGGGCGCCAAACACAAGAAGTGCTGGGAAGAATCCCAAAACTACTCGTTCGAGAAACGTTGGAAGAAACGGGGGGGTTCTAGACGTCGCAGGAGAAGAGGATATCCTGGTTGAGGGCGGCGAGGAGCTGTCGTTTGCCATGGTGGCGCTATCCGCTGTAGCTCCTCTTTGAGCGCTTCGACGGGTTGTCGGCATTGATACTTGGATGCTGAGAAAATGCAATGAGTGTTGAAGTTTATGTAGCAAGGGTAGAACAGCAGAGAGGGTGGGCTATAAGGCACAGCGAAAATTGCCTTGGTGTCTTGCAAAAGTGGGTGTGCTTGTGATCAAGGAAGCGAAGGAAACCGTCCACATCAAACCACATCACCAAATGCGAAAAGTGGCCATGACGTCGGCAATTCCAAGTGGAAGGTGCTGGCGGCAGGCGACCGAGGCTCCAACTCCGGTCCCGCCGGGGCGGCGCAACAATACTCCGCTCAAGGCACGCCCGATGACCATGGAAAGAACACAAAACATCATCATTTGATTTATTCATTCAGTGTTCTAGGCCATTTTCAATTCTTCCCTACAGTAGGCATTTCTGTTACAAGTGTGCTGTGGTTGAAGTAGGCATCTCCACGATGGTGTAGGTTGAGAACCTAGTGTCAGATCCTGGACTCCAAAGTGGTGATTGTGTTTGTCCGCCTATACCATGAACTAGTGCGCTTGTTGAACCATTATAAATCTATTCCCAAACCGAGTTGAACCGGTCGTCTAAGTCTAAATAGCAGTGCGCCGTCTCTTAAAGCCGTTTCTCTATCATCACATTAAGAATTCCTCGTCTACAAAGTGCTTGAGCACAATGTGTCCTTCATCAAAGCCCCTTCTTTCCATCCGTAGAATAATCACAGCGTGACTGTGCCTAGCTTTGTGTATCCATACAGCGTACTTCCTCCAGCCCAGTGAATTTAGCCCATCGACCATTTCGAACTGTGCTGGAGTGAGGGCCAGTGTTGGTTGTGCTGGGAGAGATAGTCGGCGCTCCCGTGCCATCCTCGTACGCTGCTCCACCGCCATCCCCACGTTGTCCTCGTCACCCGAGGCGAGATATTCTTGGTTTTGGGAACTGTTGAGCGTTTCGAAAGCATGCTCCATCTCCTCCCGGATCTCTTTGATAAGGAGAGGGAAGCGATAGTCCTCCACGTTGATACCGCCCTCGCCCGATTCATGCTGCTTAATGCGACCAGCACTGCGTACATTTTGCACCACCGAGTTCAGAAGGTAGCCTACCACCCCAATGGGCACGATGATCGTCACTGCGAGCAGAAAGGGTACACTCCGTAACCAGACCATGCCCGACTCGGTGATCGAGGACACTGAGAGCGGTACCCGGGGCTTCAGATGTGGTGTGACTGGATTAACCGGGTCTAGGATGACATTTTCATACCCCTTTACATATTTAACCTTGATGTTCTCTAGATTCGTGAACGGGTCGGTCTTGTGGATGCCAGTCGTGTAATAAACGGCACTTCTATCATTGACAACGTTGTTGTACAGCGTGCGCCTCTTGAACTTGCGCAGGCCAGACGTGAAGATGGAATTCGGATCGGCGAGAACCGAAAGGAGTGGTCGGCCCGTCCCGCGGAAATCGTCGATCGTGAAGAGCTGGCGGCCGGACATGGAGAGCGTCCTGGCGCCGAGCACGTTCCAAATGTGGTTGTGCCAGCCCTTGAGCGGCGTTCGGACCCCGAGGTGGGGTGATGCGAATGTGGTGAAGTTCTGCGAGTGGGCTCATCGTTAGCCATCATTGCCTGACCATAATAAAACGCTCGAGCAGGTTCCGTCCTTACCATGCATTCCACCTTGTCGAGTATCCCCTTGGCGTAGAGCAGGCCGACTGCGTATCGTGACACAAGGCCCCCCAATGAGTACCCCACCACACTCAGCTTCGTGATCTTGCCGCCGTTGCTCTCGATGGCCTTCATCTCCTCCTCGATCTCGGCGCAAACCCGCTCGCCGCCCCGCTCGATGCCATCGTAGGTGAAACTGCCGCTATTCCGCTTCGTCAGGAGAAGGTACAGGCTGTCCGGGTCGTGCTTGGCGCGAAGAGATCTGGCGATGTTTCTCATGTGTTCGGGATTTCCCCAGAGCTGTCGTTCGGTCGCAAGGGGCGTCGAGGTCAGCCGTTGCGCTATATCTCAAGGCTAGAGAGAGTGTGCGAGAATGCTCAACCTACACCATGTACAAGCACACATAGGTGCTCTGCCTTTTGGCTACCGCCCCTGTAGTCCATGATGGCCAGCCGGCGTAGTTGTACAGGATAACGCAGGAGGGAATTGGCCAGCTTGGAGGACTGCCGGTACAGTGTATTTAAGGAGAGAGCCGGATGGCGTGTCATGTGCGGCCTGCTGGGTGACGCCGATATCACAAACCGTGCTCAATGGAGGTAGCGCCGTTAACATGTCCGATAAGCCCGAGGTATTGGATACTCTCGATCCCAATTAAAAGATAGATATCGGGTGCAAGTACGTGGCCAGGATCGGGGCCATGGGAATTGGCGATCGAGTAGACGGACGACCCTTTTTTTCCCGGGAGCTAATGCAGGCGATTAACATGACCTGGAGGTGCTGGTTGGCGATGGGTTTGCAGTTACGTTGCTAAGTCTACAGTGTCTATGACGCACTTTGTTCGACGATCATTCAGGGTATTATCGCCAGGGGACCAGCAGTGGTGCGCAGCCTTGGAGCATCTTGAAAGCAATCCGTATCTCATAAACATCCCTTTCTATCCCGATATTTAACATATTTATACAAATTCCCTTTCTTATATCGTACTATACTGTACATTAGGTGATTACTCACTGTATTTTTAGAGCATAGGGTAGGAAGCTCTACCTGATCCGGCGAGGTCCCCAGGGTTGTCCTCAGCTGCCATAGATAATTGAAATGCAAAGGATGTCGATGGCTAAAGAAAATTGATCTGGGGATGCTGAGCTTCCCTTCTTTGTATAGTGAAGCATGTTGAATGTCAGCTAACACTCTAACAGTCCCCTGTGGACATGTTGGTCACCGTCTGCTCCTATCAGAATAACCCCTGTATCATCCGCCTGAAGCTTAGGCCCCCTGCTACTTGCCGTTCACTGGCTAATCTCGATTCCAAGTCTCACTGTCCATCGTGCTAAGAGAAAGGACGACGTTCCTACACTACATATGCAGGTCTTCCACAAGAACAGACAATCAAGCTGGATAAAAAAGGCTCGGGATAATAATTAACCTTTAATTAGGAGTTACAGAGCCTTTCCGTGCTTTCTTCTTGCTCCAATCGCGTCTTGTACGCGCAGGTGACTGGCCAGAGAACGCAGGGCGGCGCAACTCAACGCCTTTGCTTCACCTACGATCTTATTGTCCACGAACTGGACAATACACTCGCGCTTGTATCTGCCTCAGATACCCATTCACGGGGTAGTTTATCATGGGCATGGGCCAAACTATATAAATCCCAATCTCGCGCTCAACGAGAGCCTCCTCTTCCACCATGAGTATCGATCTCAAACACATTCCCTGCCCAGCTGGCATCAAGTGTACAGCCTTCATGTGCATTTTTGGCCACGAGAGCGACAAGGACAAGCAAAAGGAGAAGCAGCCCTCCCAACCGAGCGACGTGACCCAGAAGTCAGCGCCGTCTGACCACATTGAGTCTCGCAAGACTGCAGTAGGTAGCCAGGCTGGCACTGCTCCCCCCCAGACCTCGAAAACCGAGTCAACTGAGGCGAGAAGCCGCACTACAAACACCGCCCCGGCAACAATTACAAGGCCGGTATCTCCTCCGCCGCTCAAGCGCGCGTCTGCAAAACCACCATCAGCCCTCTCCGCTACCAGTTCCCCAGCCCCAGCTCGGCCTAAGCGACCTTTAGAAGGGAGCGAGTCGAGCACAGGGAGCTCGCCAGCCAAAAAGAGGAAGCCAGAGTCGCTCAACCCTCGATTACTCAAGAGCGCACCCGCTAGCCACGAGACTCGTCTCAAACTGGTCAAGTTGCTAATAGCTGAGTACAAGCGTCTGAACCAGGAGCTCCAAATGGATGCAAGCGACGACGAGAACCGTTTATTATTGTCAGAACAGGATCTGATACACAAAGTCCTGGACGAGGAGGAAAAGACTGCCGTTGAGAAGCCAGCAGTATACGCCAATATCATGAAGAATAGAATCATGCAGTACAAGCGCATGCCTGTCTCTCAGTGGAAAACAAAAAGAGAAGAAGAAAGAGCCACGGAACTGAGCAAGTCCAGCAGCGGCGACGGGATGAATATCCCCAAGTTCGTCGAAACAGGCCTGGCGCCTGCTCTGGAAGTTGAGCTTCTGCAGCGTCTGCTCACCCCGATCACGGACCTAACTCAGCATGGATATGTGCCGACAGTTCCCTCAGAGGAAGCCATAAAGAAGGCCCAGGAAGGCAGGGAGGCGGGCAAGGGCTGGGAGAAGTGTGATCGCTGCCAGGCGCGTTTCCAGGTCTTCCCAGGACGACGCGTAGAAGACGGAGCCCTCACTTCTGGCGGAAGTTGCAGGTTCCACTGGGGAAAGACTTATCTTCCAGCCAAAACGCCAGGCGACAGGACAAAGATCCCGAAACGGTATCGTTGCTGCAACGAGGATGTTGGCGAATCGGCAGGGTGCACCACAATGGTAAACCATGTCTACAAGGTCAACGACCCCAAGACCCTGGCGTCCATTTTGAACTACGTGGAAACACCGGACAACCCCTCGGCGCCAAAGGACAGAGCAGTGGGATTCGACTGCGAGATGGGGTACACTGTACACGGGCTGGAGCTCATCCGGTTGACAGCCGTCGCCTGGCCTTCCGGAAAAGAGCTCCTGGATATTTTAGTCCGGCCTTTGGGAGATATTCTGGACCTGAACTCACGCTTCTCGGGCGTATGGCCGGAAGACATGGCCCAGGCCAAGTCTTGGTCTCCTACCGACGATCCTTCAGAGCTGGCTAAGAGCAGCTCGGACGGGGGAAGCGAAGACGGCGAAGTCAGATCTCGTAAGAAGGATCTCAGGATCGTCTCCTCCCCTGAGGTGGCCCGCGAACTTCTCTTTTCCCTAATCTCCCCGGATACGCCTCTGATCGGCCACGGAATCGAGAATGATCTAAACGCTGTGCGTATCGTTCACCCAACAGTTATTGATACTGTCCTGTTGTTCCCCCATAAAGCCGGCCTTCCCTATCGGTACGGTCTCAAAATGCTTATGGACCAGCAACTGAACCGAAAGATTCAACAAGAGACTGGGCCGAAGGTGCTTGGGCATGATTCTGCCGAGGACGCTCGAGCGGCAGGTGAACTGGTGCGTCTCCGAGTAATGCAGGAATGGACCAAGTTGAAGAAGAGAGGGTGGAAGTCGGTAAAAGGGGAACTCGTTCCACCAGAGCAGTGGTAGTTATCATTATATTATTTAGTTCACGGGGTACTTTGAGCATTGGGCGGACTGATGCATTTATTCATATCCAAGGCAGAGCTGGGTCATTGGAGGATCTTATAACTACGCATGTGATGGGAAACCTGGGACTTAATCAAGGAAGAATTACAAAAGCGAGTTCACTGTGCTCTTGAACAGAAAGTGTTTTGAAAGTGGTATTATCCTGGCCATTGAATTTGACCGTTTCATCTAGGAATACAGACCGTTGCATGATGAATATTCATCCATGGCAACGATAAGCGGAGATATTTTTGCCTTCTCTTGTACATTGTTAAAATTTTACACATTTAAGCCTTGCCCACGGACAGAAGATACTGCCCACCCTTTCCGTTGCCGCCGCTGGGGAGGTATGCCACATTGGGGTTGGAAGCCAATGTCTGCGCGATTTCCCTGCTTGCCTCGATCTTTCGGATCTGGATGAGGCCGTCGCCGGACTTGGAAATGGCCTTGCTGATGGTGTCGGCACTCTCGGCTTCGCCCTCGGCGCGGATGACGTTGGCCTGGCGCTCCTGCTCGGCGCGCTCGACGATGAATCGGGCTCGCTCAGCGTCCTGCTGGGCAATTTGCTTCTGCTCGACGGCCTTGGTGAATTCGCGACCGAAAGTCATGTGGGTAATGGAAACGTCCTCAAGGGCGATGTTGAATTCGGATGCGCGGAGGGTCAAGTCGTTGCGAATGCGTTGAGAAACAGCTTCACGCTGGGTGATGAGCTCGGCGGCATCGAACTGAGCCACGATGGACTTGAGAACTTCGTTTCCGATGGAGGGGAGCACACGCTCATCGTAGTCGGCACCGAGGTTCTGGAGGAGGGGTCGGTGTCAGCGCTTTGTCGGAGACATTGCAAAAAGTATGAAGCTCCTTGGGCTTACCTGGTAAATCTTTGGCAGAGCCTTGACGTTGGGTCGGTGCAATACTCTCAGAGTTAAGCTGACCATCTGCAAGTCCTTGCTTCCGGTAGTTGTGGAGATGCTTCTGGGCTTGGTGCGGACATCGAAGATGATGCTCTTCTGTAGCCAGGGAACCAGGAAATGTGTGCCCTCGTTCTTCACCTCCTCCTTCACACCAGACAATCTGTCGAAAATAACGGCCCGAGTACCACCCTTGACGTCGTAGAGAGACTGGCTGACGAGGAATGCACCAGCAGCCGCCGGTACCGACAAGCGGTACACAACGTTGAGAAGTCGCGCTGCGGCAGCGGCCATCTTGGAAGATCCGGGGAGAGCAAAGCGGGATTATAGGTGTCTGCTGGTATTCGTCGAGGAGCTTTACCAGAATGCTCGGCGATGATGGCGTTTGGGTAGGTTGAGCCGAAGTCTGGTTCTCGATATCCAGATAGCAAGCTCTCGGACTTCTCTAGACTAGAGTCTGCTCTGTGGCTCGCAGACTGACTTTCTCCGAGTTTTGTGGGTCCAGAAGCCGGCAACCTCTTAGAGGCTGCTGATTTTTGAAAGAAGAGCGCTAATCCACTTTGGGACAGGACTGGCTGCTTTCTTCCTCAGCGTTTTCGTGACCGACCTGCTCCGAAAGCCTGCTACAATCTACAAACCTCCAACCCAACCTCACGCCTTGTCCACGGAAACGTTCGGCCAAACTCAGCAAAAATGAGACCTACTCAGATGCTCCGCGGAGGCGGCGAGCCTAACCCCAAGCTCGGCCAGTGAGTCAACCCCCCTATGATCCCGGTGGAATCGATGATGTTGGCCAACATTTTGCGGGTTTTCCTTCAATTGAGGCCTACCGGCCGCCGCAGATCATGCAAATGCTTCCCTATCGATGCAGAGGAGTCGCTAACTTCATCGCAGCTTCATTGGTGACTGGGGCAGCATTGGTGAGTCTTGACCATACCCAACTTCCATATACCCGAGCCGCGCGATCATATTGAGACCCGAACGATGGAGCGACAAATGGATGGCATCCTCGACCAAGAATCAATTGAGCTTGGAATGTGCAATCTAGAGGAGAAGAATATATGGGAGAATGATCCGACGCAATGGCGGGACTTGGCCGACGAGAGGGACGAGCTGAATTGCTAACGCGACATATTTCAGGTGGTCAAAAGCAGAGGGGCATCATCCACTACGGTCTATCTGCCAACCGACAGAACCCCATTGCCGGCGCTGCTCACGACGCTATCTTCAACACCTTCCGCCGCAGCAAGTCTCAGATCTTCTACTGGCTCCCTACCGTCCTTGCCGGATACTGGCTGATGAACTGGGCCACCGACTAGTATGCCGCCCCCATCCGCTGTGGCTTGAATGGCTTTATGGATGGAAATTTGCTAACGAACAACCCTTAGCAACCACTTCCTTAACTCTAAGGAGGGTCGTGCCCTGCACGCCAATGACGAGGAGTAAAAAGGATGGATGATGATAGACGAAGGTCGTTGGAATAGCACTACTGGGCTTCGCTGCCCGTTGTAAATCATTGCTCACTGTCATCAAATAGAGCCGTTTCCCTTGTGTCCCTTGAACCGTGTGTCTGCTATCTCTTAGGGTAATGTAGAATGAATGATATGCGCGGTTCTGAGTCAAAGCCAATGTGATGGGAGTTTCTATGTCAAACGTGTGGGATGGTGATTCTACAGATAGATCTATCGGAAAACAACACGATTAGTTGAATTGAAATGAAATCAAATGAATGATAATGATCGTCTTGTCATTGATCGAGTGCTTGAACCCATATATCTGATATTCTTCTACTGAGCCATAGCCGAGAGCTGGTAGCCGAAATCACGTGACAATAGTCTCGGTCAGTTTGTGGGGCACTATTCACCGAGAAACTCAGCGAGATAGCTCTGACCGAGAAAAAAAAAAGTTCGGTCTTTGGTGGCAGAAAAACTTCTGTTCTAACCATCCAATACCTACAATCATCATCATTTTTTGGATCGTCCCCCGAGCCAGAGTTATTGGATTAACTCTCGATCCTCAATCGATTGGTTTTCTTATTTACAAGACCAATTGACCCATCTTGCAATTTAATATCCCACTTTAGGATAACCTTTCTCTAATCTACATTTTTTTCGCTACACAACAGTCGCAATGGCCGCCGAGAAGCCCGACAAGAAGGAGAAGAAGGACAAGAAGCGCAGCGACGAGTCCGGCGTTGCCAAGTCCAAGAAGGATAAGAAGGATAAGAAGGACAAGAAGGAGAAGCTCGCCGCCGCCCTCGAGGACAAGCTCCAGAAGGATGCCGCCGCCCAGAGCGACGCGGCCTCTAAGGCTGTGAAGGCCTCCCCGGCCGACGACAACTCCGACTCGGAGATGGAGGACAAGTCTGGCGAGGAGGTCGCCCTCGAGCGCACCGTCGTGCCGTTCGCCGTACCATTGGCCGACGACAAGGGCCAGAAGAAGGTCTACAAGGCTATCCGCAAGGGTAAGAAAAAACTGTCGCGTCTCTCGATGGGGACTGAAAGGACGATCTGCTAACACCGTTTTCCCCAACAGCTGCCAAGAACAACACCCTCAAGCGCGGCGTCAAGGAGGTCGTCAAGACCCTCCGCAAGTCCCCCCCCTCTGCCCCCGGCTACACCTCCTTCCCCGGCGTGGTCGTCATCGCCGGCGACATCTCCCCCCAGGACGTCATCTCCCACCTCCCCGTCCTCTGCGAGGACCACAACGTCCCCTTCATCTTCGTCTCGTCCCGCGCCGAGCTCGGCGCCGCGGCCAAGACCAAGCGCCCCACCAGCGTGGTCATGATCATGGAGAAGCCCGACGGCAAGAAGAAGGCCGCCGCCAAGGACGACGCGGCCGACGGCGAGGACTTTGGCGAGACCTACGCCTCGCTGGTCAAGTACGTGCAGAAGGAGTACTCAAAGCAGGGATTCTGGGTCAAGGGCGAGTCGAAAGCATAGGAAAAAAAGAGTCAACTGGGAGAGAAGGGGAGGTCCGCTGGGTTGTTTGATTCTTTGTTCTGGGTGTACTATACCAGAGGGCCCAGCCCGTGAGCAGGGCTGGGCGGGCATGACGGCGTTTTAGGTATTGTGATTCAATTTATGGATATATATACTTGTTTCTGGCCACCAAAAAAAGTAACATGGTATCACTGATTCATCGAAATTGAAGTTACTTATAATCTCACTTAGGTTCACAGAAGTTTCTTCAATAGGGATTACTATTCGAAGCCTAATATAAGGTACACGATATGAGACGAGCCAAACTCCATTCCCGGAATCAATTGCCCCGTTCATTCATTCAATTAATTCCCAGAAGCTGCCCCTTCTTTACTCAAAAGGGTTGGTCCTGGTTCCCCACCAGGTCAGGAACACAGACAAGCCGACAGTCTCGAACAGCTTGGCGACGACATTGACACCGACGGTCTCAAGGGGGCGCCTCTCGTGGAAGATCTGGGCGATGAAGGTGGGGGCCGCGGTGGCGGCGAAGATGAGGCCGCCGAGGTAGGCGGCGCCCTTGTAGCTCAGGGTGGCAATGGCGTTGATGAGGGCGCCGACGCTGTAGCTCTGGAGGGCGGAGCCGACAAACGACGTGCCCCAGGCGGCGATGGCGGAGGTGGCCTCGCGGGACTTGATGAACTCCTCCTTGGTGTTGGCGAGCTTCGCGCGCTGGTAGGTCTGGCCGAAGATGGGGCTGAGGACGGCCAGCTCGATGCCGTGGTTGAAGACGAGGCCGAGGGCGATGGCCGAGGGCTTGACGGAGGGGAGATCTGTACAGGGCCGATGTTAGAAATCTTGAATCATCTCATACATTTCCCTCATCATCGTGCTTTTCATCCAATGGTACTACATGTCCCTCTGAGAGAAGATGATGACATGCTTGACCACGTATGAGGGAGCTACAAGACCAGAGCCGGGACAAGCTTACAGTGCAGAGACATGATGCCGGTGTGGAAGAAACTGTCTTGAAATTCTGTTTCAGAAGAATCGAAAGCTGTCAAGGTTGTGATGGTGGTGAGGGAGGGCAAGTTTAAGTTAACCACCAACCCTGGGGGCTATTTGTACTGTCCCTCCCTCCCTCACTCTCCCGGACCTCGTGCCCACCCCTCATCCGATCTCGATCACGTAAAAAGGAAAACTCAAGATTCCTGGGGCCAGTGGCCGGCTGGCGCGATGCGAAACATCAGCTTGTCGTCACCATCGGCGGTAATGGATGACATCACCACTGTGTGTTTGGCCCCAGCACCCGGAAGAGGAAATTGGAGGCCACTTTGGGGCGGACAAGGGCTAGCGGGGGCGCTGAGCCGAAATTTCACAACCGCGGGTTTTCGATTCCAGTGCCATTCCAGCAGCCGCGGGGGAGGATGGCGCACGAATCGCGCCATTGTGCCTCTGGTTTTGCTCCGGGCTCTGGGATAGTTTGCAGCTCATGTGGAGGTTCCTGAGTTCGATGTGGGGCTGGTGGCTCCCCAGGTCCAGGCTTGAGCTACTGGAGACATCATGTTGCCCTACCTAGCAGGAGATGACATCAAGAGAGAACTGACTGAGAAGGACACCTGGTGACCGGTGACTTCATTGTTGGTTCTTGGTCCAGCACGTTGGTGGACCCTGATCCAGGAACTGCCTTCATTTTGTGTTCACCTTGGAATGGTTGGTGGTTAGTATGCAGCTGCCGGCAATAGACCACACTGCTATGGGACCGCAAGGGTAAACCAATAATCCCCATACCTCAGCATGGCAAATGGTCAAATGGTGTTTGGGAAATGATGTGCTCACGTGCTGCTAGACCAAAGACGCTATTTATCGAGCTGTAGTATGAGCCGCTCAATTGCCAGCAGATATCCTGCCTGGACGCCCTTGTGGCATGTTTGATATGGCCTCAGCACAGAGAGGATCAATTGGATATGCTGCATCTTTGGCCGATTCACGGGGAGAGTCTTGCGGGAAACTGTAGGAAACTAGGAGAATCAAAATATCATATAAACCCAAACACCATTGATAAGCCTGTTTCGTTGACGTTCAAGTCTCTAGTGAGAAAAAATGCTGAAACAGATAGATAGCTTCTTTATTCTATGTACAATGGCCAAAGTGTCCTCCATTTCTGGAATTGGTTTGGCCAAGCAGAAGCTCGCCAGCCATGTCTCCTCAGCAATACAGTACTCTAGACATTGAAACACCTCTTCTATGCAGTGCTTTGACCCTCGCCCCCGCGCAGCGCGAGCAACGCTCTCACATCATGGACATACTGAAGGCCCTCCAGTAATGGAACAAGATGCATTAGATCGTAATCTGTCGGGTCATTGATCCACCCTTGTATAGGAATTGCATTATCTGGCATGGAAGTTAGGACAGGGCTCACCCAGGCCAAAAAACATAGGGTTTCTTTTCTTACCTTCATGGAATAAGTAGCTGAGCGGACTATTGTCCAGGATCATGACGTTACTCAGATCGGGCTCCACAGAGCTGAGATCCTTGATGTATGCGCCTTGACGGAATGTGCAATGTTGACGATAGTACCTGGCAGAGAAGAACTTTCGCTCCTGCTCCAGCCAGTCGATAACTGGATCTGCGTACTCTTGGACTGAAGCCGTGAAGATGACCAGGTTGAACCACTTGCAAACTCGTCGCAGGAACTCATCACAATAAGGGCGCTTGTTGACCCAGTACAGAATCGGGTGCTGGCCAACGTTTCCTTGGCCGCTGTTCATTCCCAATGAAGCTGCATTGAGACGGACTTCGACCATATGACCGGTGCTCATCCGTCCTCCTTTCGACATGCTGTGAATCAAGGTCTCGTCGAGATCCAAAATAAGCGTTTTCTGAGGCTTCCTGGGCGGTTCCATATTCAGATACGAGGGTTGTCGTCGAGGAATCAAAGGACGAGGCGGAGCTGGAGTACGAGGATACTTGGTGAGGGCGGCGACGGGGGAGGTGGGGGATTTCAGTTGAGCAGAGAGCTCGTCGCCTCCGACCTCGCTTGATTTTGTTCGCAAAACGGCAGATTGAGTTTTCCGGTGTCTCCGTTTCTCTAGTTCATCGTTGTTGAGTTTGATGCGGATTGACTTGCGAGCTGGGTTTATTTCATCTGTGGGATCGAGAGACTTGGAGCGGGTGTGCCGTCTATTGTCCTTCGTATCCTCGCCTTCCGATTCCGATGTTACTGCAGATGAAGATACTGATGATCCAGATTGATGCCGTCCAGATCGCCGTTGCGCATGTGATGGATCCAGACCACCATGGTTTCCTCCAGCATCACCATGCTTTTCAGACGTCAAAGAGTTCTCCTTGCGAACACCGAACATGGCCTTGATCGATGCCCATGGCGAGAAATTCCCGTTCGCATCACAGAAGCAGGCTATCAGGTATACTCCAGGGGAGGCCAAGGTGGCAAAAACCCAACGAATAGAATTGAGAATGCTAGAAGCAAAGTCTCGAGGTATCGTGCGCCACCATCGGGACCGTTTATTAACTTTCTTTTCGCTCAGCAAAGGGGTATCTTCAGTTACATCATCTGGTTGCTCGTAGGCGGTTTCCGTCGTCGTCTGCTGTTGGTATAAATCCATGTTTGAAGATGACATGTGATCTTGGGATTGCTCTGTTTGCTTTTCGCTGTCTCCTGCAAGGCCGATGCCCATATGGCTCAGGCTATTGGAGCGGGAAGAGGCGGGACTGGAGGATGGGGATACGCGAGTGATAATATTAAGGGAGTTCATCTCGAGGAAAACAGGCAAGCCATAAGGGGTTATCGATGGACAGGAGGATGCCGGACACGACGAGGGAGGAGTGCAGTGTGGGCAGGTGGAAGGAAGTCAACGTTGGTGGCGACAGTATGGGGAGGAAACGGGACCCGAGAAACGGTTTCCGTTGGACCAGTGCCGGGTCTGGTCGCGTATCAAAATCGATAGAAAACGAGCGTCGGAACTACAAGAGCGGACGATGGGCGTGCTGGACGACGGATGGAGACGAGGCGTTGTCGAGCTGGCGGAAATGCAGGCGAGGGCTTGTATACAATTGGCACTGCGATAGTTGGCGAGTACAGAGCCGATGCGACGTGGGAGGCTGGGCGAATGGAGGCGAACCCGTCGATAGAGTTTGCTGGCTGGTATTTCGTCGCGGAGCAGCCAAACAGACAGAGGGAGCGATCGGGCGCAACCCGCGGCAAAGTGCCTGGAGGGTACTGGGACAATTTGGGACGATGCACACCCAGCTCTGTGAGAAGTCGAGAAGGTGGTGGTGGCACTTATGCAGTGGAGTGTGACGGGCCCGAGGCACTTGTAAGGTTGATGATTGATTGCTGGGGATGGGAGGATGGGATGCGAATGATGGTTCACGTGTTGGGCGTAGGAGGACGCCTGACTGTTCGATTGGCCGGAGGTACAGGGCTTCGGGGGCCCAAGCCTGCCCCTACGTAATTGTTGCAGCACTGCGGCGGGCCTGCCATTGGCTCATTGCCCGCTGACCTGGAATCTTGTTGAGCGCATGGAGGGGAATATGCTGGGGATCGGAGGAGCTAGCAGGCTAGAATCATAAAATAGCTAGAGCCAGTGAAATAGAACCCAAACAAAGAAAGAAGACAGCTATACAGGATAGTTTTCAACCCCCCCAAGCTCTTGATGCTCCGGGTGCTTCCAATGGGGCGAGCAGTGTCGGCGCACAGGACAGGCGATTACTGGGTACCTCTACGGAGCAGACAGGAGGTAATTACGACTGTCTCAACGACCTACCTACCGGAGTAGGCACAGACCAGACGTGGGTGGTAGGTACGTGCCCACAATCTCGCCCGCTGAGCGAAGATTTTCAGGCGAAAATAGCCTGTTGCAGCGACTAGGAAAAAATGCCCGTGTTCGGGTTTGGGGCTCGCACCTGACAAGCCAGATTCGGCAGAAAAGTGGATGGTGTCAGACTCAGCCAGTTGACGGCCGCCTTATTACTGCCCTCGGACAAGACTGCAGCAGGCACATGGCCTAGTTCTCTGCTACCGACGGATTCTATCGGGTCTCATGGGGTTGAGACGTTCTGCGATGCTGCATTCATGTTCATTGGGGCGTGGCCTATAGTCTGCCCATGCAATAGGACATGCGATGTAGGTATGGCCTGCGTACCGTCTCTGGATCATCCCTTTCCATTGACTCGGCGAATTCAAGCCCAAGCGACCTGCACGGAAGCTCGATCAGATCGAATTGAGACAGTCCGCCGATACCTACCTACAGGCACAGGACACATGTACGCTAACAACACGACCCCTGCAGCCTTGAGGAATCTATGGCGGTTGTCCTAGATAGTTCCCTGTCGTCCGCTTTTGGGTGTATCTATTTCTTGTGAATTATACTGATACCACCCATCAACGCCCTCCCCAGCAGTCAGCACTCTCACCACTTCTTACCGCCTCAATACTGTTGGGCAGATCCCTGGATCGAGTTAGTCGGCAGGATATAATGGCACGGTGGAATTTTCCAGAGCCGCAGCTCAGTCGGATTGTTCAGCGGACTGATCAGTTCCATTGGCATGTGGGGTACAGAGAGTTGCGCTCAAACCACTTGTAGCCACGGTGCCTATCAGAAATTATCAGCACCCATGCGGTACCATGTAAAAGAGACATGTGATTGTGGGAACCCTTCTAACGAGAGATTGGAAGGAAGATTTTCAACAAGCCGAGTTCCACGATGATCGAACCGCTAGTCTCGGCTTGTAATTCATAAAATCGTGTGCGGACTGGAATTCTGCTACGTAAATGCAAAAAAAAAAAAAAAAAAAACACCATCTCTAGGTTTAAGTTGCCCTTTTTCTCTGACCGAATGCTGCAGACGATTGTTGGCGTTTATGCCAGGTGTGCATAATGATTGTATTGGCAACCGAAATTGACCAGCACTATGGCGGAAGCTTGCGTCAATCTTGGCATTGCCTCATCGTGGCAGATGGAGGGGTAAGTCTGATAGGAAACGATAAGGCTCTAGCTCCGACGGCTGTGGATGAATTATAGACACATGGGCAGGCATGGCCTTGGTTTGCATCAAATGGCAGATTACCTGGGCCTCTGCAGCTATGCCTTTGATGTAGGTACGACAATGGCATGACTTACACCACCTGCCTCTGACTTGTCTGCGTTCGCATGCAGCAGTAGCGTCGCCGTCTGTAGCACAGCAGGTAGCTGGTGCAGTGCAGAGAAGCTGACACTGAGTGACACCACAGCCGACTCGCGGATCAAGCCTGATCAAGATGGGCCATTTCCTCTGTCGCGGATCTGGCACTGTCGCTCGCCGATCTCGCCTGGGCTTCAGCAACAAGAAAAATTGCGCCCAGACAACACAGACAAAGCTGGCATCTCCACGACGAAAGTGCTGGTGTCGTGGGAGGGACGGGATGGGGTAAATCCCCCCCCACATGCCCAATTCATGCTTTTGCCTGGCCCTGGCTGGCGGCTTTGCCCTGTCCCTGGGGCCTGGAGCGGCGGCGGCCGTGATTGAGGCTTGAGCAAAAAGCGGCACCGGCCCTACCAAAAAAAAGAGGGCTGTGATTGAGTCACGCTCGCCGGCGACTTTGCTTGCAACACGACAATTCCACCACCTCAAGCTTGCCTTGATACACGCCGTGCCCGACTGCACAGACCGAAACCCCGCCTCGCGAACACTGCAGCGATACAAATATTCTTTAATCATAACTGCATCTGTCATCCAGCTTGTCGCAGGTACTGGCTGAGCTTAAACCCGCCCCAGTAGTCCCAACGTGTCGGCGCCCTCAACCACCACCCTAAGCACCACTTGAACGAATTTCCCCGACGCCTGCGCACCCCTGCCGAGGAAGAACCTCTACGAGCGAGAGCCCACGAGTTGCCGCCGTTTAATTGTATAAGCCATGCCTTCCGCAGTCGCGGGCTATGCGCCCAATCTCGACAAATATCTCAAGTCCTTGAAAGGCCAGCCATTGGAGCTGTCGATAGAGAACCTTGTTTCGTTCGTCAACCCCGATAGCTTCAGATCACCCCTCCTAAAAGGGCACCATGTGCTAACTTGAACCTTCCTTGCTCTCAGCCTCCTCAAACGAAGACAGATCAAAGGCGCCGAGCCATGCGCCGTCGCAACCGCCCACATCATCCTCCAAGTCGTCGCCAGGTCAAAGTGGCAGAACGTCGATGGCCTCATCGACAACGTCTCCCGAGTCGGCCGCAAGCTGGCCAGCGCCGCGCCCACCGAGCTGGTCATTGGCAACATTGTACGCCGTGTGCTGGGCCTGATCCGCGATGAGGCCGCTGAGGATAGGAACGAGCCCCAGAGCGAGGACCCCAGCGACGGACATGCGACGCCCCCCGACGCCGTACCCAATTCTACAATCGCCAAGCAGGATTCTGCGGGCGACTACCTAAACAACAGCCCTAGCCCCCAGTCGCGCCCGGGCCTGTTCGTATCCCAGAGTGCTGTCAATATCCCCAAGTCGCTCTTCCACCTCCTTTCAGCTTCCCCTCCCGCAGACCCAGACCATGTCCCCGGTTCGCCCTTTGCCGGCTCTGGGACGTCGACTCCCCAGCATCACAAAAGCTCCAGCAGCCAGGTACACGCCTTGAGATCAGAGGTCATCGACGGCATTGAGGAGATCAAGGACGAGATCAGTCAGGTGGATGATCAGATCGCGGCTCTCGCCGATGTGCAAATACACTCGGGCGACTATCTCCTGGTACACCGTCCCTCTCCCACGGTAGAGCGGTTCATCCTCAGAGCTGCGGTGAAGCGCAAGTTCACAGTCCTCATCGTCACGGAGCCGCCCCGGAAACACTTGGCGGAGGTCCAGCACGCCTCATTTAGGAAGAAGCTCTCTGCCGCGAAAATCACCGTGGTCAACATTCTCAATGGTGGTCTGATGGCGTACATGGCAAGAGTGGACAAGGTCATCCTCGGCGCCAAGGCCATTGTGGCCAACGGAGGAGTCATCAGCGATGCCGGTGCTGCGGCAATCGCCCGTGCGGCAAAGGAGTCGGGGAATGCCGTAATCGTACTCGGGGGCATCTACAAGCTCAGCCCAGAGACTCCCTTTGGTGAGGACGAGGTCATTGAATGGGCCGACCCATCAAGTTATGTAGACTTCGCGGACGGGCAGCTGGTGGGATCTGTCGATGTACGCACCGCAGCCACCGAGATGGTGCCTGCAGACCTGATTGACACATACGTTACAAACTTGTGAGTATTTCTGAATGACCCTATGCGTTCTTTTTATCAGACTTTGAATACTAATACAGCATTCAACAGAGGGACACATACGCGTGATCATCTCTCAACTCTGATTGCTGATCACTACAAGCCTGAGGATATCGACTTCCACCTATGGGATGATGCGAGAAGATGAAGGGGCTAGCTGCTGTCTCAAATACATGTCCTATGTAGGCTGGTATAGCATCTGTCTCAAAAGAAAAAAAGAAGAAAAGAATAATTATCTGTAGACCCGCCATCGAGGCTATTGACTCCCTTGACTCCTTTCGCCATGCCCCGTTCGCAAGTATGAGACTGAATCCATGGAAGCCCAGAAGGTTCTATGGTAGGAACTACATAGCCTCGGAAAACTGGAATGTAGTAACCTTGAATCGCCAAGGATCATTGTATCGTCCACTTCCTGGACAGCACACACCCAAACAGATATCCTTCTCCAAGAGAAAAGGTACAATGAATGCTCGAGGAGAACAAAAGGCCTCCCGTTGCCGAACTTGTATCCTCGTGAGAAAACGCTCCGTAGGCTAGTTGGCGAAGACTTTGAAATTAAGAAAGTTTCCAAAGCTATCGAGAGCATTGATTGCATCGAAGGCCCCGAAAGTCTACAAAACTTATCAATCGACATCATAGGCGGCCAGTTCTATTCTACATTCCAGAAGGTCTTTCATATAAGCAAAAACCAAGCTTCACAGAGCCTATGCGGAGTGGTCAGAACCGAAATATCAATCTATCGGATTGCGTGCTATCAATTCTCTATATACACTAGGTAGTCATAGTGATCGATCTAGGGAATTCAAAGCACTCAATGCGCAAAACGTTTTCGAAGGGCGCTTCTTCACGCGGTGACACGCATAAAGCCAACCATCAGATCACCTAGGCACGCGTGATCATATCCTCACGGTCAGGGCCAGTGCCAATCCATTTGATCTTGACTCCAACGAAGTCCTCAATGTACTACAGAGACGGTCAGTAAAAAGGATCAGTCCATCCTGTAGTTGAAAAGTAAGGTACCTGGACATAATCCCGGGCCGCCTTGGGAAGATCGTAGAATGTACGGGCGCTGGTCGTCGGCTTCTGCCATCCAGGCATTTCGTGGTAGACGACCTCGGCGGTGTCCAGAACGTTATGGTCCGCCGGATAAGAGTCAAGTTCCTGATTCTGTTAGCCAAGCCTCAAGACCTCAGTTCTCAAGAGCTTCCTACCTGACCAGTGTTCTTGTCTTTGTACGCGATGGCAATCTTGATTGTCTCAAAGGAATCGAGGACATCGAGCTACATGAGGAGTCAGTCATCATAATGGCCTTGGATTAGTTCTTGCACAGTTTACCTTGGTCAAGTTCAACGCCGTGTAGTAGTTGATCATGTGGCCATGCTTCACAACAACGAGATCTATGGAGTCTGTAAGTAACGGCCAACTTCAATATAAAGTAATACGAGGTGTTGACCAACCGAGCCTACACTGTTAGCTAAGCCCCCAAGGTTCCGTAGGGAGAATGACTTACCAGCCACAGCGACGTCTTCGACCTGTCGACGTTCCCCATTCTCTCCCCTGCTCTTGGAGCGTTTCGCCAACTCTGTTTCGAAAATGGTCAGTCTGTGTCGATTCCAAAGCTGGGTGGTAATTAAGGTGACAGTACTGTCCGAGATCTTCAGTCTTGAAAGCGCCGGCGCCAACGCGGGTGGTGTCTATAGTCGTTAGCTTCTAGGACAAATCATCCATTGCGACTAGTTACGGCTGTCGTTTTCGACATGGCTACTAGCCTCGAATTTCCAGTGATTTGTCATGTTACTCACAAGCTTTTACAACTCCGATGGTCTCTGTGATGTTCTTGGGGTTGAGGTTCAACCCGGCGATGATGCCAGAAATTGTGGTGTTAGATGACGTGACATAGGGGTATGATCCCATAGAAAGGTCGAGCATTACGGCCTGTTGGTATCAGGACAGCTGAACCACCTGGCCATGCACTCCCAAGGCTCGGCCATGGGTACATAACGACAGGCAGTTTGCCAGCCCGGTCAGGTCAGTAAAGAGCCGACTTGCTTGAAGTGGGAGTACGAACATTGGCACCCTCGATGATGATGTTCATTCCGCTCGTTTGTCTGCAAGGATTAGTTTGCTGTCATATTTGCAGGAGAAAGGTTGATGGTAAGACCAAGGAACTAGGGTTACTTACGCAGAATGCATAAAGCTCAAGCCATCGATGGCATACTTTGCGAGCTCCGTACGGTATCCTTTGAATCTCTCAATCTCTTCCTCGACATCGTACTGGAGAAGATCACCGTATCGGGCCTTGTAGCCATATGCCAGTCGGCGCAGCTTCGTTTCGAAGAGTTCTTGGTCGAAGATATCGGCTATACGGATTCCACTTCTCTAATTCTGAAGTTAGTGAGATAGTTGGTGCTCTGGGATTTTGAATGCTTACAGCAGCCTTGGTCTATCAAGTTAACTGTTAGTATACATTTTCTCTTTGAAAGCCGACAGTTGGAAAATGTGCTTACACTGTAGGAGGGGCCGTTCACAGTAAAATTAACTCATGTTTTGTCCATTGCAGAGGGAGACTTATAATTCCGCGGCCAGTAGTGCCGATCTTGCGCTCTGGTCAAGTTAGACATGAACAAAAAACCAGACTGTTTTAAAAATGACTTACCCTTCAACTCCACCTCTTCCAGGCCATCGACGGCGGCGTGAAGGTCAAACTGTTGGCAGCGAAATCAGCATTCATGCTGCCATTGAGATCTTAAGGGACCCGGTGGAACGGACGTTGACATGTGCCTAATGGTAAGATGTTAGTAAGTGCATGATATAACGCGGCGGCACGGTGTTGCGTGGGTCACTGACTCTTTCAGATACGAGAATGCGGTCGTAAACATTGGGGAGGCCTTTCTATCTCTGGTGTCAGCAACCATCTTGATAACTACCATAGTATAGTAAGAATTACCTCGTCCAATGTCTTCAGCTCCTTGAAGAATGAAGGGCTAGAAATTGTCAGCATTGCAACTATGCCTCAATACGCCGAACGGATTGTATGCTGAGCTCGGGGGTAGGGCGAGAGACTCGCATATAAGCGCAGAACACTAGATGTGTGAGACTTACACGTGGAAGCTCCTGTTACAGGCGGGTGCCGTTAGCAGTGATTAAATGTTTGCTCACCACTAGTCCGTCGTGACGATAGGCGTTCGAGCAACTTACACATCGGAGCCGATGTAGTTCATGCTACCGTCAAGTCAGCATTTACTCATCAAAGATGAGAAATTGTGGATAGCGTACCAGTTCGGGTTGATGAGACCGGAAGGGAGCAGGTGAAAGCTGCTGCTGGTCAGTTATCCACTTCGTCGACAACCTGGTCTTGGATTCGGTGTCTGTATGTATACCTGTACGAGACACCGTTGGCGCTGTCGCAATGGTGGTTAGCAACACAGAACGCAACTTGTGCCAATATAGCACCAGAGACCGGACATACACGATCGAGTGTCCAGCGTTATGACCACCCTGTTATCTCGGTTTAGTAATTTCATATGCACCGTCGCATAGGATGCTAGGCTTACGGCAGCTCTCGCGCTATTATCAAGTCAGCGTCTAAAAGTCGTCAAATTGAACCCGAGAGGGATTGAGTTCTGGATATAGAAGAAGTGTATCAACGGAGGGCGAAGTCTGGCTCAGCAATGCCATGTGGCTGGCACAATGCTCGACCCCCAGTCATATTCGCCCTCGGTTGACTCCCACCAATATCCAGAAACAACACCCTTGTTGGTCGTAAAGAACATAAGCATACCAGAGCTTAGCTTCAGGCGCGAGAATATCCGTCAGTTTGCCTTTCTAATGGTTCAATTCGTCAGTTGAGAGGATCAATGTTGCCTGTCGCAGGGTAGAGGACGTACACCTTCGTCGCCTAGGGAATCGCAATTAGTTAGCAACAAAACGTCGATGATATTGACACCCCGCGATGCCCCGCGCGGGGCACAGCGCATGGGAGAGACGGTGACATTGACATACCCCATTGGGCTCCCAAAACAACCTTGATAGTCATGATGTGCGATCGGTGATAGTTAGCCGTGCTGTTGGGCGAGAGGGCAGAAAGTCGAGCGTGAACCGTAGGGTTGATCCGAGAGAAATAAAAAGACGCGATTTCGGAGTCAAATTCGGATACCAAGTTTGTCGGATGCGTCACTTATTCGGTACCAAGTCTAGGTTCTTTAGGTGCAAGCGCAAGGGTTATTTTGCTCACAGAACGTCTCCACTTATTGCCTCTTCTAGTAATTTTCATTTGAGCTGATCCAGCAGCTTTATTGAGCATTCATTCTTCCACTGACCATGGCTAGTTTATGCCCTCATGGTGGTTAGGCCTTTGGAGGCATTGGTGCATTCTGCCTGGTCTGTGGGGCCTTGGACTTGAGCTTTGGCTATCTTGTTATTCTCTAGATCCGAATATTGACGTTTTCTTAGTGTTGAAAATTCGGTTGTGCAGCTCGTCCATTGCCGCAACTATTGTCAATTACAGCCGCGCTACTGTATGAATTAACTCAGCTGCACAGGGTGCTGCATGTGCATACCGCTGTGACCGCTGCCCTATCAGATGGCAGGGGTTTCAATGCATCAATTCAATGGCCTGGCCAAAGTGCAGCCCATCCATGTTTTCTCGGTGTGCTAAGTATAGGTACAGCATGTACTTAAGTACAGGCTACCCTACCCCGAAGCCACCCCCAATCGTCCAAGGAGTCAACTGCATAGCCCCATCCTTGGACGGAGGGATGATGACATCACGTTGCGGCGCGTGTAGACTGCACAACCTTCTGAGCATGTCAGGCGTACGCGTATGCATTTGAAACCAATCTGGATGCGTCGGAGGAATGTCTTGTGCTGTGTTACGTATCAGTGTTCCGAGCCTCCCTGGGCTCTTGGCCTAACCAACTAACTTCCTCGCCACTCCTCCTCTGCCCAACTCTCCGCTTGAACTTTATATTAGGATTGCTTTATAGGCAATCCCAATCAGCCAGATTCAGCCATCACAATAAATATACACCAAGAGATATTGCAACCATATAGCCTAAACAGCACTGCCGGGCTTCTTTTCCAGTCGCTCATAGAATCAGAACCAGTACAGAAATCGCTAGGATGAGTTCATCGGCATATACTGGTGATGAACCACCACCACCATATTCAGAGACCAGCAATGATTCTATTCCCTCTCACCAAAGACAGCCGCCGCCGCATCCGACCATAGACCAGTCATCTTCATCACGACCTACCCAGCTCTCCACTTTCGCCATCAGTATCAAACCAAATACTCGCCCGTCGGAGATCCCCTACCCATCCGAGTGGGCTTCGATACACCATGTGAGCCCCCAGGACTGGGATACCTTTGTTGGGCGTTTGATCCCCGAATCTGTGCACCGAGACAGCAAGTGCCTCTCTTACGAGCGCAAGAGAGCCATCCAGGCAGTCATCCAGGAGTGGAACGAGACCTACTTCGAGCCAAGAGGTGTCAAGATCACCTTCGATGAGCATTCACACTCCCAACCGGGAGGCCAGTCGTATTCAGGGGCGTCATCCAGCACCGCTCTTCCGCCCGCAAGCCATCCTGGCCCATCATCTGGGCCCCAATCACAACGTCCTCCACAACCATTCCCAGATCAGCTACCTCCACGACCAAGCGGACAACAACCATCTCGGAAGTACATGTCCACGAGGCAGAAGTTGACGAATAAACTGAAGCAGGTTGCTCAGGAAAACGACATCACTTACTCGCCACAACATTTCCGTGTCGGCCAGATGTTCACGGTGGACGCCGGCAAAATCCAAATTGGCAGACTGAATGTCGACGATCGAGGGGTTCAGTACGGAGGGCGACCGATAGGTCCCCAATTCCCACCCGGCTACATTGGCCAGACCATGAATCCTCAGAACCGACCTACCCAAATGTATCGTCACGGACAGAACGGCCCCAGCAATGCGAGCAATGCGTCTGGTTATCATTATGGGGTTCAGCCCCAGGGATATTATGGTCATCAAGGGTACGGCCCCCCGAACGGCATTCCGCATACGGGATCCTGGCCGTCTTCGACTTCAACCCAACAGCCAGGAGCATATGCTCCATATCAGGGACAGCCCTCTCAGTCTCAAATGAACGGATTCAGGCCGCCACAAGGACCTCCACCGCCCCAGGCCAGAGCAACATTCGGATGAGTTCAGTGTCCGATTCGAATTGAAACAGCTTTCATTTTTGTTCTTTTGTCGTGTAAAGGAGTTATCTGTCATAAATTAGCGAAATTGGAGTTAAACGCCAGAAGGAAAACGGTGTATATAGATGTTAAAAAGCGGACATCTTCCTTCTTTACCTCTGGTCCCCGATCTCAGACGGCGGCCACCAATCTCTTGAAACTTTTTGTATTTTATCATGCTTTTTGTCTATCCTCGTTCCCAGAGATATATGCCTAGATTAGCGAATCATAAGTCCGTAGACATTCGCCGTCTATACACTCAGCACCCTTTTTGTTCCCCTTCCCCCGCCTCTAGTGCTTGCTTTCGTCCTTCTCCACCAGGTCGCCGACGCCCAGCGACCGCCCTACGGCAACCTTGACCTGCCTCTCGCTCGCCTTGGGGTCCCGGCCGACCTCGCCCACTGCCTCGCCCTCGTCCGCGGCCTCCCCGTTCTGGTCCTCCTGCTCCTGGGCCTCGTTGATCTGTTTGCGGATGTCGTCCAGGTCGAGGCGCATGGAGAAGGCGTCCTCGCCGTCGGCGTAGTACTTGGCCTCGGTCTTCTCGTTCTGGAAGCCCAGGGTGTCTTCGTACAGGTGTCGCGCGGCGACGTTGGACACACGAACGTGGAGGGAAACGTATTTGGCTTGGTATGTCTCGACCATGGCGAGTTCTGTGTAAAAGCGTTAGTCTCCACGAGCACAACCAGCATTTCTCCATATGAAGAAACAGATCCAGCCTCATGGTAGATGTAGGCAAGACAGGTAAGGGGGGAACATACGGCTCTGGCGCATGAGCTTCTCAGCAATACCGAGACGGCGGTGCGTACGCATCACACTTAGACTGGTGATGTGGCCGTGGGGGATGCCGTCCGAGGGCTCCTCCTCCATCTTGGCCAGGACGTAGCCGACAATCTTGGGGTAGTCATAGGGGCTCTTCTGCGGCCTGGATACGTCGACGGCGACGAAGCTGAGCTGGGGCCATGACAGGGAGTGGTACAGGTAGTACTTGAGGAAGTAGTTCTCGGGGAGGTTCTCGAGGTTGGCGTGCTGGATGAGGGGCAGATCGGCGTTGGTGAGCAGGCGAATATCCATGGTGGGCTGTGAGGAAGGCTTCTGTCCTTGCGGCGGCAGAGAAGGAGGGCTAAAGGAGCACTCGTCGGCGAGGAGGAAAAGGATGTGCGTCGAAGCCGGCCGGTTCAGGGGGGTGGGAGCGGGCAATTGTGCTTGAACATGCGACAGACCCGGAATTTTTGGGTGCGGGCAGGCAGGAACGAAGCTGTTGTCGTTTTTGCCCCACCCCTGGATGTAAGTTCAGTCATGCACTCTGCATGCTTGAATTGCGAAGCTGGCTGCTTCCAATGTTTTTTTTTTGGAGGGAGGAAATTCAGGACGTCAATGTCAGATATCTTATCTAGCACTTACTTTTCTCCAGCGTCATATATTTTAGAGCAATGTTGCCAGCCGTTCCTCTAATGCTGAAAAACGGATTATAAGTCGGACTCGGTCCATTTATCGATTGGGGTACCCTAGAGCTGCCTAGACAGATGAACAACTTGGAGTAAGAAATACCATGGTTAAATAAGTTGTATCGTTTTTTTAAGCTTAAAAACTATTGATCTTAATCTCGAAAATCCTTGAAGATTATTCTCGGAAACTTGATATGCACTTAATGACGAGACTATAGCGTCAATTTAGTTGAATACACGCTCTTGTGACCTACACATTACATGGAGTTTGTTAGTTGAAGCTCACAGCTGATACTACAACAACCTAATTATTGGGGGTCACTAAATCGAACAAAAACACGGAGAGCAGTTGAATTTTCATCTATTTCTATAATCTATTCTCCCCTATCATGCAGTACGCAGTGTAAATGAGGAACACCTTCGCCAACAAGCCTAGAGTGATTCCTCGTCTTCTAATTCAAGTGCTGATATCATCTTCTCCAACTCCCTGATAACGGTATCGTACATGGCCCCCTGAAGTCGCGGGTCCCCAAGGTCCTTGCCGACCCCAAAATCACACTCGAGACACTTTTCCGTCATTGACCTATACCGTGACCCCAGCTGCGAGGGTAGAGAAGACAGGCGGCGTACTTGCTGGATGTCATCGGCTTGTATGCCGGTCCATCTCCCAATCTGGAGAAGTGCCACACCTAAGCAGTGCAAGTTAATGTTGCGAATGCCATGGACGAGTGTTGCTTTCTCCAACTCTGGATCAGGAGTGACAGCCATCGACGGCTGAAATGTAGCCGAGGCGGCAACGGCGGTAATCTGTGACCTCGGTGCTAGCTCTGTTCTTAGATGGATCGTCTTCACGCATTCGGAAATACTCGTGGCACTGCAGTCAAACCTCAAGTCGTCCAACCTCCAGTAATCGGACCACCACGGTGTTGACCAGAAATGAAGTGTCGCTTTGGCGAGGGCCAGGGCTAGGTTAAGCTGATCCACAATGGTAATCTTTTCGTCTAGTGGGCGACTGAGAACTTGGCTAAGTGGAAGCGTGTTTGGATGAGGGTTATTTTTCGCCATGCCAAGTATAAATTGGTCGTCCAAGTGACTGAAAGCGTATCGGTACTCATGAGGGCTTTCAAGATAACCCACTGCCACATTGGACTCTTGAACTGGAGTCCTTCCGCATATTTTGGAACAAAAATTGGTGCTGAGAGCAAGATCGTCTGAAATGAGAAACTCCTTATTATGCTTCTGCTGTTTTTCTTGTTTTGGTTTCTTTCTTGCGGCTGCTGGGTTTCTCGTTCGAGTCGGACGATAGACCCGCACTCGGTCCCCGAGAGCCAAACTGTTGGTTTTCAAGCGCTTTGGCGACCTTTGATCCTGCTCGGACGTTTTATTCGGGCCTGTAGATGTCTGAGTTTGATCAACAGGGATAGACCATGCGATATCTTCGCATGTAATTCGTAGTGGCGTGGCATCCCTGAGAAGCAAATGAGCCTTCTAGTCAACGTGATTTCCAAGACGAGGATTCTGAGCTTACTTATCCACATGGCTCTTCTTCTCTGGGACAACTTCCTTCCAGATAATGGCCCTGAGCTCGATTTCCTTCCCAATTGTAGGGGTGATGAGCAGGCTAAAGGCGTGCTGGATATGCAGCGAATTTTTGCAGGACCAATGTTGGGAGAGCACTGTATGTAGCGAAGCCGTGCATCTTCTGACGTCCCGAAACTCTTTGGACAAGACTTTCCGCCGAGTGGTGACGGTTTTCCTCTTTTCCATCGATTTACGAAGATGCCGAAGTTGAGAGACAAGGTCGGTCAGTGCCGTCATGTCTTCTTGGAATTGGGAGAACTTGAACAATGATGCAATGGCCACTTGAATTTTGCTTTTGACTGATGTTACCTGATATGGTAATTTGCGATTAGTATCCAAACGAGAGAAAGGGTGTGTTTTCCCTGTGAGACCTACCATTTCACTGTAGCTCGCATCAAGCTTCTGAAACTCGCCCTTCAATGCGGTAGTAGTATTGTAGATTTCTTCAAATAGAGCCCTGTAGGATGTATACTTCCCGCTTAGACGATCCTGAAGTCGATCCTCTAGCTCATCCATGTTTGCACCCTCAGTATCACCGCCATCGAGCAGAGCCGTGATGGTGGGTTCAGTGGACGTTCCAGCCAGCACAAACTCGGACTCATCACGGAAGAGCTCCATTTGAACCTCAAGTCGAGTCCGGAGCTTCCCGAATTCCCTGGAGAAGCGTCTGTAAGTTCTTACTTTTGACAAGAGCCATTTGCAGCCCTGGATGGTCTCCAGGCAGAGTAGCGCGACTCCTAGCCCGGACATTGTACCTCCAACGGCCTATTGGTGTTGATGACCGGTCAGCGTTTTCCTCCTACTTGTGGATTAGAGCTTGATATTATGGCAGAGCCCATAACGCCGCAGTTCCGGATGTACGCCTTGTTGGTTGCCTTGCTCGATAGGGGTGTTCTATTGGGCAAATACTACCCATGCAGAGGGGCGCATGCGCTTCGCCAACGACGCCACTATACATATTGGGACAAGATAATCCATTATAATATGATGATTCTGCCCCCATGTCTGGCCATTCTCTAGTTCTTACCAACAAGTACTTCCATTTTTGAAATTTCTTCAAAATATCCGTCTCAGGGAGAATGGGTGCAGCAACCCCGAGGCCGAGCCCCGGCCCCGGCAAAACACCACATACAATTGCCCTGGACCTTCAAACGGCATGCACAAAGTTATTCCGAGTTGTGTTAAGCAATTTTCGAAAAGATCACCTTGACTCGAATGTCGTCTCCCGAATTCATAGAAGCAGTGGATCACTGGTCCTGTGGGCTCGAGATTACGGCCTGGCGTATGGATCCATGGATGAAAAGCTGTTCTCGATGCCAAGGCTTCGTAAAAGAATACTGAAATCTTTGCAGGGAACCTGCGAAGTGCTGCTCCATAGTAAGAATAGTTCCCGACTGTTTGGCAGTCTTCCTAACATCATTTGATGTGCAGGACTTCTACCCCTGATCAAGGGTCCTCATCACACCGATCTTCAGGAAGCAAAAGAAAGTGCCGCTCGAGCGTTAAGCTCGATAGATTGTGTAGAAACCGATGAAAATGGAGATGCCCTGTCTATCATCTCTGCGTATTCTGCTGCGCCGGACGGACTAGAAGAGGCGTGTTCTGATCTCGAGAACGAGATTGAGTGTCTCATGGCGTTGAGTCCTTTGATAGATGAAAGTTTCAAGAGTGAAGGAGAAAAGAATACCCATGTGGCAAAAAAACAACAAGCCAACACCTCGACTGAGACGGGCAGAGTAAGCGATGACACATGCAAAGAAATCTCCCCATTGAGAGACTCAGAAGCCGATGGACGGAAGATTTCTCGGAAGAGACCCTTGGAATCTGACGAGGGCCCCTATGAGACGGAAAATCCGCGTACACCTGAACAGCAAGATACAGATACAAGCTTACTCGACTTACACTCAGCCACTTCGTCATTGACTATCGCGGATGATATCGACATCTCAAAGCATCCTCTTTCAAAATGGACTTACTATTTCCCTCGGGAAGAACATGACATGGAAATGGCAGATATGATGCACGACATGACGATGCGTCTGCGCAATCAGGAACTTACGCTAGCTCCCCTACCTTCTGAATCTACGCAGAGAATCCTCGACTTGGGTACGGGGACAGGGATTTGGGCAATAGATGGCAAGTATTCTTCATCAATCAAAAGATGGAGGCGAACTAACAAAGCTGGAAATAGTTGCTGACCAGTATCCATCTACCACTGTCTTGGGCTGGGATGTCGCCAGCGTGCAACTGCCCAAATGTGTCCCGCCTAATTTGTGGTGGGAGATCCAAGACTTCGAGACAGAGTGGGATTATGAAGATGTAGTTAGTGATCCATTCGACTTCATCCATGGATCTGACATCATGCTGGCTGTGAAGAACCAAGAAGCATTATTTGAACGAGCTCTGAAGTAAGTTGTCTAATCAAAGCCTACCCAGAAGCCGTTGGCTGATATAAAGGAAAGGTATCTGAAACCCGGCGGATGGTTCGAGTTGAAATTTCTTGACTACACCGTTCATAGTGACCACGCAGAAATCGACATCGATTCTCCGCTTATACGGGTATGGCATGAATTAGAGCGAGCTCTTGGGGCACATGGGGTGGACACGGCGATCACGGGTAGAGGAAAAGTAGCAGATTTACTCAAGACTCAAGGATTCGGCGACATTCGAGAGATGGAGTACAGAGTGCCACTCGGAACGTGGGCCAAGGGAGAAAAGTGGAAGTATATCGGCCTCGAGGCACAGACAATATTCTACGACAATCTTCGCTCGCTTCTCACAACACCCCTACTCGAAACTTCATCCTGGCCTGACCAGACGTCGATTGATCAATTGATAGCATCTGTGGAGGGTGCGATGAAATCTAGGGGGCTCATCGGAAGCAGACTTCACATATACTATCGGGTTGTCTGTGGACAGAAGCCTGCTCCCGATCCAGCCCTTGACAACAGAAACAATAGATAGTAAATACCCAATGAAGAGATGGCATTATAATATCTTTTACCATAATCTTAAAACATATCGATATACGACGGGGATGGTCTAATGGCGAAAGAATTTGAACCTTGGCATCTTCGCAGTTCAGTAGCCCTTTCGGTTTAGGATGGACGTACTGACGGGCGGGCTAATCGCTGGTCTTTAACCAAAAGCTCTACCGAGCTAAAGATACCCTTCATTTTGAGGTCAAAATCTTGATAATCGAAACACATATAAATTTACCTTTCTCGGATGTGCCACTAACAAGACCCAGTGAAATGCGCCCAACTGAAGTGGTGGTGCAAAATATTTAGTTGGGTGAGAGGAAGTCGGCGATTTTTATCATGACATTAAATAAAAAGGATTATGCTGATATTCAGAGAGTCCTGCAGCTCTACAGTATGAGCCAAACATCTGGAGCTAATATTGAGAGTTCAGCACTCAACCTGGTGGGTTTCGGCCATTATTCATACACATGGCGGCCAAGATTTTCTGCCCCGCCATGAAATCTATAAGCGCAGACACCTTCATTATCAATCACCACCTATTTCAACCAGCCCACTACCAAAGAAGACATAAAGCAATCTCAAGCCTATTATTAATTAAAAGACAAAAACAACCACGCACAATGTCTACAGAAAGAAGACCCCCATCGCCTGATTTATTCGACGATGTCCTGAACGTTGAGTCACGCCTTCACGACGCTGGCTACAGCGACGGCCTCAAGGACGGCAACCAGGCCGGCATCGTCGAGGGCCGTGGATTCGGCCTCCAGAAAGGCTTTGAGAAGTTCCTGGAGAGTGGGCGCTTCGCCGGGAAAGCCATAGTTTGGGCCAACCGTCTGCCAAGCAAGCGGCCAGCGGACCAGGATGAGGCTGGATCTGAGAAGACGCTTCCGCCCCTCCCAACCAACGCAAGGCTGGAGAAGAACGTTGAAACGCTCTATTCCCTGGTGGACCCGAAAGTCCTGTCCCTGGAAAACTCGGATGCCTCAGTCCAGGACTTTGATGACCGACTGAAGAAGGCGGAAGGAAAGGCGAGGATCATTGAGCGGGTGGTTGGAGGAGCCGGCAGGGCAAGTTCTTGAAATGATTTCTTGCGAGCATTTGGGGCACAATAGACAGGTCCGGGTTTTGGCGTTTCATGATACCAGGGCACGCAGTATAGCTTGCGGTTTAAGGGATAACACAAAGAAACGGTTCGAGTTCTCAGTTTAAGCATCTATTTTTATGTACATATAACAACTATTCCAACTTTACTTGAAAATTCGGCAAGGATATCTAGAAGAAAGACAATGGTTAGCAATCACATTCTCCGGGGACAGGAGCTTCATTTCGTAGCCTACCCTTCGGGGTATGATCGATCCGTCAGAGAGTACTTGTAGACATCCCACTCGCCCGAGGCCAGGCTGGTACCACTGGGGGTAGGTGGCAGCCCGCCGATGAAGAGGTCGTTGGGAGCAGCAGCAGGGACCTTCTCCAGGGCCTTGGCCAGACCGGCCTCGCCCTCCTGCTTGGCGGCCACGAGAGCCTGCGCGCCCGCCTCGCCGATGAGCTCGACCTTGGGCTGAGCAGCGCTGCCGACAGTCAGGAGGCTGGCAAGCTGGGCCTGGCCGATGGTGCTGGTGGCAGGGTAGTGGCGGCGGTGGTCACGCTTCCAGTACGGGTTGTCGGCGATGTCGCCAGCTGGGACGGTGACGGGGTCGTCGTAGGCCAACGGGTCGTTGGAACCGGGAGCTGGGTTTCGGTTGTGAGGGTTGAGGGGCACACCATTGGATCGGTTGGCGTCGATGGCGAAGACCTTGCGGATCCCCTCCCAGAGACCGGAGGACTGGACAGTTTGCTTCTGCAATTGGGGCAAGGGAAGGCGTTCGTTAGCACGTTGCGAGACAATATCCATGATCAACCGCATCGGGCACGGAAGCGCTCAATTGAGCGCTCCAGGGCGCGGTCCGGGGGCATTTGAACATACCTTGGTGATTGACACTAGGCCGCCGGCGGCTTTGGCGACCGCTTGGCTCGACATGTTGACGTTGCGGATCGTCAAAGTGTGAATTATCAACGCTGGCTGTATAGAAATCGCGAGGAATTGACTGTGGTGATGGAGGTTCGGCAACTTGGATCACCAGCGTATGTTCCCCGAGATTTTACCGCTCCCCCCCACCACTCACAGTGCATGAATTTCAGATACGCTGCTATTAGGTCCACTATCGCCAGCAGCAATTGAATTATACTGCCTGCATACCCAGGTAAAAATGGGAAAATACAAGTACAATTCAGAAGGCTGATTCTGGCAGTGCTTGATTATTCCTTCATAACAGTCTTCGTCCCAACGGTTTTCTTTGGTGTTGAGATACGATGATGTATCAGCACCTCCCCTAAACTGTGGTTCTGTTGTCAAGCTTACTGGACAATCCATCAGCTCCTCCAGTATCCAATAAACCGGATGGGGAGACTTTTAGTTATCGATTCTCTGCACGAGATGGAGTGTCTATGTGCAAGTTTCAAGCATCTTCATTGGACAAACCATTATTCAAATGTTGCCATGATTGCTGAGTATTAGGTAGGTTAGTTGGCTTGGTCTGAATGAGCAACTTAGACAATAACATCCCGACGAAAAAGGCAAACAATTTTCAAACCAATCCAATTATAAACCCTACCAAAGTTATTTCAAAGTGTCCTATTCCATAGTTACATGCTGAATACCATCTCCTTGCGCCCAGCAATTCCAGAATAATAGCAAAAACACAGCAGAATCGTCCAAGAACTGCTGCAAGCTCGATCACACCAATTGAGATCGAAGCGGAGAGCTCAAGCGAGAAGCCTCGTTAATCAGGCCTTGAGCTCATCAACGAGCTTCTTGACCCGCTCAACGGTGGCAGCAGGGCCGCCAGCCTCGGCAACAAGCACCTTGCCGTCCTTGTTGACAACAAAAACACCACGCTGGGTGCCCTTGGGGGTCTTCTTCAGACCAATGGCTCCAATGAGAGTCTGGCTCGGGTCACAGAGCAGGGGGTATGGAAGCTTTTGCTTCTCCTTGAAGGTGGTGTTGGCCTTGGGGGAGTCATTGCTCAGGCCGTAGATGGCGAGGCCGTCGGCAGTCAGCGGCTCGTAGGAGTCACGGAAGAGGCAAACTTGAGTGGTGCCTATATAATAGAAGCAAGTTTTGGTCAGTGATCGATATTCTTATGACGTTGTGTATTTGAGAAAGGGGGATGGGGGGGGGATGGGTTGGGCGCTTACAGCCGGGGGTGGATGCCTTGGGGTAGGTAAACAAACCCACTCCAGCCTTGCTCTCGTCAACAAGCTCCTTGAGGGTGGTCTCCTTGCCATCGTTTGTCTGGATCTTGCCGCCAAAATCATCCAGGGAAATTTCGTCACCAACAGACACCTTTTCGCCGTTGGCCTTCTTCTTCTCCTCGGGCTTGGCAGCTTCCTCAGCAGCCTCGTCCTTGGACTCGGGCTCAGGCTCGGGTTCAGCCTTGGAGGGCTTCTCAGGCTCTTCCTGAGCTGCCTTCACCTTCTTGGCCGGCTTAGCAGCTCCAGCGGCCTTCTTGGCCTTGGTGGTAGCAGCAGCCTTCTTCTTGGGAGCCGGCGCGGGAGCGGGCTGTTGATGCGCCTTGCGCTTGCGCAACTCGACAGGCATTGTGGCTAGGGGGTCCCGGTTTTATATTGGAAGACGAAAGAAGGGCAAGGCAGAGAAAGCACGAAAAAATCGGCGAGAAAAAGTCGCGAGACGATGCGTGACAAGACGCGTTCAAGCTCGGGAAGCTGGCTGTTTGTGATGATGTTTGGCGGTTCGGCTGCGGTTGGGGAGGAGGGAGGGTAGGCAGAGGAGCGATGGTACTCGAGGTGCGACAGCAGCTGGGCGGGCGACCAGTGCGCGATCGGCCCTGCGAGTCTGCGACAGACAAGGTAGCAGAGGAGCTCTGCCCAGCTGCCCAATGGCAACAGGGCGCGCGCAAGCTGCCAAGCTCCTCCAGCCTCCAGATTCTAGATTGCGATGCGACGGGGGGAGCTTGGGCCATTCCTTCCGTCGTCCCACCCCTGCTGAGCACCTTGTCTTTCCTTTTTTTTGGGGAGATAGTCTTGTTATTCAGACGGCCCTTGCCCAAGGCGGGGCAGTGCTCTCGAGGCTCCCGAAGGCCCCAGGCCCCAACAGCCCCCAGAGGGCCCCCTCACCTCCCGGCAACAGCGTGTTAGTGGGGTCAGCAGCTCCTCTCAGCACACTACCGATTTGCTCACCACCAAAAACCTGCCTGCTAACCGCCTAGCTTCTGCCGTTGGTCAATCACGCCACCTGCCACCGCCCTCGTGTCTCACTCAACCTTACAGCCTCTCCGGGCCAGAGCAACGCTGCAGAAAATTCCCGTCCTGCTCTGTGCTCCCAGCCGAGAGCGTCTATCCGCCATGATTAATCCAAGGGTGAGCCATTGGGTCGAACTCGATCTGCGAGGATGGGGGGCAAAGGCAGGCAATTACACATAGCGCCGTCAAGCTGACAGGTCTTCCTTCCCGCAGAAGTTTGTGGCTCCAGCAGCAGCCTTTACAATGGCTTGCCTTCTTTTAGCGTAGGCCTTGTCTCATTCCCTTGACCGAACATGCGCGTGATTGCTAACGGCCTGCTTTGGATAATGCAGCTACACAAGGTCGTCCATCCGTGTCGCACGGGAACAATCTGTATGCTACCCCATCTCTGTCCACCTTCCAAACTGCTCATGGTGCAGGACTTCACTCACAGGTTCATTTGTCAGAGAATTCGCACCTCTTCGGCGGGAGATTCAAGTCAAAAAAGGACTCCTGAATCATAGGCCAAGAGTGAAAGGATGGCAGCCTACCGTTTTGCAAACTGCGAGGGTAAGGGACAAAAGTCGCCTTTGTATCATATTAATCCAGCATAGCTAGCCGTTTAACGGAATATTTTGAGTTGTATTTGCTATCAAACAACTGTCTGTACAACGGGTCGATAGGCACCCCATGTAACTCTAAGCCAGGATACACCGCGCAAAATGAGAATCAAGTATGCGTAAGCGGTAAGAACTATACCTCCAAGTCCTATATCAATATCTCGCCTATTTTTCTCAAATGCAAGAAACGACCCACTTCCTCAACGCGGGCAAAAATACAGCACTATCAGAGAACGAAATCTAGATAGCTCGATGGATAAGTCGAATTTGAAATCGTGTATGCGCGAGTATTTATCCTCGTATACTCCTATGTCCAATGATTCAAATGCGTGCAAGTTAGGCGAGAGAGAGAAAAAGGAGGGAGTAGACGGGCCAGTGACCCAGACCTTCATTGTCGTTAAGTCCAAAATTGAACACTCTATAAAACCTCCAGCCGACCAAGGGGTATCGCGACATAACCAGTTGGGTTATGGTAAATAGGTATATATGATAAATATGCTTCCAATTCCGCTGCATGCGTGAGCTTTGTGTCTTTCCTCGGCTTCCGCTATCATAATGCGGCTGCCTCCTCAAGTAGGGCCCTGCCGTCTTCCCGGGCGCTGTTTAGTTGGCCCATGACCAGCTCGTAGGTCATCATAGTGACTGCTGCGGCTGGCACTGCTCGGGTCATATTGGTTCCCAGTCCGGCATAGAACGCTCTCCAGCCTTCCTCTTGAAGAATCGTCCGGAATGTCCGAACAATTCCCTTGTATTTAGGGCTTTGGGGCTGGGGTTTAACTGCGCCAGGTGACCCTTCGACCCCCATCCCCTGGACTGTTTGCTCTCCAGCAACCGGTCTTCTTTGGGTCTGCAGCCTTGTCCGTATGACCTCGTGAGGGTACGTTGCGCTGCTGGCCAGGATCTTGGATAAGATAGACGCAGACAATACACCGAACCAGTGAGTCTTTCCGTGGGCAGGGGTTTCACCCATTCCTTGTCCAGTGAAAGTTCTCTTGAGAAACTCATACGTCGGGAACTGCACGGCGACATGTGTCAAACCGAGAAGCGCGGGCGTCAAGCCCGAATAAAATGATAAAATGCCTTCCGAAGTGTACATCTTTCGAGCAGCGTCGATGGTCGATCGATAATGCCACGGGGTAGTTAATGTCGGCCTTGCAGTAGGTGTGCTGCCCGTCTTTGGGAAGAGGTGCGGCGGATAATGCTTGGTCGAGTGGCTCTGCGACATGAGTCGAGTCTTGATGACCCATATGGGATTTGTTACAATTGTGCTACTCCCACCTGCCACAATTGAGGACCAAAAGTTGACGATATGAGGATTGTCTGTTGCATTCCGTCAGCAATGCACATGTGATATTTCCAGCAAAAAAGGCTGCACTCACCCTGATATTGGCCCAGCCAGGTCTTGGCTTCATTATACACTGTGAACCACACAGCCCAAGTTGGCAAGTAGCCCATCACGATAGGCCCAAGTCCCCGATACATCCCTCGAATTCCTTCCTCGCGCCATATTACCTTGGCAGTCCCTACAAGTCCATTGTACATCTTCGGATGCCCCGCATGGCGGCCCAGGTCGACAGGCCGGTATGCGCCTTGGGCCTGAAGTTTGGTCTTGATAACATCCAGAGGACAGGTGACGATTCCAGATGTAAAGCCACCAACTGCGCCGGCAATGGCATTAAACTGGGAGTCACCGGCCCTGGCCGCCCATTTTCGAAACGGCGTCAAGGTCTTGTGATCGTGCATCGGCGGCTTGCCGGCCTCGTCGGCGGGTTCGGAAGGGGAGAGTGGGTAGCACGGTGGCGCATAATAATCTGGAGATGATGGCTCTGTCGCCCGTTGTCGTTGCTCGTGAGACATTACTCTTTATCTGATTTTGTGATCGAATTGTTTCTCTCTCTCTCCCCCCCGGTGGTGGTCGGGACGAAATTTATAGTCTACTCCGATAGCAAGTTGCGGTCTTATTGGGACGCCGCAGTTCCCAAACTCCACAAAGCTGTCTCGCAGGTATAATCGCGGTGAAAGAGCCGTTCGAGTCCGTTTGTCTCAATCCAAAGCCCGTCTGTTGTTCTGTTCTCTTGAGGTTTGTCCGGTACAGGAATTCCGGCACTGCGGGGAAGACTCCCACGCGCAGTGACCGTTCCCGTCCTAGCGAACGCCCCCGGCCATTGACCTGGAACAAGACAACTCGGGGTTCGCTAAAGAAAACGAGGGGGAAGATGGACAGGCGGTGCAGTAGACGCTGGTGCTCCGGGTTGGTCGAGGGTGTGCTGGCGGGGAATGGGAGAGACCAGCGATGAAGCGTCCGTGAGGTGTGGGAGAGAGAGTGAAAGGCGTTGAAGGTGTGTGTGAGAGAGCAGAATTGGCCGAGGTGGAGACAGGCCTAGGCTGGAGCGGTTTGGGACCAGCACGCTAAAATGGTGGGCAGCACGCTATCCTACGCATTGCTCAGCAGGAAGAGGAATTACTACGACACTGATAGTCGATGTTGTCTTGGTAAACTGCTCGAAATGTCATAGAAATCAGCAGAAAACCAGGTTGGTTTCTTGTGGTCTGCTATACCAGATGAAATGTTTCACGAACAATCATCCTTCAGCCATGCATATGCAAATCCCCGGGGTGCTGAATCATAACCTATATATCGGCGTTGGACCGGCCCGGTGATCTAGCGAACCGAAGCAAATTCCCATCTGCTTCGGACATGATAATATCTGCAAATCTGCATAGGAAGGAGTAGACATAGTCCAGTGGGCAAGTCGTAATCGGAGCCTCCATTCAACCGAAAATCATGCCTTTCAACCTTCAATGACCATCCCCGCAGCCTTTCTCTCCGATGAGACAGGTCCCTTAGGTTCGTCATAAACGGCCAGGAGTAAAAACGGTAGCGTCAAGTCATTCACGTAATGGTGCATTGGGCAATCGGAGCACGTGCGCCAATCGTGCTCCGACTTGACCCGTGGCTGCAGCGTTCTACTAAGTTAGTCCAGTCTATGTTCACCATGGCTCTTGCTCCCCACATCCCAGCTCCGCACAGCTGGTACCTACCCTGAAGCTGCCGGGATAGCTTAGTCATTCGAATCCACGTGACTGATCCCTGCGACCGTCCAACTTTTGCCGAACCTGCCCAGCATCGACGAATCTCATATCGCGCATTTCGAATTACATACGACCACGGCCAGGACCACCACCTTCGCAACCCGCGCCACTCCAACCCGGGAATACATCAATTCAAGATGGTCTCTCTCGCCCCCTACGTTCTCAAGAGGCCCTGGCTCTCACGAATCCTCAAGCCCATCTCCTCGTGGTATGTGGGCGCCTCGGGCTACCGCAAGCTCGGTCTGAGGTACGTTCTCCCGCGTCACCCGAAAATTTCCATCCATTGAGCCGCTCTACACCCATCAATTGCACGAAATACCCCGGAAACCGATGGTGCACGACGTTGTGGAGGATATACGAGCGAGGGGCATCACCTTTGCAGGGCCAATTGTGACCATTTTTGCTAAAACCGGCATTTTTCTTTTACAGATACGATGACCTGATGGAGGAGGAGCGTGAATCCGTCCAGCTCGCCCTGAAGCGTCTCTCCGCAAAGGAGAGTTACGACCGCATCTACCGTATCCGCCGTGCCGTCCAGTGCTCCTACCAGCACAAGCTGCTCCCCAAGTCGGAGTGGACCAAGCCCGAGGAGGTTCGATATTCGCCCACCCCGATCCAAGAGGACCCCTCTCACCTGGGGACGAGAAACTTCGAATTGCTGACAATACGTTTGTAACACAGGACGTCTCCTACCTGCAACACATCATCGAGCAGGTCGAGGCTGAGATTGCCGAGAAGGACGCTCTTGACACCGCCTCCGTCATCAAGAAGCACTAAGCAAACGGAAGGGTATGGGTTGGTTGGTTGGAAGGAGAAGGTGTGGAAACGACTGTACAGTAGGAGGTGGACTTATCACGTCAGACCGTCGTTAGACAAAAAAGGGCTATCCCTAGATATAATAGCCTTTGTATATCCATTTGTTGAACCCCATGTATAATCCTCAGTTCCTCTCTTATGTCTCGAGCTCGTGATAGACAATACTCTCACCTTCGATACAAGCCAGCCTTTGCGAAAATGCATATTAAAATGTCGATAAAAATTAAGATATCTACAGTACAGAGCGATGTTGAATCTAAGAGGTACAACTGCAGCCCGAAAATCCAGTTAAGCATCGCTTTTTCAGTAATATTCTGGCAGCTTTTTTTATATCAACAATGAACTCGCCACAATTCATTTTGTCTAGTCAGACATCCTCCCCGCCTTCTTATGAAGCCCACATCCTTTCTTGGTCAGGACGCCAGATACTTGAGTAACCCCAGGATATATGGTATCAACCCCCACCAACCATCCCAGTGAAGGCGCCCAACTACATCACACTAGAAACCCGACAAAAGGGCAGAGAGCATGATAAAAATGGCCTCCCGCATACATTGCAACCACATATGACCGTATGCCACCCCCATGCTCGACAAACCTTGTGTTGGCTCTCTCGCTTCGCCCGTAGCCAATGAAGGCCAAGAACAGCAACGCCACCCCGGAATTTCATAGTCACCAAGCTTCTCTCCCACCAGATCAAACCCTTTGGTAGAAAAGGAGGTACGCGACCTTGTTCTCCTTGATGTTGTCCTTGGTCTGCTTCCCCTTGGACGCGTTTCCAGCGCCGTTAACGACGCTGCTCCATCGCTTGTTGCCATTGGCAGAAACTGTGACCTGCTTCCAACCATCGTCGTCCCCATTCCCCTCGTCCATGGCACCGTAACGGTTCCCAGATGCGCCTACAGGCTCGGTCTCCTTCCGATGATTCTTCTCATCCTCAGGAAGGTGCTTCTCAGCAACGTCATCGCTGCGGACCTGTCGAAGAACTGTATCGTCGAAACGGAGCCAGTCCTGTCCATCTGGGCGGCGCACATCGTTTGTGTAGTGTCCGCCGCTTGCATTCTTTCCGTGGTGGTAAACAACGCTGATCAACTTGTACTTAGGCATAGAGTCAGATTGACGATTCTGCCTCGACAGAGCTTCGCGGGGAATCTCAAGCTCAAGTGGGTAATCAATCTTCTTCCAAATCTTAATGGTGCCATGGCCCTCGGCATCAAATTGGAAACGCTTCAGGTGAAGAATAAGAACTGGCGGAAGAGTTTCGATGAAAACTTGTTTCGTTGCGGTAACCTCCTTGCCTCGGGGCGAGTTGAAGTCGCCCTGGAGACGCTCGGGTCGTGTCAAACCTCGCAAAGCATCAACAACATTGCGGACTTCAGGTGAGCCAATGTCCAATTGAAGTGGTTGATATGGCTCGGTTGTGATAGAGTCCTTCAGCCCTGGGACTCTGAACTCAGATCGAAGCAAACCGCCAAAAATCTTGGTGATGGGTGTAGTGATGTTGGTACCAGATAAGCGCGTCACGGCAGCCTTTTGTTTTCTTCCCACTTCAAGCCAATCATCTACTGCCTTGTCACTCACCGGGCTGTCACTGTTGGAATTTAGCGCCACAGAGGACAGCGAGGTTCCCAACACATGGGTGCACTCATCGTCAAGTGATTGCAAAAGAAAACCTAGGAATTCTTCAGCATCTTGCTGGTGACCTCGCTGCAGATCATGATTAGTACTCGTCTACAAGAGATTTTGCAATGATATGAAATGGCAAGACTTACCCTCATGCTTGCAAACCGCGGGAGCTGCTTGATTGCAGCATACACATACTCAGGAATGAAGGGCTCCCCGTAGCGTTCTACCTCTTCAGGCTTCAGAGAGCGTCGAAGTTGCTCCACTGAGCTTGCAGACTTGATGACAGGGAATTCGTGCATAAACATGATCCTGAGAGCAAAAAGAGTTAGAAACTAGATATCAGCAAGAAAGGCAGTGTTCTAACTCACATTGCATCAATCAATGGCGTGTCGCTCTTGAAGCTATGAGCGGCTCTTCTACTGACTTGGTTTAAGAAGTCATAAAACGGTACACAGAACATCAAAACTTGCAAAATCTGTCACATAGTTGGTTAGACCTGTTCACCTGTCTGTTATAGGGTCAAACTTACTGAATTCATATAACACATGTTCCCCGTGTTGATCAAACCCCGAGGTTCAATATAGCCAATATTCTCAGTAGCGTTAACCTTGTATGATCGAATGGCATCGGCGACATTATTGGCATTGGACTTTGGGAAAGTGGTAGAAGGAGCGTCAGAAGACGCCTCGGCGTCATGCCCGTTCACTACTGAAGCACCATCGGTTCCCGTGGCTGAAGCAGAAGACTTGACTTGCGAAGCAGCTGGCTTTGCAAAGAGGTTGGCCCAGCTTGAAGGTGCTGGCTTAGGGGCCGGGGCGGAAGCTGGCACCTCCTTTTCGGCAGTCTCGTCGGTAACAGCGACAGCAGCACCCTCTACGTGTTCATCCCCTGCCTGAACAGAGCCCTGTCCCTTGACCTCTTGCCGCGGGCTCTGGGGTGCCGGTGGCTTGGGAGCGCCCTTTGGCAGAGACACCAGCGGGAGCGCAGGTTGGGCCACAGGTCGTCCATTGATGACTACGCCCTTTACCGAGGCGGGCGATCGCTGAACAGACTGAGAAGCATCCGATCCTGTAGTGGAAGCCACCTTCTCTGCCACAGGTGTTTTGGGTTCCGAAGCACCATCTTGAGACTTCTCAGGAGCAGGAGTTGCCTCCTCCTTCTTCTCTTGGCCAGCTGAGGCCTCATGACGTTCGATAGGTAAAGATACATTTACACTACCGGAGGCTAGTAATTTTCTAGAAGTCTTGAGCTTCGACGAGCGAACAGGGAACGGCAGATCGGGTCTCGAAAGCCAAGGTAGCTACGACAGCTTGATTAGCACAGCAATTGGAGATTTCACTTTTTGTAGCAAGAGCACATACCGGAGCACGGAATGGAGCTGTGGGTGGGGGCGGGCTTTTTGGCGCCTCCTGGGATGGCGGTGGAGATACCACAGATTCGACTGTCTGAGGTGTAGGAGGGGTTGGAGGAGGGGGAATCTGTGATGAATGTGTTGAGGACGGCGTATGCGGAGGGATCGGCACGGACACCGGAGGTGGCTGATACGGCGTTGACGGCGCTGGGCTTTGGGGATGAGGACGAGAATAGCTGGGCGGGACTGTTACGCCAACCATGGTGGCATACGGATGCATAGAGGGTTGAGGCGATCTAGGATACCCTTGGTTTTGGTAATGCATATAACCCGGCGAAGGCATTCCTCCATTGGGATATTGAGGCGGGATCCCAGAGTAGTATGGTTGCGGAGTATAGGGCATATAGTTCGAATACATGGGAGGGGTCATATGCTGCTGATACTGATGCTGGTACTGGTGATGATGCGGAGGCGGCGGATGAGCTGGCTGTTGTCTCCTTCGAGGACCTAGATTAGGTCCTTGCCCATGACCAGGCATCGTCATGTCCACGGTGCCGTGAGGCATCCCATTCGCTCCTCCTCCTCCTCCCACCCCAACTCCTCCGGGCCCTCCTTGCGCCGGCGGTATATTCTGCCCAGCCGGCAGATGGCGGCTACTCATCTTGCCGGCTTGGGGGTTACCAAACGATTCCGGGTGTCGCCCAACGGGTGGATGCGACGCCCGTGCGATATTCCTCGTCGCAGATCAAGCCCGGTGGAAGATTCCGGGATCGGCCACGAGAGAGTTGTTATTGAGGGGAGCCGGATGGTCAAGTCGAACCCCTTGTTGCCCACGGGAGGGCAGCACTCTGAAAAATTGTAAAACAATCGTCTATATCGTCGGAATGGACAGCGGCGCTGGGACCGTCGTCGGGCTGCTCAGAGGAGACGTCTCAGGCAGCACGCGACGCGCGCAACAAGCAATCAGCTCCCCCTGCTGTCGAAAAGCGGGAAGGCAGGGCAGAAGCTTGGGGAAGAGGGATCGAGGCCAAAGGGAGGCATGGGGTGGGCGTCGTTATGAAGTGCCGGCTCAGGAAGACGCTCCGAAGCAAGTTTGGTTTCGACGAGGAGGGATGCAGTTGGAGAAATAAAATTTACGGTAGCAAAAGGCAAAAAAGACCCCAGCTCAGAACGACCAAGACACTGGCACACACCTTTTAGCGAGGAGGCGCACTGATACACAGTACCAACTAGGCCTGGGTTATCGGGACCCACTGCCGACTCCACTGGAACCGCAAAGAAGCATTGCGCCCACCACTGGCAATGTGCTGCCTGTGCGCTGGTGGCTGCTGTTTCTGCTCTGGCAGCAGTGTGGGGTGGGGGACGGGACTGGAGAGATTACATCAGGCGACCAAATCTGTGCTCGTCCCAGCAGGGTGACATTAAACATGGCACGTCAAGGCCACCATCACGATACAGGAGCGGCACTTATGGCAGCGAAATGGAGAAATATATGCAATAGATATTATAACCAGTCATGTAATATTATATGGTTTGCCATCTTTCTATTCACTCCAGGTTAATATTATTATTGTCAAGCATAGATTATCAAGCCTCTGGGCAAGACTATCAAACTCTGAACTCAGGTTTCTGTCGGTACAACTGATGCACACTGTAAGCATACCAAGTCTCAGCCCTATGAGACCTTAAGACCTCAGTAGGCAGCAACGACCAGTCTCCGAGTTTACATCTCAAGCACTGGAGCTTCGACAGTGAGGTACTCCGCCATGGTTCTTCACCAGATGATGTCGCACTCAGCGGATAGTATAGATGGTACAGCTGATCAACGACTTGACACACCAGGCCATAAGAATCAATTTCCTACCTAAGAAAAAAATTGGAAAAAAAAAAAGTAAAAAAGTCGGATTATCTGTTAAAACACACACATCTACTACCACACCTAACTTGCAAACCGTGTGAGTAACGATATCGCTAAAGATTCATAACAATGTAGATGAATAAAGATATCAGCCAATCTAGATCATATCCATCACCAGTCCGTAGCACTTATTCGTCCCGAAATACCCATCTACCTCCTGGGCGCATTGCTTCTCTGTACCGCTCCTGGACGGTCTGCCTCGCTCTCTTGGCCGCCTCGTTCTTCTCCGCCTCTAACTCCTGCGTACTCGGGAAATCTGCATTCCAGAACCCTGGAGGTGACTGCATTCGGGAGTATCGATGTTTATGCTTGCCAAATTTGTTTGCGAGTTCACGCGTCTTGGCCTGCACCCACAGCTCGGCCCTTTCTTCTGATGACAATCTTGGGATCCTGTCGCATTCGTCTCCGAGATACTCTTCCAGCAACCTTGTCTCTTCCGCTCTCTGCGCGGAGGTTAGGGGAGGGTCAGGACGCTGTGATAATGCCAGGGCGCGGAATGTTTTTCCGCAGCAATGCATGTCCACGCAGCCTGGTAAGCATGCTCTTTCGTTTCTATCACGAACAACCTCGGAAAATGCGAAATCATGGCCGTCGTTGACTCGAGGGTTGATCTTGAAATCATCAAGCTTAAGTTTCGAGGGTGAACGACTGCGTAGCACAGACGCTGATGATCTCGAAATGCCTGAACTGCCGGCTGCCTCCGGTGCTGAGCTTGGAGGCGGCACGTTGCCCCAGGGACCTCGAATGACTGGCGGAGTCTTCACACCTTTGGGCCTAGTCTGGCGATCTGCTCGATCAAACGGCAATTCTCGAGGCTTTGGTATATGTAAATCGTCACGGAGGATATTAGTCCTATCCCGAAGCCGTGGCGCTGAGCGAGATATGGGGAGTTGCTCATCAGCGGACGGGCTATTCAGTAGCAAATCTAAACGGCCTTTCGAAGGCAGTTTGGCCGTTGCTGGCATGATTGGTGTTGTCGACCCATAGCCGCCACCATCTTCCGCCAGCCTGGCAATACCATAGTCAATGCCTTTAGATAGTGGCTTTTCAAGGCGAGCAATGGGTGTTTGCATTGGACGCCTCAGTTTGTTGGGGTCGATTGGCGTAAGTGCCGAAGTAAATCGATCCCTTACTTGCTGCTTCTTGTTTTCAGCAGCTTTGTGGCTGTCGACGCCCGGTCGGGGTGGTTCTGCGACGCGACTAACGTCCTCAAGCATAGTGTGCTCTGGCTCATAACGAACTGCCTTTCGCTTGCGAGGGGTGACCATCTCTGCCACAGTTTCGCCAAGATCTGGGCTTTCATGCGGATTGAAATCGTATCTGTGAAGGGAAACCAATGGGCTCGAGCTGTTCGTGCCTGCTTCTGTTTTTATCAGAGGAGTCATCGGTGCCACGTCGCCATCAGCACCCCTTCTCTTTTTAAGAGGCCGCTCTTCCAGAAACACAACCCCTTCGGAGGAAGGCTCTTGCTTGATATAAGGTTCTTCCACCACAGGCCCTGTTTGCATCGGTGGCAGGCCTTGTTGCGATTTGTCCTGGGTAATTACGCTCTCAGTAGAGTCCGAATCGGCCGGCCCAACAGAGACGCCATCATCAAGATCGTCAGCAGGCTCCTTGTTGACCCCTGGCGCTGCACGACTAATCGCTGGGTCTGGGATGGATGTGATGCTTCGATATCCCGTGTCTTCTAGCTTCTTCTCCTTGCTTTTAGACTGATCTCGGTCGAGAATTCGAATTCCATGCTCTTCTTCTGCTGCCTTCGCTCTTTTCTCTAATAGCGTTGCGTGCTGAATCCATCGGTCTCGCTCATCTTTCCGTTTTTGAAGAGCATCCCTTGCCTTTTTGAAGTTGTGTGAAAGAGCATTGTATCTCGCACTTAGCTTGGCATATTCGGCCTTCCAGTCTCTCTCTTCTTCACCGCTGACGTCAGGGGCAGCTTCAACATTCTGAGCTTCGTTGTCTACACCACCGCCCATGCCAGGTGTTGGCGTTGGGGTCGTGGCATGGTCACGCGCTTCGGTGACCAGCTGGAAATCTGCATTAAACGAAACTGCAGGCGAGACAGAATTTGACAAATTCCCCGAGCGCGCATGGTTTTCTATCTCAAGACCCTTTTGTTGGAGCTCTGAGAATTGGTCAGTCACGCGACGCAGTTAACGTGTCGTGTGTACATACCAGCAACTAGATCGCGATCAATCTGCTCACAAGCTCTCGTGAGGGCTTCAAATAGAGCCGGCCTACCTCTCTCGAACCAGCTCGTCATCTTCAAAGGGGGCTTCCCATCTGACTACAATTACAAAATAATGTACATCAACAAGCCGATGCTCCTACCCACTTACCCATGCACGCGTCTCAAAGAGCGAGTCACGTGATTATGTAAGTTGAGGACCCTGGCAAAATGACATGGGTGAGGCAGCTTGGGCAGGCAGGCGCGGAGTAGACAATCAATACCTACATTCAACAAGTACAATGAATTGGAAGCCATGACGTCGCAAATACGAATCTCTCGTTCTCTTTGTTCTCTCCAGTCAGGTTAATGAGTAAGCAATCGAAATACGTCAGGTTTCGAGGCGCGTTAGCACTTTCTACTAACGGATGCTTTCCCCTTCTAACTAAAGATTAAGGAACCCCACGATACAGCATACGGTAGGTACAAGGTACGTCTGGTGGTAGAAAATGGCAGAGGGTGCGTGATGGTTCGTGCAAATTCGATTGCAGCACCACTCGCGGTCAAGGGCGAGGTTTACACCCAGTGCTGCACAGAGTATCAACAATTGGCCTTTTCTTTTCCGACTTTTCGCACCAAGACAACGATGAATCGTAGATGTTCACTCGATCCACGTGTAGGAAGGGTCCCCGATCCGGATAGCTCTTGGTGGGGTCTGGTGCCAATGCCGATATCTTTACACCGTAAGCTGCATATCAAGGTTTTTAATCAACGGCGGGAAGCAGCCAAGTGCGAGGACGGAGCAATGCCCAATGGGTTACACGGCAGAAACGAACGGTCAGGCAGGATGCGGCGAATCAGCCGAACTGGCCTGAGGAAGTGCTCCCCTTGGCCCACTTGAGGAGGGAAAAAACCACAGCAGCGTTGGCGATGCAGACAGGTGAGTTGAAGAACCGGCTCGGTATTTGCAACAGCAGCTGCACTGAGTTTAGAAAATGCTACTGCACGTAGGGTAATCCGGGAGCTTTAAGTGGAAACCTGAGGGCCGGTCGAGACTCTACTGCGTGCCCCCCGCTTTCCCTAACGGGCACAAATGCACAGAATTTGTAGGTGACCCGTCTTGGTACCTTAACCTGATATCTTTCACACCACTCAGCCTCCCACACTTCCAGTCTCTGCACCATCATCCATTCCTAGGAGCCAAAGTGCACAGCATCAACTTCCCCCCAGGTGTGATCCCAACATAAAACGGCCTCCAAACTCTCTGGTGAGCATGCCTATCCCAATCCTTGCCCTTGCCGCTATCTGCCCTTCCCAACACACTTTCTCTGCCCACAAACCCTACTTGCAATCCGCCACCTGAAGCAGCAGTGGGCGCGCTCTGATATTGAAGAATTCTCTGCACGGCTTGCCTCGGAGCAAATACCCCAGATTCGCTCAGAGCAACCTCAACTTACCCCCCTCCCATCCACCTATTCCTCCCACTGCACAAAGATCCTCCCCTCTTGCCTTTGCATTCTTTCGTTGTTTGTTTCCCCGTCACACCGAACCTTACATCAACTTGGCGCCACAAAAACGCCAGGTGGAAAAATACTATAACTGTTCAAGTCATTTGAACAAGAATTTTCACCCTCACCGACTACTTCACACTTTGGCTCTTTCCCTTGCCTCTTCTCAGCTGTTTCACAATTGGCTTTGAAAAGACACTCACCCAGCTCCCAAACTTCATCCCTACTCTCTCACCCCATCCTCAGTCTGATATCAAATCTATCATCCATTTCCCCGACCTACCAGCCCCGTTGCATAATATATATCACACTCTTTCCCAGTCTCCATAATCAGATCTCGCTAGACTTTTGCCCCGAAATACTAACTGCCCCCAGACTCGCGAAACTCCAAAACTTACCTCAACAATGGACTTCCAACAATCCGGTCCCCAGCGTGGCGCATGCTACTCATGTACGTCTTCTAATGAAATCCAATTTTTGTTGTTCGAGGGCTAACCAGGGTTGCTTTCGTTAGGCGGCTCATCTGGTCACCAGGTAGGCGAAAAGCCACCAACTGGGAACGCCTCGCAATCATGACTAACCTCAAAATTAGGCTCGTGACTGCCCCAGCAAGGGTCCTGCTAAGTGGTAAGTGAAAAAATCATCTCAAGTTATCCTACGGAATAGTATTGCTAACATGTGTGGTCTAGCTACAACTGCGGAGGTATGTTTCGTTAAACTACGTATGTATGATCCCCATGCTAACGAGTAACTACTCAGTTGAGGGCCACATGAGTAAGTTCCCACCTGCAATCTCAGTCACACTCTTCACTAACGGACATGGATACTTAGGCCGTGACTGCTCTGAGCCCCCCAAGGACAACAAAGCATGCTACAAGTGCGGCCAAGCCGGCCACATTTCTCGCGAGTGCCCTGTTGGAGGCGGTGGTGCTCCCCCTGCCGGCGGTCAGTCGACCGAGTGCTACAAGGTATTTTTGGCCCTTCCAATGCTCGCAACAGTCTTCGCTAACAGATCAAGTGCGGCGAAATCGGCCACATTGCCCGTAACTGCTCCAAGTCCGGTGGTGGATTCGGTGGTTCTTACGGCGGCGGCGGCGGCGGCTACAATGGCGGTGGCGGTGCCGGAAAGACCTGCTACTCCTGCGGTGGATATGGCCACATGTCCCGTAAGTTTCCCTCTTATGATTTTGGATCCCTGCAGCTGCTCACACTTTCTTAGGCGAGTGTGTCAATGGCATGAAGTGCTACAACTGCGGCGAGTCTGGTCACTACTCACGCGACTGCCCTAAGGAATCTGCTGGCGGTGAGAAGATCTGCTATAAGTGCCAACAGGCTGGCCACGTTCAGGCTCAGTGCCCCAACAACTAATTTGGACGATGTCACCCGACCTCAATTATGCTTTGGCCGGGAGCAAGTTGGCGTGGCAGCTCCATGATACCCACGATGAAATGATTTTCTTTGTCCTATGATTTTCAAACGCCTTGGTTTTTCGGGCCTCTAAAAGTTTCACCAGCAATTTTTTCTTTGTCGTGGCATCCTCGTTGAAAAAACAAAATCTCGCAAGATCCATTCCTCTGGAGCAATTGATTTTGACATGGTCTGGAACAGGAGCAGATTTGGATCTCGCCAATGAGTCGGGATCGGCTTTGTGAAGATGAGACGAGACGGATATGGGTAACGGGGAGATGAAAACTGCATTGGTGCATGTCATATTTCTCATGAACATGGCTGCCGACTGACTTCTGCCAATGGAGCCACCAGACAGCTTCTGGAGAAAGAGATAGCACCACAGGTAGTAGTCGTTAGCTTAGGCGATGAAATAAAAAAAGCATTCATCAGTCCTGGTCAACTCAGGAATACATCAGACAACAGCATATCTTACATGGTGAAGAGAGATGTACCGCGAATCATGTCCTATCAAGGTCGCTCAAAATCGATTCCAACTCCGACTTTTATTTCAAATAACTGACACCGCCTGGCTATGCTAACTCATGAAATCCGTACCCAAATATATTCCCCGTAACCGTACATGGGCGTCCATGTTTCCCCGTACTTGATTTTGGCTCTAAAAAACTGAAATGATGAGACAACCATACCCGAACTACCTAGGAAATATCACGCCAACGTCCCTCGAGGTGCTAGAATAGCAGTGTGACATTACAGCCTTGCCTTGGGAAAGTTCTTCATCGCCTGCCTGACCCCAAGGTCGGCAAGAACCTCCTCTGCGCCACCCAGGATGGCGTCGAACTTATACGTGCGCTGGAACATCTCGATGTGCTTGCCCATGCCCGTCTGGGTCAGGCCGCGCCCACCCCAGATCTGTACGGACTCGTCTGCGATCTCGTGGCAAGCGCGCGTGCAGCTCATCTTGAGCATGGCGATCGGCCCGGCGAGGTGTTTGGCCTGCTCCGCGTAGGGCATGTGGCACATCTGGTACGTGATGGTCTCGAGCCACGATTGGTTCGCTTCTACCAGCGCGATCATCTTGGCAAGCCTAGGGGAAACGGTTAGTTGGGATACTACGTTGAAGGGTTTGGGAAAGGGGAGGGGGTTGGTCATACTTTTGGCGGATGACTGCTTGGTCGATTAACCTTTTGCCGTACACGATTCGTTGGTTGGCCCATTTTAGTGATTCTTCGACGATGACTCTGGCGTTTCGGATGGCGCTACCTGTGGAAAAAACGTCAGCCATGATTCCAGTGTCTCTTGTTTGTGGGAAGTTGAAAACACTTACAGGACATGGCCCATCGTTCATGGTTGAAATTGCTGAGGATGACTCGACCTCCCTGGTGCTCCTCGCCGAGCAGGTTCTCGACGGGGACTCTGACATTGTCGAACGTGACGTAGGCTGTGCCAGCCGCTGGCGAGTACGACGTCTTTATCGGCTTGGTCTCGACACCCTCGCCTCGCTCGATGAGGAGCACACTCAGGCCCTTGCCAGTCTGAACGCCGGTGACGAAGTAGTCTGACCAAAGGCCGTTCGTGATCCACTTCTTGGTACCGTTTACGATCTGCGATGTGTGAATCCTGTTAGCCGTGCTGAGCAACCGGGGTGGAAGTAGAGATGTAGCAGTTTGACTAACATAATACTTCCCATCAGGTGTCTTCTCCGCCGTCGTCCTCAGCCCGGAAACATCTGAGCCGGCAAACGCCTCAGTCACAGCTAGGCTCAGCTTCTTCCGCCCGCTAAACACCTCATCCGCGATCCTGTTCCTCCACTCTAGGTTCCTGGAGAAGTTGAGCACCGCTGTGAGGCCGATCGTCATCCCAGACATGTTCCCGTCCTGGAACCCTCGGGCCATCGGCCGGCACAGCTCCTGCGAGACGATGAGGTCGTGGAAGTAGTCGAACTCCTCGCCCTTGACGGCCCCGCCCATCAGTTCCACGCCGTGGAGGTGCTTCCCGGGCCCCAGACGCATGTGCAGAATTCCCAGCCGGCTCATGTGCTCGATCATCCCCTGGCTGATGAAGTCGCCCGTCCTCTCGCACTCATGGGCCTCTGGTGTGAGATGGCGGTCGCTGAACTCGCGGACGGCCTTTTGCAGACGGCGGTGGGAGTCTTTGTAGTAGGGGGTCCGGAAGGGGGTTGTCAACCAGAGGGGCTCCGAGTAGGGGACGGGACAGAGGTCACCGGGCTGTGGGTTGATGACCTGGGGCTTCTCGTCCTGGATGGTGCCGATGGCGAGGTCGGTGTACTTGGCGAGGACTTCATGGCGGTGGAGGTTGTAGAAGGCGGTGGTGGCATCTTGACCGGCTATCTGCTTGAGGACGGACTCACCACCTGGGTGGGCGTCGACGAAGTCAGTGAGGTCGTAGACCGTGCTGTCAATCACACACCAGAGGGAGTCGTCCGAGGTGTGATCGCGGACCTCTTCCCGCGTGAAGGAGTGGTCTACGGCAGCCATGTTAATTTTGGGCGGTGTAAGAGTATGTGGGTGCGTGTGTTGTGTGTGTGCGTGAGAGTGAGAGTGAGAGTGAGGAAGGGTATTTCACCACGGCTCCCGAATATTGGCTGTGTTGTGCTGATAAGATCCGTCGTTTGTGTGACAACCACTGAGGCCCGAGCGAAGGGAGACAGCACGAAAGGGAGGAGAGGGCCATTTATGAACCTTCCAGAGGGGTGGCCATTGTATGTGACGGGCGTACCAAGGCAGTCCTGCCCTGAGATTCATCGAATAGGGCATCGCGCTTGGATTAAGGATCGAGAGACCCAGAGTAGGACAGCGACGACTGAAAATGGCCTTGCCTCGGCCTAGGACCCACGTCTTGGAGTAATCTTGAGCAGGTTGATTGGCCAATGTCGACAGACATTGATGCTTTCGGGGTCCGGTAGCCAGGTAACGTAACCGCACAGAGTCTAAGACAACACTTTAATTTGGCCCTGGGGAGGGACGGAGAATGTGGGAGGGAGGGGGGCATGTGACGTACAGTCGACATCGACGTCGATATCGACATGTCCATAGCAGGGCGGCTCCTGGTCCAATTGGAAGGGCCAGTGAAGCCTTGCCAAAAGGAATATGATACCAGGGCTGTGGGTGACAGTGGTTGCTTCTTCGAGTTACTACGTGGTATGACACTCGATGAGATTTATTTTACTAGCACCACCCCGGCAGTTTGCGAGAAGAGCCCAAGTTTGACGGCCCAGTTTGACACCTGTGACCCTCGCCTCGGCATGCGGTGGACCCAAGAAGGACCCAAGAAAGACCCAAGGCCCCATCCAGATGCAGGGTGCATTGACTGCCAGCACCGAGTGGTAGGGTTGTTGTTTGCTGTCAACGTTTTGTTGGATCAGCATGTGCGAGAGCGAGAGTCGAAGAGGGCCATGACATAATAACGGCCATGTCATGCTTCCGCCGACCTCTTTCGTCTCGGGGCGTGGTGATTCTTGCCCAACCGACCGCTCGCTGCTGCAGAAGCATCTCGGTGTCGATGCAAGTGATCGAGGGAGAGCGGGCGAGCAAACCAACAAGATCCAACACCCCGCATCCGCCACAACCAACTGCCGTTCGTGGAGGGAGGTGGTTGGAATGAATGCCCTGGCATTAAGCTCTTTTGGAAACAAGGCCCTGCCCTAGTCCAGCCATGTTCTATGTATGGCGTCTTCGTGGGCCACTAATAGAAGTAGTTTAGTAAGGTTGCGCTCGGTTCTGACCGATCAAGTTGCAAACCAACAAGATGAAAAGATCACAGGGGAGGTGTTGGGGTTTGGGGTGGGTGGGGAGTGAGACTGTGCGTGCAAACAAGCGAGCGAGAGGCTGAGAGCCGTTGTGATCACGCGTGATACATACGCTCATGGCGCTATCATATTTTCAGTCCAGGGGATTTCTTCATGATCCATGTAGCCATTGAGACGGATACGAGTTAGCTGGGAGTCATCACTGACCGGTCTGGTGGGTGAGTGCCTGATAGGTTTGCGGTGTGCGCCCAGTCATTCGCCTATTCCATCGTCCACCATTATAGCGTAACTGACAGGTTTGTTGTCTCGTTGTCTCAGTCCGGTCCTTTCCCCAACCGACCCTGTCCGACCGGTAGAGGAGGGTCTCCAGGAAACTCCAAGAAAAAGAAACTCCGTCATCCGTTTTTTTCTCGCTTTTGTTCCTCACGTGGATAGGGATGCTCATGGCACAAGGTCCAGGGTAGGAGAGGAAAGCGCCGACAAGCCGTTTCTCGCACGCTATTGGCAGCGAGTCAGTGGGCAACAACCCAACCAAACTCTTGGACCAAGCAATGAATCAACCAGGCCCCATCCCATCAGACTCGAGCCGCACTAACGTCCTGGCGGTTGCTTACCGACTTCGATTACGGTGCAATTTCTATACGCTGCTGCGTTCTGTAGCCGTAGGTTATCTAACTGATGCAATTAGTAAATCCCGCCTCTCTGGCTCTCACTCGGCCTGTCCCCGCTTTGGGTGCTAAGAGCAGAGGATGCCACCCCTCTCGCCGTCTCATCTTCCTCGTGAGAGCCTGGCTCACATCTATTGGTTCCTTTAACCTCATCTTGCCGTAGGCAATCAGAGATGCACACGACTACGGCGCCTTCACCACATTAGTAGCAGCTCAGTGCAAGCCGGTCTCAGGCACGATAGAGGTGAGTGATAATTACCTGCAACCAACTCGTCTCAATTTCGAGAAGACGAATTTTTCACTGTTGGCCATTCATTTTTCAGCAACTTGCGCTCGCCTCACATCCTTCCCAATTTGCTCCAGGTTCCTTCCTTATCGCTTCCCATCTTAGCGAGGGAGGTCATCCGCATGAGTTCAGCCGGGCCAATCCTGTCACCCGACTGTAGTCTCACTCTTGAATGAGTTGTACCTGCCTATCTTAAGATTTCCCCTTCCCCGCCAACAACTCGTTATCGTCATTTATGTTATCTTCTTCTCCATTCTCCTGCATCTAGGGACTCTATATCTCCAATTTCTCCGATCCTCTATTTCCCCGAGATCCCCTCCTTGAGAGCAGATCGGATTCCTATATACCCTTTAGTCCAATTACCTAGGGTGGTTGAGCTTATCAGACCATAACCCGTTCAAGCCCTCATACCACTGCCTAACCTATAGTCTTATCCTATATTCGTCCTTTTCAAGCTTTCATTATCCTGCCTCTTTGATATCCCCATCAGTCAGCATGGATGCATACTCGATTTGTTGTACTAATTCGGCGGGACGAAGTACATCCAAGATTTATCAAGATCTCAAGGCAATTCGGGGCCACAGTCTACCAGAATTTGACCCTGGGTACATGCTAAAGAAAATCTCTCGCATGGAGGCCTCAAAACAGGTACATTACTTTATTCCTTTTATTCTAATTATTTATCTTATCATTCCGAACTATTTTCTATTCTCTGAGCGTTTTCATACCTTTGCCCCTCTTTCAACTTTAGATGGACATGCAGCAATCGGTCAAGCCTAGCCCTCCCGGACTGACTGTCCATTCTTAGCGTGAGACCCACGGCATCGATACAAGGCCTCATGTGGCCATTGTAGGAGCAGGCCTTGCCGGCCTTCGTTGTGCAGATATCCTGACCAGCTACGGCCTCAAAGTCACAGTTCTTGAGGCTCGAGATCGGATAGGTGGTCGTGTCCATCAGGAAACACTCGCCAATGGACATTTAGTTGATATGGGTCCCAATTGGATTCATGGCACAGCAAATAATCCCATCATTGGTCTTGCCCAGGAGACAAATACGTCAGTGGGCAGCTGGGATACGGAAACGTACATCTTCAACGAGTCTGGGATTCTGTTCCCGCGTAAGGAGGGGCAGGAATACGCCGACATGATGTGGGACATTATCCAGGATGCGTTCAAGCACTCTAATAAGTATTCAAGCTTCATCAACGACAAAGAGAGTCTGTTCGATTTCTTTAAGGAAAAGGTTATCGAAAAGATCCCCAGCACGCAGGAGAACTACGAGCAAAGAAGAAGAATAGTTCTACAGCTTTCCCAGAGCTGGGGAAATTTCATCGGCAGTGCTGTGGGAAGACAAAGCTTGAAGTTTTTCTGGCTTGAGGAGTGCTTGGAAGGAGGTTAGTGCCTCCCACCATAGCTGATAAATATTGAACGGAACCCGCAAGCTAACGCGGTATTCAGAAAACCTTTTTTGTGCTGGTACCTACCAAAAGATTCTGGAACTTGTAGGCCAGCCTGTACTTACCGGAGCTGCCGGGCTGAAGTTGAAAACCAAGGTAGAAAAGGTTTACTCCAGGACGCAGCCAACCGACATGGTCAAACTTCAAGTCAATGGCGGCCAAATATTGGAGTTTGACGAAGTCGTTGTGACCTGTCCCCTTGGTTGGTTAAAACAGAATCTCGAGGCCTTTGAGCCCCGTCTCCCTCGGCGAATCACAGAGGCAATCGGATCCATCAGCTACGGTTGCCTCGAAAAGGTAAGCCAAGATGAAAGCTAGGCCCTTGTTTCTGACCCACAGACTATTGACTCTAGCTGTTAGGTTTACATCAGTTTTCAAGAGGCTTTCTGGCTCTCAAATGAAGAAGAGGAGGGCCGCCATATGCAGGGTTTCGTACAATGGATGACTCCAAACTATGCAGCTGAGACAAACCCCAACAGATGGAACCAAGAAGTCGTTGAGCTGGCCAACCTCAACCCAAAGTTCGCTCACCCTACGCTTCTTTTCTATATTCACGGCGACCAGTCTGACCACATTACCTCCAACCTCGCCAAGTTCACTAGCCAAGTTGAAAAGAATACCTTCCTCATCAACCACTTCCGGCCCTACTTCTCCCGCCTGCCGCACTTCTCGGACCAGTCCCCAGCTTGCAAGGTCATCGGATGCCGCGCAACAGAATGGCGCCAGGATGAGCTTGCGGGCCATGGAAGTTATGCCAACTTTCAGGTGGGTTTGCAAGACGGCGATGGAGATATCAGAGCAATGCGACAGGGGGTACCCGAGCAAGGACTTTGGCTTGCAGGGGAGCACACTGCGCCATTTGTGGCATTGGGCACGGCCACTGGGGCGTATTGGAGCGGTGAGTCTGTGGGGAGAAGAATTGCCGAGGCCTACGGAGTGGCCAAGGAGTCTGTTCCCAATGGGAGTCATTAAAACCGGATTCGATCTCGCCACGCCTGATCAAAGAGAGGATCCGACTGGTTGATAAGAGCTGAAGGGTGTACTACTATGTATATGTTTAGAGAAGGATTTCGTATGCCTGTCAGAAATGTAGCGCCAAATCATCGCTTTGGCGGCAGAATTGACCAAAGAGGCTGAGATATTCATGAACACATCTGACGTCACCGTAATTTGTCGTAGTTGTGGCCTCTTAAGTTGTCTAATCGCTATAGTTTCCGATGGGTTACAGGGGGAGGGCATATGGGGGTGTCTCTATGTATCCGCACTTCGAAAAGCGATGATCCATATTTGATAGAATATACAGCAAGAAGTTTAATTT